TAATAATAATAATAATAATAATAGTAGTAATACCGTTTCCTTCCTGCGTGCATTAGACTGACAGGGAAAAATTAATGTGAAATTAATTATTGCATAAATGTACGTTGCTAAAATTGTATTAGCAAACTAAACTCATCATATCATCAAATCAAATAATTTATGTACATACTTTGCTATTACGCAACGACCTCAACGTTAATCTTTATATTGTCATTAAAAAGTGATCATTGCATGGTACATAGCCTTATAGTGGTAAAAAAATATCAAAATTTTATTACACTACACGGTGCAAAGCAAAATATAGAACTCACTCATAGAACTAGATACTTACCGAAAGTAAACTAACAATAACAATCACAACAAGTTACAATATTCACAATAATCAGAAATGATAAAAGTTATCGGTTATTATAATTAAGTATGATCCTACATTACTACTGCTTCAATTTAAACATAGAAAAATTATTCGTTTTAATTAAATTATTAAATAGGAAACTAATAATGAAACTTTAACTGAATAGATATTTTTACTTTTACTGGCAACTAACATCTACCTAACTATAAACCAGTTTCTTATAAAATATGATTTGCGAATGACGTTAAACTTTTTCTTCAAGGAATATTACAATAAGTAATTGATAACTAATAATAGTACGCACATATACAATTATTATCAACTGTCTTAGAGTAGTTTCAAAATCTCATGAGCCGCGAAATGCGCGAAAGGCGTATCCGCATAATTCTTCTAATAAGCACGTTGTGAAAACATTGACTCAGAATTAGACCACGTGCCTCATTACAACCAGAAATGAACTAAGGCGCTCGAGCATCGGCATCAATAAAGTCAACTGGCGAACGTTCGTTATATATATTTTTATTGCTTAAATTAAAATAATAAATAATAGGGCATTTTATTATGATATTTGTAATCGGACTGTGAATAATAGATGTAATGTTTTTAGGACGTAGAATAATTTAGGCGACGGTCGGAATTATGTTTCTGCGCATATGATGGTCAAAGCTCATAAGATTTTGAAACACCTCTAACTACAGTGATGATTCGTAATAGACAATTTTATGTTGAGTAATATTTTTTTTTACTCTCTAATAGTAGTTTTAATTATCGTAATACATATTTTCTTGCAAATATCCTGTTTTTCGTAAATAGACCAGGTATTTAGGTATCCTTTTTGCCAAAGCAGTGTAGCAATTCCCATCTTTCTAAAATTATTCTAACATTTTTAACCCCCAAATTATTATAATTTTTTACCTTTAACAGAAAACTATGAAACTTATGAAACTCATTAAATTTTATTACTATATAGGCGTTATTATATATGTTTAAATGACTTCTGAAAGACTATACCTCGAAATTTACAAGCTGATTGGTTCATAAGCTGTGTTTTATAAATTGTTTCATGAAAATCTCGGTACATTATTACATACTTTGTTATAATGTCATTTTGGGATTGCAATGGGGTAAAATTTAAGTTGTCTCTAATAGTAAGCGAGATATGACGCAAAGTGTGTAATAAGCCTAATATGTTGAGCTCTATGGTACGCTTTTGATCGAGACGAACCCACTCTGGTCGCGTTCAGCATAAAGTAGCGAATCACGGGCAATTAAGTATCAATTTGCTGAACACCACTTTTTGTTCATCACGTTATTTAATCGTTATTCGTAATTTAAATTAACTTTTCATGGTATGGTATTATTGATACGTTATCTCTAAATGCATTTTTTCGCTTTAATACCCAATTGTAAAATTTAAATTTTTATTATTTGTGTTCAGTGATTACAGATCATAAAAATTCATTATTACATAAAGACCTTTGATAAGCGAACGAACACAGACACACAGATTTTTATACGATAAGTGAGCTTTTAAATACAAAATTACACAGTCAAATGATGCTCAAATTAATATCACTGTAATCTTTAAATTGTTAAATTAATATTTAAAGGCAATAATAAAGTTAAGCTCTTGTTTAAATATATAGAGTATTTAAACAATGATATTAATTAAGTCTAGATTAAGACATGTGCAGATATATGGCGCGGCGCCCCCTCGGTTATATTTTATGATAAAATACTGAATATATTATTTTATCATTATCCAAAAATTCTATACAGTGTTAAAATCACAAGAAATTAATCCTGAAAGGAAGGAACAGACGAAAACAAAAATACGAAATGCCATTATCCTGCAATATGTACTTGTAACTATGCGATTCCTAGGAGTGCACCAATTAAGAAGATAACTGCAAAGATATTGTTTTGCAAAATTTGTTACCTTTTTTAAGAATTTTAAAAATTAACGGAAAAAATGTTAATAGATTATATTTAAAACCTTTAAAAATCACAACAGGAATCTTTACTCTTTAGATACGTAAAATAGGTCACTTCTTAAACTAAGTTAAAAATACTTAAAATAGGAAACAAATAAGTAAAGAAATTGAGCAATTTTTATAAAACGCTGCAGGTGTTTCCTTTTATAACTAAGAACATGTCCCGTATTTTACAAAAAGTCAAAAACGTGTACACATATTTTAAAGCGATTTTGGTACTTACGTTGGCAAATGATGAAACGTACAGAATTGATTAAAATTACACATTATTCACTATATCTTTTAATAAATAATAAATAGGTACCTTTACCTGTTTATATTGTTATTGTGGTGGATTTGAAGCCTATTTATCTCAACTTATTCTTCTGTCAAAACTAAGCACTACCATCACCTATGTACTATTGATTTGTAAAACAACCAACAAAATCACCACAATTCTAATGTAATTAAATAATAACTGAAAACCATAAACAGTTCGACATTTTAAAATGTTGGAGAGTTGACGTAAGTACCCATATATGTCAGGTACCATAAAATACAAAATTTGTAAATCAACTTAACCTCAATCGCTCAAAATTAAATAAGCAGTTAACTGCTAGTAATAATAGTAATTCATCTATTCAAATTATGGCTTTCGTTGAATCCTCAATATAGTTTTTTAAATGGAAGGGGAGACCGATAGAGCTTCCTTTTGGAAGAAAAATATTAAAACTGTTCCTGGAAGGTATATATAAAGTAAGTTTGGTATGTCAGCTTATATTCAAAAACATATTTTTGTAGACCCAGCCCCAAGAGTGATGCAAAAAGTAATTCTAAAAGTAAAACACCAGGATCTACATCTTTTCAAGATTTTCAGGCATCTGTTAGCGATGCTTGGGATTTGGAAGATGACGAGTTTTGTATTATTTCGGCGCTAGAAAGTGAGCATTTGTTTATTTGGAACTTCAATTTATAATGGAACTATTTGTTTCAGATACAAAAATCTCAAAAAAAGTGTCGCAGTCTGCGGCACTAAACGTGCTAAATAGTCATCGTAATACGACAGAACAAGATGTGTCCTCGAATGATAGATGCACTGAGAAACCTCGTATTATTCAAGAAATTGACCCCATTAGGATAAGTCGAATACCGGGCAGGCCTAGGCAGCTGCATTGCTTTAATCCCTTGCAAGAAGAAGATAATGAATCGAAGTTGGAACGGTTTGAGGCACTACTTGAAAATTCAAATTCTCCATCTTTGCAAGAATTAAGCAAATTAAGTTGGTCAGGAATACCCATAAAAGTTCGAGGTATCACTTGGCGTCTACTTTCGGGATATTTACCGATAAATCTAGAAAGACGAAATGGTGTGTTGGAAAGGAAACGTCAAGATTATTGGACGCTAGTAGAAAAATATTATTACACTGAACATGATGAAACCAATCGTGATATTCAGCACCAAATAAATATTGATGTGCCAAGAATGAACCCATCCATACCGTTGTTTCAACAAAAAACAGTACAACTCATGTTCGAACGAATATTATTTATTTGGTCAATTCGCCATCCTGCTTCTGGTTATGTTCAAGGAATAAATGATTTAGTGACACCGTTTTATATAGTGTTCCTGCAGGAGTTTATACCTGATAATCAACCATTTGAAAAATTCAAAGTCGACTCATTAAGTCAGGAACAACTGAGAATAATCGAAGCGGACTCATTCTGGTGTTTGTCAAAATTCTTAGATGGTATTCAAGATAATTATGTTTTTGCACAAATAGGTATTCAGAAAAAAGTGTTACAACTTGAAGAACTAATAAAAAGAGTAGATGAAGTTTTACATAAACATTTGAAACAACACAACGTAAGTTATCTGCAGTTTTCGTTTCGTTGGTTAAATAATTTACTTACGAGGGAACTTCCCTTGAGATGTACCATTCGGCTGTGGGATACGTATCTAGCCGAGAACGATTGTTTCGCAACTTTTCAGCTGTACGTATGTGCTGCCTTCCTCTTGCATTGGAAAGAAGATCTTATGCAGGAACACGATTTCCAAGGACTCCTGTTATTACTCCAAAATTTACCCACTCAGTTTTGGACTAGCTCACAAATAAGCATGCTGGTCGCAGAAGCTTATAAACTGAAAGTCATGTTCGCCGATGCTCCAAATCATCTTCTAAGTAATACTGGTGATAGTTGAGTGATTACGTTCGTTCGTTGGTTGTATTTATCCCATATTCAGTGTTTCAAATTTTTGTATTGGATTTTGGATATTTTAGTTTTTGTTTCCTTGTAATGTTAATGTACATACATGACCTCTCATATTTTTATATTGTATCTAAAGAGATATTTGAGATTACGATTTCAATAAATTTTAATACTTCTTAAATTTGGGCGAAAGCAGTCTATGACTTCTAATTACCTATACAAAACTTAATAATATTAGTAAATGCAAAATGAATGGTTGCAAATTATGGTAAAAACTTGGATGTCTGTATTTGTGTCCAGAGATTCCAAGAATCAAAAGCAATGGCCATGGCAGTGGCGAACACGAAAATTTAAGTCATATTTTGATTATGCAGCGTTTTTTAGAGGATGATTCCTAGGCCCACAGGAAATTAAAATTTAAATAAGTAAAACTGAAGAAAATGTATAATCAATTTTTGAGATCTCGGTGTAGGCAGTCCGTTTTAATTTTTTGCATATTCAACATTTTCTTTTTGTAGAATTCTAAGTGGAACTGGAAGTTATCCTTTACAGAACGGTATGGGTCCTGTCAAAATATAGCCGCTTTAATTTTCACCAGCCCTGACTGACCAACAGTTATAAAAAAATTAAACTAGCGTCACTTTTTACAATTACATTTTTTTTTAATTTGATTAAAAGAAATTTACATGAAATTTAATTAAAATGGTCAAATTGTAATCCACATTTAGAAAATTTAAGGAAGCTTATAATCTAAATGCTGCATCCATACTTTAGAGGAATCTACATTTGAGTTCTTTAGTGATGTAATGATTTCCTTAGTGGCTTCGAAATATAAAAAATAAGCTTTCTCGACTTCTGTTTTTCAATTAAAATCGCAAAATTAATGATACACATAATTTAAAGATTTCTTAAAATTCGTTAAAAAAGGTTCATTGACCTGTTTAAATCTGTGAAAACTTGTTATGATTTTTTGAAAATTTTTAAGAAAATTCTTCACACCACCAAATCTATGTATAAAATAAATATCTATATATTCAATTTTAGTACTGTGTACATATCTTCAAGTAAGGTAAATTATATCATACAAACTGATATTGACATAAATAGGAAATTAGTTTTTTTTTTATTATTAAAATGTGTATTGGGTTAAATTTTATGAAAGAAAGTAACATAAATTAAATAAACATCCATTTATTATTGGTTTTCATATTTTACATATTTACATACCTCCTAGCTAAATACAGAAAGCATATAACGGTTGTTTTCCAATTGGCTAGGGAGAACTCCTCAAGTATTTCTCTAGTATTCTACTTTTAGGTATGCCAAAATTAAACCGACCAGAGTACATGCACTCTACAGCAACATAATTATGTATGAGAAGGCAGGGAATTAAAAAAATAATACTTTAGAAGTTGTTTTGTTATTGGAATGCAATAATTCAAATCGAAGTGTTTCAGAAGTGCTTCCGAAATACATCCACCAACTGGAAAACTAGCAACGTCTCTTAGAAGTGCAATTATAACTAAAAAAGTAACATATACTGCATTCAGTCATAAAACATTCACTAATGCTCTAATATTTTTCTACTCTACTCTTTTACAAAAGTCGTTCCGACATAATTAACTTCATTTTGGCCAAAACGAAAGCAAAGCTAATTTTTACAATGCGCTGTTTTGTAATCTTGTCAACATCTATGTGTCATCCTATCATTTGGATAAATAAGTATAACATTTGTATCTGAATTAGAGTCAAATATCCGTAGATAATGATATGTCCCAAAAATAATTTATAGTGCACATTTTTCATATATTAAATTATTAGCCCAGTCCAGATAAGATAATGCCTATAACTTCTAGGAAATATAATCTAAATTTTTTAATATTCTATTATCCTTAAAATTTACAGTATGTCAGCCTAATACACCCTGTATATAAAGGGTGCTTAATAATTAATTAATTAATTATTTATTAACAAAAAAATACAGCAATCAAAAAACTGTTTTGTGTATTGTTACGGATCTCTATGTTTTTGGTAAAAAATAAGCTCATACTCATAATTAGCTACCTCAAAAGCTCTATTGGATAGGGTTACCAGATCCAAAATTAGAACAGCTGAATTTCACTATCAATTTTACCAGGTATCTTTTTTTATATATTTTTTTTTTTTTTTTGATAAGAGCTTATTTCTTCTCGTTTGTGTATTAGGTATAGATTGCAGGACATGTTTCATTACCATGTGTTACATACTAACATATCACTGGGAAAAGTCATAGGGAGCAAATTACAAATTGTCAAAAACTAACGGCATTAACTTTGTACCAAATTTCAATGCAATATATTGTCTTTCATAAAAGATATGTCCAAAACTGAATTTAAAATAATCATCTTTGACACATTTTCTCAAAACATCCTGTATATTTACTCCTGGACAAAATTATAACACCACTTTAGTGAATAACAAAGTCATTTAACATAATAAAATTATTTAAGGGAATTTGAACTAACAAAACTACAGCTTATTTTTAAAACTATACTTATTACGAATCAGGTACAATATGACGTAGTTTGACTATAACAAAAATAACATTTCATTATTAATTTCTGGGCAAATTTAAAAACAATTTGTTAATTTTGTCTTATAGGAATATAAAGTGGAACTCGGTTTGTTCAGACCTTGTTAAACAGAATTACCATTTTCAAAGCTGGGAGTATTTTGACAAAAAAATTCCAAATAGTATTTTAAATATAAAATAGTATTTTGTATTTTGTAATGAAAATACTTTTGTTATAACCGCAAAAATATTTTGTATTCCAAATATGTACTTTAATAAATTATTTTGTATTTTAAAAAAGTATTTAAAATCTTCTAAAAGTAATTAAATACTCTTGAGTATTTAAAATACCCAAAATACCTACTAAAACCAACTTTTTGCCTATTATGACTGGCGACTGGTACACTCGCACTGTGTACCAAATACGGTTTTTCTAGATTTAAGTATAACCGAGAGTATAACTGATATTGATTTTTTTTTGGAAATTTGAAACCCCATTTTCAAGGCCTATAACTTCTCAGGGGGTGCATTAGTATAAAGGTAAGTTGCGTTAAAGACCCTTATTCTTTGTCGGTTCTTATGTGAAACACCCTGTATTTAATATTCAACATACTTAAAATACTATTTTAAATACTAAGTAATTTATATTTAAAATACTTTGCCAAAGTAGTTTGTTTTTAAGTATTTTAAAATACTTTCGTAGTAGTATTTTGTAATGTGTATTTTAAATACATTTTGAAAGTATTTTTTCCAGCTCTGACCATTTTGAGTTTATCCGATTATAAAACATTATTTCTGGTGCAGAATCACATTATAATAATAGACCAATAAAGAAACGTGATAAAAATAAAGGTCTTTTAAAAATAGCGCAAAAATAATTGAATTCCTACAAAGGGGTACAAAAAGACTAAAATGTTTTCTCTGTCTATCCTCATACTAGCAGTCACACTGCATAGGATTTAGAAGTAAAATTCTTATATCAATTTTATTTTAACGTAATATGCAATAAATAAAATCTACTCACTGACTGGTAAGTCAACATATTCCTTTGAGAGCGTGACAGTGGACCTGATTTGCAATCAGATGAACCACAATATTTTGAAGATTTTTACCTAATGATATTGTGGGAGACAAGTACTCTCCGGACTACACCCCTTTCAGCATTGAATCCAGTATCAAGCAAAGCACTAAGATAATCAAGATATGACATTATATCTCGCCTACACATGGAAACAAAAAACAATACTTTTTAAAACTAAAAAGTTGGATAATAAAAGTATGCGCTAGATTGTAACTTCTCTAAAATTTGCTATTACATTAATTGTACAAACCACTTTATTTGTACGTTTAAAATGTTACGAAATTTTGAAAATATATTTTCATTTCAATTTAGCTCATATTTTTGTTTATATCAACACTTTTGCCACAATTTTTATTACATAACTTGTATTACTGTAATGTAGAACATAAAAACGTTAACAAATATATAACACGAAGATTACTCAAAAAACACAAAAATTTAAATATCTCGAATCATTGAGTTTTGTATAATGCATATTAAGGTACATTTGATTTGAAATTAACGTCACGGTTTATGCATCAACTTACTGGTCAACTCTATAATATAATGTGTTACTTATGTTAATTAACAAATGACGCTGATTAAACAAGGCCCATCTGTGTAACGTGCATACACACAAAGCCAAATTTTATAAATCATACACAATGAATGCTCTATATATAAAATAAGTAAATTACATAAAAATGTTGAGTAATATATTATCTCCTCAACTCTTTTATGAAATCCGCTAGGAAATAATCTGCAGGGGTCCAATCAGTATGTGTGTTGTATACTTCGACTGACCGCTTCCCTTTCTCCTCGTCCAAAACACCTGAAGGTAGCATTGTTCAAGTTTACAAAGTTAAGAGAAATAATGAGACATTACTTACTTATGGACTTCAACTTGTGGTACTGCGCAGCAGCATGCACGAGAAGCCTATCAAAACTGGTTTGGGGCGATCTAATATATTTGTTTTGAGGCGTAGTTTTAAAAAATTTGATCAAGTCTTCTTCGAGACCTTTAACAACCTCTAAGGACAAGTTTTTCTTAATTTTAATAGTATGTCTGATTCTCGAGGATAACCTTCCATGTTTATTGCTTTTATGAACACTTTGCAAGTTGTTATCACAGAACTTATCAGAAAAAGCTCTGATTATTTTCAGTTGTTCCTCCTCTGATTTTTCTATAAAAGTGTTCCAATATTCCAAAGCATTTGAATCTTCCAACAGTCTCGCAAATGGACTTTTGTACGACTCCATTATGACAATAAAATTTTCATTTTCATCTTCCTCGTTTAATGTTTGCAATACAGATCCTACAACAATCAACCTATCATAATGCTATAATTATATTAGAGTACTAATAGGGTAACTGAGAATTTTCTTCATATATTTGCTAGTGGCTACACGAGTGTGGAAAAGCAAAATAAATTCTCGACGAGTGCTGTAGGTCTAGCATAAAATTACAATGTTACTAGGTATATAATTTGGTTTTATAGTTAAATCAGAATTTTATGAAACAATGTTGAGGATAAGAGGAAGCAAATAACATATGTATTGCGACATACGAAGTTATTTAAAAAAGAAGGTTAAGGAGAAGGAACACGTTCAAACAACAGAAGCTTGTGCAGTAGCCACTGGTACTGTCAGGTCAATTTTCAGCTGATTTTCAACTTACTATTTTGATATCGACGTAATTTTTTTTTACCAGAACCCTTTTTAATGTTAACCAATTCCTCCAAATGGGATATTCTAAATGGGGGTCGATACACACGGAGCTGATTTGTAGAGTGAGGCTCATCATTTAAAGATTCGGTGTCACTTGCTGATACACTTCCCAGACTAAAATATTTTCAATATTGAAATACCGAGTTTTAATAAACCATAATAAAAGGACTTACTGCAAGGATTCGGTGTCTGATACTGCATTTGAATTTGCTTTTGGATAATTATAATTCTGTTTCTCCCTGATTACTGTCATTATTGTTTAATTTTTTTTGCAAAATAAAATGTTTTCAACGCCTATTCGGAATTTATGACAAAATATTATTCTACCTTTCGTCATATATTTATTTTTATAACATAACACAAAACTGTATCATAGGCGTAAAATACTTCACAGATAACGACAGCAACAGAAAAGAAAGAGCAGAAAACAATACAATATACGATAGTGACAGTGCACGAAATGTGCTTTCGTTTTGATGAAGGTGTGTACTGGTGTGTACCCTAACTCAGATCACAAAATTTTGTGTTCGATTTAATAAATATATTGCTGGCTGTGTATCACTCTAGGTTGTTCCCCTTTTCCCCTGTACCTAATTTTGGTGTTTTGAAATCTCAGAAAAAATTTGAGATTATATTGTATTGTAATGTAATGTAAAAATATCGATGGCAAAGATTATTACGCAAGAGCTATTATTGTCTTCGCTTTTTAAACATAAAATATGTCAGCATCTCTCGAAAGTAGATATAATGAATGTCACGTCACCGACAACGCCTGACTGACTGGACAAAAATCCGTTCATTTAGACATGAGTGTGTTGCACTGCACTTAGCATCTAAAAACTTTTCGCTCTGGCGTCTCATACTATACGAAACGAAAGCAGTCAAGGTACAAAGTTAATAATTAGCACAGAACTAAAATAAGCTTATTCTTATTTTCATTTGTACAGTTGTGAAATCACTGCTCCTAAGAACTGATTGAACTATATGTTAAAAGTTAAAATGACCTTCAACTACACGGAAGAAAAACGATGAACTTCATCATGGGCGCCGTTAAACTCGAATCCAGGAGGGAATTAGAAATATTAAAAATCATAATTTCATTTGATATAAATGACGATTGAAAAACGCTACAGTTTGTATTTGAATTATTTATTTTGTATAAATAGTTTCCAAAATATTAGCCTCTTTCGATTAAAACGGTACACCTAGTACACACATAATATAATGTTTAAATTAGAATTATTTCTGAAGATTAAAAAAATTATCTTCTAAACCAACTAGCTTCAAACTGACGTCCCAAAGTTTCCTTGCGGCTTCTTCATTTTTGGCTTCCGCAGATGGTTCTTTACTTTCACACTCAGCATAATACAAGCCAGTTTCATTAGCACATTTCTCATCAACAGCACAATAAATTGTGGTTTGTGCGCCTTGTTCCGGAGTTTTCATAAACAAAGACATGGTATTCAATAACCAATGTAATCCCCAAGGGATTGAAAGCCTTACATGGCGTCCTAACTCTGTTTTGATTACTCCTGGATGCAAACTATATACGTTAACTCCCGTTATATTATTTTCTAAAATAAAAATATAATGTAAACTAATATCACATACTCTATTGTACAAAATTAATTGTTTTATAAGTAAAGCTATGACCGGCTAAATATAATGTTTCTTATATTTAGTTGTCTAAAGTGACAATTTTTAACATACTTTGAAAGGATAGGAAACATTGTGTTACTTATTATTATTTACCTTTAAGTCTACGTGCGAGTTCCTTAGTAAATAAAACATTTGCTAATTTACTTTGTTTATAGGCCTGAAATGAACTATATTTTCTTGTTTCCCAATTCAAATCATTGAAATCCATTTTACACCCTACAACGTAATGTAATTAAATATAATTAAATACTAATAATTAAGGTTGTCAGAACTGAACCGCGGAACATAGGCGTACGCATTATTTATTAAAAAGCAACAAATTAAATTGTCTCCAATACACCACCATGAATACCAACGGATAGGAATTATTACCCAATATCCGCACGATAACAAAGGCAACAGTATGCTAATGTAACGTGAACGTGAAAAGCATTCTGAGGCAGCGGCTCACACATGTCTCGGGTGATCCGCTTGGCACGCCATTGAATTGCGGCACAGGGTGGCTCAACGCGGAGTATGTATCTGTAATTTCTACATAACAGCCGAAATATGGAACAAAGTAAAATTGTGATTAATCAATTGATTTTTTCTGATATGATATTCCATATAATATATATATTAATATATGCTTCATATAGCCCCAAGAATCACCCTCTGTTTTGTTTAACAGACCATTTTAGTAGTGATATCACATTAACCAAATAGTAGGCGACCGCATGTACTTTGGATTTAAAAAATAACGCCTAAAATATAATCTTAAATATCACATTGTTTTGACAACATTGAAAACAAGTTTCGAATAAATTTTTTATCATATGACCTAGTTTTTATGTCCAATATGTGTAATAGTGTATGTAGCCGAACAGTTTCTATTATTTTGGCTGAAAGATGTACTTATAAGTACCTAATTATTACACATGCATAAGTTAAATACGAAATTGAGTAATTATACTGTAGACGAATCTAGATCTAAATATTTTTCACTGAGAAATGTATTGTATACACAAGCCATTTTAATAAATATATGTATGTGCATCACACTAAATGGTCTATTGAATTCACCTGTATGACCCGTGGAAGAAACGTTGACGATTCTAGCGGGTGTACTTTGACAAATTTTAGGCAGAAGTAACAAAGTTAATAAAAAATGTCCCAAATGGTTTGTTCCAAACTGGAGTTCGAAACCGTCTTCAGTTTTAGTTTCAGGACACATCATTACACCTGCATTATTTACTAATACATCAATTCTTTTTTCTGTGCTCAGTAAACGTCTAGCACAATTCCTTATTGATTTGAAACTCGACAAATCCAATTCAGTGACGACAATTTCCCCCAAATTTTCTTTGTTTTTACAGTCCTCTTTGATACTCTCTGCTGCTTCATTGGCCTTCTCCAAATTTCTACAGGCCATTACAACACGTCCACCTAGAATTTAACAATGTAAATTATGTTCACATTAACTAATGTTATATTTGACGTGATTTTCAAAATTATAAAAAAAGATATTCCTTAATACCTAATCGAAATTAATATATAAACTTTTTCTGTTAAATATGAACATACTGTTACAGCGGAATATTTAAAAATATAATTGTAAGCTCAAATTGTTCCGGTAGTGCTATTTTATTAATTGCCTTGGATTATATGTTACTCCGCCACTGAATTGTGGATGTATACACCGAGTTTGCTATTTTACAACTAAACCTACCTCTTGAAAAGAAATCTTGCACTGTGCATTTTCCTATTCCAGTATTACAACCGGTGATAATGGCAGTCTTTCCATCTAATCTTGCTAAAGATGTACATTTTGCACTAAAAAATCCCATTTTTATGGATCTTAGACAAATAATTGCTTAAATAAACTTCAACCAAATGACCGAATGAAGTATATATTATTTAAGTGGACGAGATACCGCTAGATTTAGAGTGGGAGTAAAAGTTGTAAAAGGTAAATTGTTTAATTTACATTTGTTGTGTTGCGTTTTAAAATATTCCAGACTAGACACAGTTTTTTTTGTGCATTTAATTAAATGACGTCTACGGAAACAGTCAGACTAATTTAATAATTTTATTAATTTATAATGTATTTAAATAAATTGCATAATGAAAAATAATTAGGCACATATATACATATACATTAAATTAAACAATATATATTACAATTTTGAATAACCCATGCTATAATTATGACTCAGTAAACATGACAATCGCAAAAATAATAATAAGGGTTTTTTGGCGAGAAAACCGCTAACCCGGTTAACTATAGTTTGTTGAGGTTTGACGTTTTGGCGAGAAATGTAGTTAACCCGGTTTGGCAGAGTTTGCCTAACCATCAAACCGGACTTGTGGGTTGGTTTGGATATTAAGTTAATATTTCTATCTTTGTTTATTTATTTTCTGTTTCGTAGAGGTTTGGATAGGTATAAGTTGTAAATAAAAAAAAATTGATAATGGATTAACTTTGCAAAAAATACAAAGTAAATATTTAAAATTGATAATAAAAAAATAGTAATCGAGGATCCAAATAACTTTAATCGTAGATATGCATATTCTATATTGTACTGTATAGATCTTTATTAACTTCCTTTTTGACGATACATTTACGTGGGAATAGATATTTGTGAAAAGGTAAACCCATTTTGATTTAATAACCATCTATACATTAACGTTATTTCATGGATGTGCATTTCAGATTAGGAATAAGAATTATAGTATATAAGAAATAATCAAACAACTTGAGCTACGAGCACTATCATAGATTATAGGTTACGATTTTATTATTGATTAGATATCCAAACCAAAAGAATTTTTGCGAGTTCTGTCAAATGTTAACTCAAACTCTTAACACAATCAAACTCGAGCTAACCGGGTTTGATGTGGTTTGGCTCGCCAAAAAACCCTTAATGATTCCATTAAAGTTATCTGGCCTACGTCATATAACAAACATCTCGATGATCTCGAAGTGAAGTCAGTGAAGTGGTTTTACTGTTTCTAATATCAATAATCAATATTATCATCAATTCCTACACCAGTCGGCAGTCACCAACATGAGCTTTGTTTTGGTTCAGACTTCCGACAGAGAACAATTTGTTTGTTTTTCGGATATATCTATCTGGGATCAAAGTCGCCTCTTTTTTCTCGATTTTCGTATTATTTCATTACGAGGATAGCAAAATTTACTTAATGAAATAAAGTATATTCTATTAATATTTTTCTGACAATTCCGTTTATTTAAAACGCTGGAAACTTCTAAACTTTTAATAAAGTGAAAACCCCTTATATTATACATATATAATACATATAATAAAGTACTGAAAAAAATGAACTCGGTAACTCGGTTTATTCAATGAATCATTGACGTAGTTCTGATTCCGATTAGCCGATGAACGACTCGGAACGAAACAGACGACATAGACAGGCGAGTCTACCAACCCGACCAACCGGTTCTTCAGTTTTCTGCGAACCGGTCGTTCATGAGTGACACACCTCTACCCTCTACTTGAAAACAGCTTATTGATGTGATTGTGATAGAATACGGAGGTCCACCTAACCTCAAATTTCTTATTTTATATTTTATTTAGTTCTCATCGTTCTCAAACGAAGAGTAAATGTGCAGAGAGTATATATTATATATTTTTAGATACTTATTTCATGGATATACTTAATATTTAGCAACAACAAGTAGTATTAGGTTCTAAAATTGTAATAAATGTAATAATTTGTTGACATTAATATATACATTTTTTATTATTTTTAGAAATATCGACACTAAACTACAAAAATGACTGCAAATTCAATACCAGTTCCTGTAACACAGCGCGATTGTATGTCTGCAGCCACAAAAAGATACAAATATTTAAGAAGAATGTTGAAATTTGATCAAATGGATTTTGAATTTGCGTTTTGGCAAATGTTGTACCTCTTCACTGCTCCACAAAAAGTATATAGGAATTTTCAATACAGAAAACGTAAGCACTTTAATAGTAAGGACTATATTTTTAATCGTCGTTAAGTACATTAGAAAACCGTATAACAATTTTGTAAAATTAATTCACTCCACATTAGTGTTAGCAGCAGTAAATTGGACATAAGTAAAACAGACGGACTAATTTCATAAGTAAATCATTTTTCTACTCCTTTTACTCCGTTATTTTGAGTTACTTTATTTTTATTCAAAATTATGTTTTGAGCAAATGAAACCCCTACGTTCTATGGATACTTAATGGTTGCTATAATAATTTCTTTTTAAATACGGTAGATCTATTATTATAACAAAACAAGTCATGATGGTATGTATAATGAAATTTTCCTGTTTTGCAGAATCCAAATTTCAGTTTGCACGTGATGATCCAGCGTTTCTAGTATTATTTGCAGCATGGCTTTGCAGTGTGTATAAATTCCGTATTATAATGTAACTTTATTAATTTAATTTTGTTCTAGTTACGTCCGTTGGATTTGCAATAGTTTTGAAATTGAGTTTTTTACAGTTTATACATTTCTTATTATACACAGTTTTTGTGGACTGCATAGGAGTAGGTCTGATTGTTGCGACGATATTTTGGTAAATTTATTTGTCAGTTTATATGTTTTCATTATATTGTTTTTGTTTTGTAGGTTTTTACTAAACAAATATTTTCGAAATCCAAATGAAATCCAAGATGTAGAGTGGGGATACTCGTTTGATGTTCATTTAAATGCATACTTCCCTCCTTTGATTCTGTTGCACTTTTTTCAATTATTTTTTTATAACGGTAAGAAAAATATTTTCTCTTTTTTTTAATATGTTGTATATTTATTTAATTTTTTTTTGTTTTAGGTTTAATTAGTAATGAGTGGTTCCTATCAAGGCTACTTGGCAACACATTTTGGCTAGTAGCTGTCTTATATTATATGTACATAACATTTTTAGGTTACAGCTCACTTCAGTTCTTAAGACATACTCATTTAATAATATCTCCGCTACCTCTTGTTATAATTTTTTACATTATTAGTTTAGTGAGTGGTTTTAATATAACACAAGCTTTAATGCATTTTTATAAGTTTCGAGTCGTATAAATGTTAATTTGTAATTATTTATTTTATACATATATAATATTAATAAGAAATATAAGGTACATTATTTTTACTAAATACAGTTTTTCTTTAATAAATCATGATTAAAATTTTCTATTAATATTAACCCAAAAGGTATCGTACAGTTGGAACAAAAGTCATTTTTTTATTTTAGTATCTTTGGATTGGATACTTTAAATATCCGCGGAAGCATCTCAGTCATGGATTGAAATACTTGGTTCGAAATACCCTAAAATAAATATTGGTAAATAAAAAAAATATAAATGTTAATAAGAAAACTTACCTGAGGCAACATAAACTGCAAATTTTTTAAATCTGAGCCACCACATGATGCCATTTCAATCATAAACCCTTTTACGCACTTAAAAACCAACTCTGCCCTTTTCTCACACCAAGAGATGGTCATTTCCTAAAAATGTTCTCTATACAGGGTGTTCCGTTTCAAACTTACCAGCCCCATATCTTGAAAACCAAAAGAATATCCTTTAAAATCAATTTTTAAGTCGGAAAAATTAAAAATAAACTTGGCTTTAAAGATATCAGCTTGTAGAGTTTGTATACAGAACATCCTATATAATTTTATACATTTCTAATTCATTTACGTACTTCTGTCATATCATACTGCAGTAACAAGGGTACAGTCAAGGAAGTGATGTCATTAGAACAAGCAGTTTTAAGGATATTTCGCAATCCCAGGACGACTGGATGACGACTATTTATTTCACTACCCCTAAGACTCTCATCGGAAACCATGTGGAAGATAACATGGACTTGAGCCAAGTTAGAATGCTTTGTCATGTAGAAATCACCAGGTTGAAGAAGCTCGCTATGAGCACTCCTACTTTCGTGTTTTTCATTACTCCTCAGATAATGTTGAGCAATGCTCGAAATTTTATCTAACTGATCTTCGATATGTGGAAAATGAAATTCAGTTGTCCTTTGACAAATATCCTGAAATTCTAAATACAATACACATAGACGAGGTATATTTTAAGTTCTTGTGATAATTTCAGATCATTTAAAGCCAGCTTAAATGTTGAAATTTTATTAAATTAAGAAAAATTCACATTTACTACATACATACATATTTCTCGGAAGATATTTTATAAAGATTGATTAAATCAGACTAGTGATATATAATTAATAATAATATGTCAACCAAATATGTCAATATGTCATACCTTGAGTTACTCTCGATCCTATCTTATTATCCGTCATTAGTACCAGCCCCGACAGATCATTGGAATAAAGAGCTAGTGCCGTTTGGAGTAATTGTGGAGTGGGTTCAGATCTAATCAAATCAGTGCATTACGGTAACACGTTTATGTAAAACGCAATACTCACAATTGTTTACTATCTTCAACTGCGCACAGATCCATAACGTTGGCAGATAGAACTCTTATGTTGTGCATCTGTTTTAATTGAGATCCTAAATGAATTGTAAAACTTTCTTCTAATATAGGAGCATCTGCCAATCTGTTATCAAAAGTTCGATTCGGTATAACGACTTCAGTAACGACCGGTGCTAAGGGCGAACTTAAAAAAATAAGATTTTTTGAATCATCAATTTGAAAATCATTAAATAAATAATATAAACCTTATTTTAAAATAGTTATTTATAATAGATATCAGAATACTGCTTTTCAAATGGAATTTGAACACCTAGCTAGTTAAATATTGCATGAAATTTTTTTTATGAAAGACATAAGCATTTTGAAGGGTCCTGATTAAGCATGCATGTGTCAAATTTTCAGTATTTTTTTTTTCTTTGGGGTTATAATAATCACAGCAGGCCTTGCCTCAAAATATAAAGATCTATGGCTTTTTGTTACATTGTTACAGGGTATCCTATTTTGTGTACACGGTTCTAGAGGTCTTAACTAAACTTACGACTATCAAAAATTTTCGATCACATTAAGTACAAAGTTGCAAGACCACCTGTTAAAAAAATTAGTATGTCTGCTCAGTCCCCTCCCCATTTCCTAGCTACAACTATGAAAAGGACATCATGCATAAATACCAAACACAATACAACAAATTTTACGAACTTTGGCGCCCTCTAGTGGCTAAACGAAGCATAATCGGAGTAAGTTTAGTTAAAACTCCTCATCGACTTAAGAATAATGGGACACCCTGTATACACATACATAACATACTTGGGAGTTGGTAATGAGCTATTGGTCTGATTTTCTTCAAGCATCTGCATTAACCATTCCCTATATTCTCTTCTTTGGGCTTCTTTTATAGTATCCAATTCACTTGTTAATTTACCCTGAAGTAATGCATGAGCTTCATAATGTTTAGCCACTAATTCATTGATTTTTGATTCTGTCATATCTTTTTCTAATCGGTCCACGGCATCATTCATTTCCTGACTTTGTCTAAAAGTGTTATACAGTGTTTTTTTTACTTGGAATATTTCTTTTAATACAACATAGAACTCAGAAAGTATGAACGATTTTCAATTAACATTTCTTCATTCTTATACATTAAAGTTTTCATAGCTATTAACCTCACAACCTTGGAAGCTATCATAGCTTCCAAAAACATCTTGTGCAACCTGTAGCATAATTTTAACAAATAAAATTATGTAGTGTATTGTTTAAAACCCAAATATTACTACTACTTTTATAAAATCTCACTGATTACAACAAAATGAAAAGGGAAAAGGAAACAAGTGTATTATAACATAACTAATTTCTAAATTGTTTTATTGAAATTATAAGCTACTCTTACATAAATTGAATATGAAGATACAAATTTTCATAGGGATGTATTTGAATTATTTCAAATGGCGTTTCGATTATTTTTCAGATTTTGAAAAAACGTTATTTGAAAAATACGCTTATTTTGTTAAGTTCTACATCGGGTCAAAAGGAAAACCCCTATTTAAAACACACCCTGTATTATAGATTATATTTGCAAGATTAAATATACCTTTCAGACAAGTTCTGTATGAAATGTTTCTTTTCATAAGTTTTCTGTATCACAGTCTTGGAATACATATGTTCCAATTGTAACATTGTTTCCAATGCTGGAGAATGCACCATTTTATGGTAAGCTGTAGCAAATAATTCCTCGTCTGAGGCACACCTACGCTCTCCATATTCAGTCATTTCCTTGAATATTGCATATTAAATGTCTTTTTTTATGTATGCGGAGTATAATACTGATATTGTGACAAACTTTTATTGTTAATATGTAACAATAACGTTTGTTGCAACATCACTGTTACACCCTGTAGGGTTATACTAATACCTCCTTCATTAATTTTTCCCATTCCTTTGTGACATCCTCTATACTAACTTTGTTTTGCTTGGCGTCATCTACAATCTGTGATATTTCTTCGTTGTAATACTCAATGCTCCTATCATTAATAAAATTCAATAAATCTTCGATGAGATCTTAAAAAAAATAGTTATATTTCAATTTAATTTTTTTTTTACTAGAATAAAGAATAAAAAACAGTAATATGTCACTAACGTTTGAATTTATTTTTAATTATTAAAGCTCACTATCCTTTTTAATTTAAAGAAGTTCAACAAAGTTAATTCTGAAGAAGTGATCAGTAACAGTTATTTTTAATATGTAATTACTGCTTAATTCCAATATTTAAAATGTTTAAATTTTACCTTAAGCAATTTAATATTCTCTGGATTGGTGAAAGATTTAGAAGAAATAGAAATCAGTAGGTACTTCATACTTTCTCATCAAACTTTGTAGTCAGATTTTGAATAGAGAAATTGCTAATAAAGTTTGACAACAAAAAGAAATTAGGTTTTAATAAAAAAATAAATTAAAAAGTTTTTAATTTGCTTTCAAAAGAAATCCAAAGCAAACAGGATAATAAATACATTTTCCATATTTTTAATTGAACAATTTCAGTTATCGAGCTTAATAATAATTTTTTATGGGTAAAAATAAGTCTTAGGAATTTTTCTATTGAAAAAAACTGTATACTTCGATCTCCTTTAAAACAGATCATAACAAATTTTTGATGCAAAAAATTTATTACATGAATTGGAAAAATAAAAATTCAATAACTGCAAATGTTTCATTAATTTGTAGCATTTTAGTACTGAAATGTCAGGGATACAGATTTCTATAATCAAAAATAGACCATTTTTATAAGCTTTTCCCCCCAAATTTTGGTATTTATGTGCTTTTATTAAAATATAAATACAATGGCATAGCATGTTAATAAAATAATTTCTAAAGAATTTTTTCACTTTTTCTTTTATAAAAATATGCAGCTTGACCTAAAATACAGTTCTTTATATTCTACGCCATTGTGACAAAAGGATGATAACACTTCATTTGATTTTTAACTAATACAGTTACTTATGTATTCTCTAGTAAACTGTGGTACTATTTTTAAACACTTAATTTCATATTTTTTTATGCTTTTATCCTTTTGTTATACAACGACTGATTTTGTATGTGTGGCGGTATGTATACTATACTATATTACCAGTTTCCACGTATATTGGTAAATCATGTTTTATCATCATTATATGTACTAGTTCTTCTACAGAATCTTCAAGTGGTATAACAATATGGGATTCAAATGCAAATTCACTGTTGATATAAATAAACGTTTTTCGTAAGTGTGCCATTTTTACTGGATTACATCACTGTGAGATTTAACATAAAACGTGACAATAAATGTTCTAAATTCTAGTTGTATTATTTGTTATTATTATTGTAACATAAACAAATTTAAAATTTAAGGTTAAATTTCGTCATCTTCTTCTGGTCCGGTAGTTGGTTGCTTGCGTTTTCCTGTTAACCAGGATTTCTGTTTAATAAGTTGTTGGCCCATTGCTAATCACCATTCACTAAGTGAGATTAACCGAGATCTCAGGTGAATAAAATACAGGATTTGTGTCAAAAATGTAGAAGCGGTTTTCCAATATATTCCTTACGTTTGCCATTTTTCGTATCGAATGACGTATTCCATGATACTTATTTCAAATGAATTGTCAAATTCACTAGATTTGAGATGAAGAACCAAAGCAAAAACGAAAGTAACTTTAAAGCGAATGTCTATTAATTAAGAAAACCAAGAAAGTAATAAAATTAATATACAAGGTGTTAACGAAATAAGTACTCAAAATTGGAGTATGTAAAAATGTGGAAATATGAAATTTGATACATTTATTTTGCAGTAGGAATTTTTGAGCAATGAATTATTGAAATGAATTTTACTAGAAAACGGCTCATGCTATTAAAATCTAACAAGAGTACCTACCTTTTTTATGCAAAATATGATAAATTTTCATATTTTCGGTTCAGGAAGTAAAAATCGAGTACAAAAAAAAATTGTAAAATTTGCACCACGGTCCCGTATTTTCTTAGGCCCCTGTAGCAAATTTTGATTTGTAGATTATACCGATTATTAAGCATATAAATAGTATTACAACCCCAAAATTTTGTGATTTAATATTAAACCTTTTTGAAGTTATGAAATAAAAACTGTTTCCAGAGTTACCCCTTCAGGGGCTGTATCTCCCTTAGGGGCCGCCACTGACAAAAAACTGTACTAAGGTTTCCATCATATTTCGACATGTTTTACATACTCTCCAATTTTGAGTACTTATTTCGGTAACACCTTGTATGCAAATATTTATATAATTACAGTTTGCTAGGTCTGACAGAGCAAACACCTAAAACTACCTTTGCACTGCTTAAAGGGTAGATACCGCTGAATACAAACTTGCTCTAAGGATTTAAAATTAAAAAAATAAATTCTGGTTGTTATTTAATCCTATATTGAATAATTTATACACACTGAAAACAAGCCTTAGATAAGGTATATAACAATGTTGACATCGGTAATAAAATTACATAGCTCAATAAGTAATAAACTCAGAAACCAATAATAGATTATCTACTTTCTTGTTGTATAAGCACACACACTATAATTTAACGAGTATTTGCAAATAGTAGTTTATTTAAGCTCATTTCCATTCAACGTATTTTAAGATTTTTTAGTGTTATATGGTAGCATATATCAACCTCCACTTATTTTTAATTAATTTCTTCATTTCTTCAGTTTCTGCCTCCACACATAAAACAAAATAGCTACAATTCAAGTAGGTATCTCCTTAAATATTTGTCAATAAAAATTTGTTTAAATTCTTGAAATAAAAATAAGTTATATGCTGCAAAACTGGCCACATCAAATGATTTCGCAAAATTACATATTATGTGACCAGAAATAATTTTATTGCCCCTTTTTAAATAGATATTTATCAAAATATAATATTAAGTGTTTCTCACGTTATTCAGAATAATTTAATCGTTCTAGAAATTCTTGTATTTAAAAAGAGCTGAATAAGAAAGTTATATGGAACTGATACAATTTGAAACTTTTATATCACAAAAATCAAAGGTTTTTGACAATTTTGTTTAATTGGCAAATATTTAATATCCAGTCACTATTTAATATCTTGGTGTGATCCGTGAAGTGATTAGTTGAGTAATGATGACAACTCATGTACAAGCAAAAATTATTTTAATAGAAAAATTATACAATATCAAGATCAGATTACATGAAGAATGCAATTTATATATTAATAGTGGTTTTTCTGTGCCACACGTAAGTGCAAATTGCAACATAATATCACACTCATAGCATTACTTTGAACATTAACATAGGCAGAGGCTACTTTGGTTTTGTTTCTTGTTCAACTAAATGATGATTTAATGATTCATTTAAAATCCTTCAGCACATGCAACCTCCCTCTGAATCCTGCTGATCATTCTGTAATTGGGGCTGTGTTTGAAGATCCACAGCTGTTAAACCATAAGGAAAATACATATCCATCGTTTAATAATAACATGCATCTTTTACATTAATAAAGAATGTATATAATTACTACATACCTCATTTAAGTTGTTTTTTTTATGACAAATATATAAAGCAAACACGTCTGAAAATATATATACAGTGAATGTCTGTTGCTGATCCACAGACATTTTAACGCAGTATTTGGTGCATACTGCATGTGTGGCAGGTTCCATGGCAGGTATATGCAGTAAATTAAAGGTATTCGATTTATTATGCTAACAAATAATTTATTAAATCTTAAAAAAGCCTACTAAAATACGTATATTTTTATTGACATTTATAAATTAATTATACATTTTATTCTGTAATATATTGAATGTTAAACCAAAGTGAAATTATTTTGTTATCAAAAATTAAAACAGGATTTTAATATTTAACCGTCATTAAATTATTTCATGTAAATGATAACACAAAGAAACAATTAAATAAATAATAACAAGTATTATAAAATAGAGTATAATAATGAAGAAAAAAGTATATTTATTATTCAGGGAACTCTTGGTTAAACACTACTATGTTAAATCAATTTTAACTCACCTTCTAATGAATGCAAATTATCAGTATAATACATGAAAAAATTTCCTGAGATACCCTGTAAATAATTATAGAGAAAGCTTAAAAATAAATACAACATAGCTACAACAAATCTCCTATTACGAGTAGTGTATAACTAAGCAGGAGCCCGTTAGAGGCACTGGCTGCTTGTATGTTAAGAATTAATCGATCACTTTACGTTAAAAAAAAATTAATTAGATGCCAGTGCCAGCTCCCTATCTGAAGCCATGTGTATATTGGCATGCCCTGCACAATGGCTAAGTGGACTCCTGTACCTAAGCAATTAGTTTTAATACAGTTGGTAAAAATATAGAACCTATAATTTTGATTAAAATAAATAAATGCAACACATACATTCATACACACATACATATAGTACCGGTGCTTAAGAAAATGAGGCACGAATATTTTTGGAATGTGGAAAATTATATTTGTTGACCGGCGACATTAAGTAAACTTTGGCCCAGTAGAATGACAAATGGACAAATGAACTACTGGCAGATCCATCCAAAATTTTTGGTACCTATGTATAGGTATAAAATACATTTTTTTTTCTGTTTGGTTGTCAAGCACGACAGACTTACAGTTCACTCCTTTGGCCACATCTCCCTTATTATTAGAGACAAACTAATCAAACTTTTTATCATTCCAAATGTAGAGAACTGTAGGTGTTCCATAAAAAAAGTGTTAGGCTTATATCTCTATGTCCTGATACTCAAATGTTTTTACAACTTACATATTAGAAAACTTAAGTCTTCTAAAACATGTTTACCGAACTATTTTGCCTTGTTTTCTTATAGTACGAGTACTGTACACACACATACACACATGAATATACATGGGGTAAGAGGTACCAGATACCAACATATCAAAAAATTTAATTTTCTGTGCATAAAATTGCACGAACCTTGCTTCCATTCCATACTTAGTTCTCACTATTTCCAAGATTCCACGAACGAGGAGAATAGTATTTGAGAGCCTGTATTTAAATATTTAAAAAAAGTCAAATCACACTGAAATGTTTTTAGCTGCTATGAAATATGTATTTTAAATGTGTAGTTATAAATGTGCGGTTTTTTAATAATTCACTGCTCGAATTTATGCATTTTCACGTAACACTTTAAAATGGGTATATTGTAAAACAATTTTGTTTAAATGTACATAATTTATGAAATTTTATAATATAGTATTTTTGTGTTAATGTCGTTAGAAAAAATTAGGAATTAAAGAGAGTAAGAAATAAAATTCAATTTCTTGTGGTAGTTTCTATTAAAACTTCATATTTATAGTTAAACGTTAGATCGGGAATATATTGCAAATCTTTTCTGATGAGCAATAAAGTCTACCAAGTGTAATTTTTTTATATTAAGTAGTCAAATTCTTATAATTTGGCTTTGTATCAAAAGTGTTAAATGATGTGGGTATTTAAAGATTCTAAAAATTGTGTATAAATGAAAGCAATTTTTGTACATTTGATATTTAATTTTTTCTAATAAAATATTTAATAAATTGAATTGTATTCCTTACTTCTGATATATTCATTTTGAACAAATTTTGAAAATTATGGTTTATTAGAAAATGGGTCGTTTCAACTTCTACATGTACCTATTGTATGTATAGTCAACAGAAAATAAAAATGATAAATATCTCAACATTGTCATTCTTTTTTCAAATAGGGAATGTATTTATAATTGAATTATTATAATTTTGTATTTGACAGCATTTTGAGAAATGTTTTTAATAATTGAAATGTACATCCATAATTTTTCCGCTCGGCACAATATTAGTACCGTCAAATTTGTCTGTTCGCTTTTCAGCCAAATACTATCAATAGAACTTAAACGAATATTATTATTATTCATATAGACTTCAGAAAAAAAAAAAATATATATATATATCTGGTTTCTGAAAAATTATCCAAGGACATCACATTGCACTTTATAAAAACGTATTGCTTCATAGTAAATACATACTTGTGGTGAATAAGCATGTGTCCAAATTAATTTACAATAAAAAATTAATAATCTAGTCATTAAGAACTTGATAAATAGTTTTATGGCCGAATAGAGCTAAGGAATATAGAATTTACTCACTAATTCAGGCAGTTAACACTCAATAAAACGATTTAAAAAATTCTACAAAACATATACAAGCATATAGGGAGGATACACCTTAATATATAATCAGCATGCACAGCCGCCGTCTGGATCTTTCACTTCATTTGGTGTGTCTTTAAGGACAACTTCTTGCACTAAAGGAATCATTAAGGAAAATAAACAAAACAAGATGCAAAATCATATGTACATGCCATAATAAAGCTTAAAATCTGTAAAAATCATGCACAATGTATAAAAAAAGGATACTGTCTTCTGGCGGTTTATTCTCTGTGGAATCCATACCTGGAAGGGCAGCTGCGACACGCCTAAATAACTGTAAGAACAAAGGAATTAAAGCTTAAAACACTTAAACATAATCTGATCATAAAAATAATAAACATTTAATGTATCCAATGTAGTTATTACCTGTTTTACATTATAACCCGCTTTTGCACTGGTTTCAATGAACATTACATTCAACTCCTTAGCTTTTCGCTCACCCTCCTCTGTGCTAACTTGTCTCTTATCTGACAAGTCAGTCTTATTTCCCACAAGCATTATTATTACATCACTACCCCTCTCTGTTCTTACATCATCGATCCATTTAGATGTTTGATGAAAGGAATTTGCATCTAAAATAACAATACATACATCCCAATAATTGATAACTAAACCCGAAATAAGTAATTAAACTATTTCCATTTATATGATGCCAATTTGATAAAATGCATCACCTAAATCTTAAACTGAAAACTGATCTAAACATTTGAAGTAAAACAGCAATTCATTTTTAAGAACCTGAGATGTTACGAGTTTCGACTATCTTCTGAATTTTGAAAATATATTTCCAATACATTTTTAATTTTCTTTCGAGAAATTGGTTTCCTCTCTTCATTGACGTCATCGAAGAGCTCACTCCGCTCAATCAAAATATCTTTTTCTACCACGAAGTTAACAGGTTGGAGAGTTATGATAATCACATGGTAGATAAAAAATATATTTAATATAAACAATTTTGTTATGTAAAGTAGATTCACACATAACAACTATTAATCGGTATTTTTGCCACCGATTTAAATTATTTTACTTACTCGTTATGTCATAGACTACTACTGCCACAGTAGAATCTCTAATATAGGAAGGTATTAAAGATCTAAATCTTTCTTGACCAGCAGTGTCCCACAGCTGCAGCCTAACAGTTCTGTCTTCAAGGTACATTGTCTTAGATAAAAAGTCAATTCCTATAGTAGCCTAAAAATGTTTTTTTTTTTAGTTTTTATTATCCGACACTGAGACTCAAGGTGGCAATCCACTGGAAAGCTAATAAAGCTATCTTATGCTAAGTTTTAAAATGCTAACCTCGGTATTTATTTATTTTTCAAAATTTTTGGTATCTTGGTGGTTTTGCATTCGAGGGGGCAAGTACACCTTTGTTTATAAATTGAAACTCCTTTTGAAAATAAAACTTGAATTATATCGGACAAGGATAAAAACAAAAAAGTTATAAAGGTATTACAGACTTAAGTGGGACACTTACATCAGTTTCCACCATAGCAGTGCACTAAAGTTCCCCTCCGTGCCTACAATTTCGTCTATTGCATTCTATATCCGCATTTCACACTATTTAAGTTTTTTTAAGCAAGCCGTTGTAAGCAAATACCGAGAAACTAGCTACTACAATAAGAGAGGGGGATAAGAGGAAAAAATAAGTGTTACAATAGTCATTCCTGATTGGATTATTGAAGTTTATACAGGGTGTTTCAGAAAGTCCTCCCGTAAATACAGGGGGTGATAGTATGACAAAAAATAAGAATAGATATTTCATAGAGGATGCTAGTTATGCTACATTTCTATCACATTTTAAGTTCTAATTTTTTAAACCATTTGGGCTCCAATTTATAATGTACAATTTTAATTTCTAAAAATCATGTACTCTTGTTAGAACTTCCTAATGTGGACAGTTTTCGAGAAAAAAAGTCTTTTAATTGAACTCTTACAATATTACGGTGTATAAAATAAATGACTTTTCTTAAAGTAGGCTTATGTTAAAACTTATTGAGAGATGTCACTAAAAATCACTAACAGGAGGTCTTTCTGAAACACCCTGTATATCAGAACCATGTTTTGCCTGCAGAGGCAAATACAACACAATCGATTCTATAATTTCGACACACAGACAATTCCAGTTTAAAATTCATCTATAATGTGTGATACAATGGAGTTCGATTAGAACAACATCCCAAGGGATGGTGAAATCACATTGCACTAAACACTAAACGGATGATGCAATAAGCAAACTCCACTGTATTTATATTAACATTTAGTTGCAAGTAAAGTTAATGTTAATTTACATTTAAATGACTAGTCACTATCACTGGAAGTTGTTGGCCCTGTCATCTAGACCTCAAAGGAAGAAGGTACAGAATTTAGAGAAAATTCCTAATTTTATTTTCGTTGATTTACAACATAATCACTTTAATCTTACTCTGAGAGATTTTAATAAAATCTGATAAAAAGTAATAATACTATTGACTTTATTAAAGTATGATATATATTAAAGGAAATAACAAGGAATATAAAATATGAATATAATGACTGAGTAAGAGGAAATATGAGAGAATATGAGGGAAAATAAAAACCAAATAACAGTTTTATAAGGAATTTTGGGAATTTCTGCAAAAAGTACTATTATACACAATGGAAAAGAAAATATTTATTAAATATGTGACAAAATCTTCATACACATATCAGTCTTAGTAGGTATTGTACAACTTTAACAGCTTAGCTTAGCTTTTCAGTGGATCGGATCAAAGATATTGAAATAGTCACATATAACAAAAAATTAAATCAAAAATTTACTTACCTGATAAGTATTATCAAAGCTGTCATACATAAATCTTGTTATTAGGGATGTTTTTCCAACTAAAAACAAAAAAAAAAATAGCCCTTACTGACTAGAATTTTAATCTAATTAATAATTATTCGTACTGTTACAACTCTTTAATTATTTATATCAGATGACGAGATAATTTTTTTTTTTAAGTAAAATTGGGTCATGATGGTCATAAAAAATTACTCTTGTATGAACCTACAGCATTGAATCTCTGTGGAGGGAAAGCTAAAAAAAGTACGAAAATGTAAAAACAGTTTGGGAAAGTAATCCAGAATTCATAATTACATGGAAGTAATTAATTTTTTGTTCAACATAACCTATGAAATCATCTGTCAGATGAATCCATAATTTCAAACAGCCTCTCGTATCTTCGTACACTTGAGGAGAAAAACCCAACCTACGCATATATGCATGTAAATAGGCGGAAATAAATGAATAAATTAAGATACTTTTTTATTGATAAAAAAATGTAGGAACAAATTTATTGATCATCGGCTACGCCTGCTATGAAAGTTTACAACTCATCAAGAAATGTCAACTTACCACTTTGTTCTCCTAAGAAAACTAATTTAAACTTTCTCAGAGGATTACCAAAGTCTCCTGATGTAGACATTGTAAAATGAAACTAACAATCCTTGTAAGCTTTTCACCCTGCTAATTCAGAAAAATTCACAGTAATATCACAGGAAAACTCACTGCCACTACACTAGCCACGGATATGACAGCAGACAGCTCAGCTCTCGACTTAGAATGACAAGGACAGCTGGCGTCGGTGAAGTGCAAACGTCATAAACGTAAACCCACGGAATGTAAGCTGTGGAGCGAGCGCCATTATTCCATGGCTAGAAATTGGACTCAATGATTTGGGATCAAGGGAGATTATCCCTCTTTATCCTGCCTCATCTCGTGTAGACCTGGACAGCCTTCGTAGGTCGTCTACCCCGACCGCAAATGCGGCCGGTGTGGGCGCTTTGTGGGACCTTTTGTCCTGGCTGGGCCCCGCCGGCTAGGGCCCTTTCTTCTGGCGCTCTTCTTGCTTCGCCGACTCGTCTGTGTAAACCCTGGGCGTGGTGTCATCTTTATGTGTGGTATGGTTGGGTAACCAATGAATAACATTGATAAAGATAGCCTAAACAGAAACAGAAAAATAACTTCTTTAAAATACCGTATTCACCACTATTTTAAGAACGAATTTGAATTTCTAGAATCATAGTTGCTTTAGTTAGTTTTTGTAGTAACGACACTATTCTTTAGGAAATGGCAACGTCCCTATTTTGCCCTTCATTTTTTGTTTTACTGAATCTTTTTGAATCTGTAGCTTTTCCGAAGGTATTCATTAAAATGGAACTTAAAATAAGGGCACATTTTTGTGTGGCTTATTTGCTAACTTTAAGTATAGAACTGTCGGCATCAATCTCTCCGTAAATGAACATGTAAAATAATTAAGAATAACTAAAAAAAGTATAAAACATGTCTAAACAATGTCAAATAGCTTTGTGGTGCAATGGTTTTAGGCCACATTAATCTAAAGATGTTCAATCCAATCTTGCTAAGTCAATGGTATATTTCTATTTCATTTTCAGTTGGCAATTGAGCGGTAAACAGTACTATATTTAAATATTTATAGTGGAAACGAGTAAATAGAAGTTGTATTAAATATATTAAATAAAAAAAAACGAAATTTTAGTAGCATAGGAAGCGCTCCTAAGCGTAAGATTATTAATAAATTCACATTAAATTAATTTCGTTTTGAATACATGCGCATTAATCAGCAGTTGGTGTCGCCCTACTCCAATCCCAATCATTCTTTTTCACTTGCCATCTCTACCCTGCTTACGAGTTGGTAAATTGGACTCGGCCTACAGTTACCGTGTATTTGGGCAGAAACGTCATTTTGTTTAAAATATTGTCGGTAAAATTGGTGTTTTATTTATTGTTGAATTAATGTTTATTGTTCAATGTTCGAAGAGACGTTAAAAAAATTTAAAGGGAAAATCTAAGCTGTCAGATCTCTTTGTGATTGTGGTGTATCAGAACGTGTGAGATTCCATAATTTTGCCATTTCCTAGAAAATACTGTACACGTAAGTCTGTATTATTCACAAAAAGTAATAATTCGTCATTTCATTCTTATGATTTTCGGCAGATATTGCACTGACCATGTTTTTACATAGTATATTATAAACAAATTAACCTGAAAAGGATTATATTTAAAGGTAAAACCATCGAACTGGCTGGCTTATCTTATCTGAATGTTGTATTGACTAAACCACCTTTATTTTTTTACCACCAATAATATACAACCTCTATATGATACATGTCACAAATATTTTTTACTTTTAGATTATTTTTCTCTTTTATCTCTGTCAGTAATTGCAGTATCTGGTGTCATAAAAATGTAGATGAAATTTCTAATATTTATACCTAATATATCTGATAAAATATCCTCGTTTCCAAAAAAGTTGTAAAAAATGTTATTAATCCTGACGAAGTCATATTTCCATAAATCATTATAACTTTAATGTTGAATGAAGACCCATGTAAATATAATTTCCATAATAAATTGCATATATGTACTGTTTTGTCATAGTAAGCACTAAGCAGCTGTTTAAATTATGGGGATATTTATAAATATTTAAATTAGATTGTATTCGATGATGCAGGTTTTTGTGTAGTGTTTAATGTAATGAAATTATAATTAAACTTGTTTTAAAAATTAAAACCAAACAATGTTATTTTGTAATGTGTTGATAAAAGTAAATATTAATGTACTGACAATGTGCATGTTGAATTAATACAATTCGTCACAAAAATGTAGTGTACAGGGTGTTTCATTGGTATCGGGACACATGTTAATGAAATATTCTTCCTTAAACGATACATTTTTTCAGTGTATACATTGTAAAAGTTGAATTTTGATTACGTATAAATATTTCAAAAACCATCGCACCAATTAATTAAAAATTTCAGGCTTTTTAAAGTAAATTTGAAAAAAAGTAGTTGACTTTATTCTTCACATATCGACAGTTCCGGCAAAAAAATAATGAAAAGGTGCTTAATTTTCAGTAAAAATGGTTGAAAGTAAAAAACCCAAATGTTTTCTGTTACCTAAGTTAAAAACGTCAATAACTTTTCCCTCTTGATTCATTGTTTTAATTATATTGGTTCTCTAAAACATGTTTCAGAATAAAAGGAAGCTATTTCGCTGAAGCTGTAGTGTAGGTAACCACTTTTGAAATAATTTGCATTTGGTTGCGCATTATTTAGAATCGCTACCGCAAAATTTATCTTCGGCATATTAATTAATATACATACCATATTAATTAATTAAATAGTTTCGAAGTTAGAACCGTTATTATGACAGAGTATCACAATTAAGATAAAACGTAAATACCTACATACATTTAATAATTAGAATTTATTACGATATACCTACAAAAAATTAAATGGAATTCGAATGAACTCCAAAATATTAATTGATGTTCCTTTAAATAAGTATGCCGTGATATGAGAAAACACTTCTATTTTGAAAACGGTTGCATTTTTTTGGTTTCAAATAGTATAATTAATATTACTTGAAATTAAGTAAATTTTCTACATTTTTTATTCAAATTGTATGTAAAAAAACAAATAATCCGGATTATATTTATTCCACAACTAAGATACAACGAGATGAATAGTATTTTTGAAATTATCACTATAAAAAGTATGTGTATTGAAATTTTCGACTTAATCAGTAGAATGGTTCTCAAAGCGTATTGCCAAAATATTATTATTTTTATAATTTTTACATCCAACTACTCAAAACATATCTGTAGACAAACATCCAAATAGCTGAATGATCTTATTGTTAGATGTTTACTAGAACTACTAGAAGTTAAATAGTGGGACGTTTTGTTTTCAAAATACTTTTTGTTAAAAGGGATAATTGGGTATTTTGACGAAAACAGAAGGTAAACCATATCATATGACACAGGGTTGTAATCAGAAAAATGCGCTGTACTTGCGATGTAGTATTTTTCAACGATATTATAAAAGATAAATGTTGTACAGGTCGTGCAACCTTAACGCATACGCACTGCATATACTTTATTGGTTGTAAAATATTTATCCATTCGATCATTATTTGTTGAGTCACTTCCTCTGATCGGTCAAGTGACGTACATTTTAATTTATTTTATTCTCTTATTATATAATGGCCAACCAAACATAATAAAAATTGTATGATTGTTGACTTGTGCTGGCAAAGGCTAGTCTTAAATAAGATTCATATGGTCGCGAATTGCGATTATAGTTGGGAATTGCAATTTCGAAGCAGTATTATTGTAATAAAAAATGGAACTCATTATTATATTTGAAAATTCATTACTTGTTTCACAAAGTTAGTTTTTACAAAAATGAATTTTAAAAAATCTGTGGCCAGTCAGCCTCTGCTCTTAATTAAAATAGTTTTTTTGAGAATGAATGACTCAACGTCCTAAGCCTACTTTGATTTTTTGGTTAATTCATATTTTTCTCTCTAGCAAACACAAGCAGAACTAAACACTAACTTTTTTTAACTTTTGTAAGAGTCGTTTCACCTGTCGGAGGGCACCTTGTATATTTAGATAAATTATTTAAACGGTTTTATTGGAATAGTAAGTACTACTCAGATATATTAAGTAACGTCTAATAAAATTAAATCCATTGACAAATTGTCCCATTAGTATTACTATATATGTCACTAGGGAGCGTGAATGTGTAACAAAACGACATTGTGTACGAGGAAATTGTATCTGTATTTCCAGAGAATCCTTTATATGTTTGAACAATAGCAAATTGTAATAACTAATTATCCCTGACAAATAGGTACAGTTTATGATATTCACATTAAATAAATACCATTCAAATCAGTTTCCACGAAGTAGTGTCGTATAAATTGAAAGCAAAAATTCAGGCAAGAATATTTTTTTATTCGATTTGAACAGTTTTGGACTCGCAACATGACGACGTAATCAAAACCTCTTAAGGCTGGCGATTTATAGACAAGAAATCGCCCTTTTAGTAAGGTATAGATCGTTTTTGTAAAATATATTTAAAAATTTAATTAGAAATAATTATTCCCAATTAAAATAAATGTACCAAGATAATTTTGTATTTAACAATTCACCAAATTTGGCAAGTGCAGCAAATTTTCTAAACATTTTTACAAAAAAAAAACAATTTTTCTCCTAACAAGACTATTTTCTTTTTAATCGAACAGGATCATTTACCAAAATGTAAAATTTCAACTTAAAAATGTGATTTCATCGACGCCTTGTACATATTAAATCCTTGAAAATTATTAGCTATTTATTTGTTTCTTAAATGGCATATCTAGGGCTCTACAATCAACTACAATAATTCTAGTCACTTTTTAGCAGCTACCATATGCCTGTTGGCCTGCAGAAGGTCATATTTTTGTACATTCTTACACAAGCAGAATTTTTTAATAAGAATGGCTGTTATTAATAAATTAAAAATAAAAAAGTGTTCACTCTTTTCAGCTCTATCCGTGAACGTACTGTAGATACAGGATGATCCGCTGTAATTATTACAATTATTTAGCGATAAAAAATAGGTATAATTAATAGCCATTTTGACTAATAACTAATTAACTGTAATTTATTAATAAACAATTAACGTTACAAAATACTAATTGAAAAATTACAGTAAATTTTCAAAAGTTAGTTAGTAATGATAAATTACGGTTTAATATTTCTCTCTTTTTTTTTAAATTGTAGCTACTTTCTGTTGTCACCGTTTGTATAAAGATAAAGGCTAGTAAATTACGCTGTATATATACAGGATGTTCGAGAAACGAAAAATAACGGTACATTCGTTCGAAAGTTCTGTATTAAGGAGTTACATAACCTCAAATTTGTTTTTTTAATTAATATTTTCGTAATTAAGCGATTTTTTTTACAAATTTGGGCACTGGGGACTCCTAATATCTTGAAATTCCTCTTAGTTCCTATTGATAACTTTTTTATTACAGAATTACACAGTGTCAGCTTAAAATTTCTGAAAAAACCTTACAAAAAGGTTTTATTGATCCAAGTCGATAACATTACTCCTTTCGAAAAAAAAAAATGCTAACCTATAATGTTTTGCGAGAATATTTTTCGAGCACGTTTTCCATTTGTCCCTGAATTTAATAATTTTTATAAATCAATCAGTATAATTAATACTTAAAATTGTATAAACAAAATGTAGTTACATTTTAACGGGTTTTTAGGATTGACCAAAAAATATAATCGTTTTTTTTCCAAGAAACCAGTTAATGTTATCGACTTGTAATAAGAGGTTTATTTTCCTTTAAAAATCACTTTAAAAGTTATGATCAATTAAGTAGATTATTGATTTTTAAAAAAAGTGCCATATCCATCCCCTAAACTTTTGTTCGCTATATCCGAAACGCCTTGCATGTACGCGAGTATGTGTCTACATATATTTTTGATCGGGCTTATTTACTTGAAACGAAAATGTGAAACTGATAGGATGCTGTGGTGTGTGTTGAGATTAAAAACCGCACAATTTACGTCACGCCAGTGCTGGCATTAATTAAGATAAATTTGTCGAGAACGTTTTTAAATAAATACATGTAATATTTTTGTTTTAGTTTAGCAGACTGGAGGGGCACAAAGTGCCTACCATACCTCCTGCGGAACCTGGGAGCGTAACGCTGGCACCATCTAACTCTAGTCCCGATATGGACGATGTCAGTAGTAAACGACAGGCTACAAGGTATGTCAAATTATGTTCTTACCCTTATACGCTACACTTGCCATGCTTGCGTTCGTAGCACTCGTGCCGAATTCATTTGGTCTACCAAAAAAGAAACTATGTTTTTGCGCGCAGAAAATGTATCTTTGAGATACGATAGTAATCGTAATCGTGTAAACCAGTACTACTATAATAAATAATCAAATATTTCTGTTTAAATATAGTCCCATATTTATGATATAAAAATTCACTGGCCCGTAACATAGACTATATAAAATTCTTTAACGTAGTTGTATCATATGTTACAATTAATAACCGTTATTATCTTTCAAGACAATTCAAAAGGTGGGCTTTAAATGTGTACATGTGTTTTAAACAACGATGCCATTTACTGAGTAAAACATGTAAAAAATAAGGAAAAAATTATATTCAAAATAAATATTCATGGTTTTTTTAACAGAAAACTTGTTGAGAACCGCTGATTAAAGAATAGAACTTACCACGTAGATGAGCTATGCACTGTTGCCGATGTTACATAAAAGTCTAACTTTAAACAATTTCTATGAACATAAATATTGATCTTCCACTGATAGATTTACACCTTAACAAAACAAAATCGTACAACTTCTGTAATATTTTTTTTTTAATCGAAACAGTCTTGAAGTTCGGGGATATGTGGCTGTTAACAGAACCGAGCCAGAACCAGACGTTAAATATTCAGAAAATACTTATAAGTGAATAAATACTATGTTGGCGAGCAAGAGAAATATTCTGTTAAATTAACAAATAGCGCTATACCAAATGGATAAAATATGTATTGATCAAATTGTATGTATGTTCAAAAAAATTATTACGTATTATTTCAAACGGGTTCACTTATTAAGATCTTCGAAGTTATACTTATTCATAAAAAAGGTAACATGTAGAATGTAGAAAATTTCAGGCCGAGGTATGTTTTCCAGAAGAGTTACCGAATTATTAAAAATACTTGATGGAAACATATTTGCAAACCAATTCGATAAATTTATGTCTCGAACAAGGTAAATTATTTTCAAAAGTTTCATCACATCAAGCATCTTTAGAGAGGTTTCATAAATGAGACATATTTTTTAAACCTCAACATTTTGTATCTCGAAAACGGGATTCAATGTAGGTACCACGTCCTGAAGATAACATAGATTCAGAAAACACACTGTATATCAACCTAACTCTGTTCGGCTGGATAGTATACAGATATTGTTTTGGTTTGAAGCTTTGAAAGTACCTAATAGAATACACTAAATTCATATTTCGTGGGATTCAAATTATTACTCCGAATATTGATGAGTACATTAAACATCCCGTACTATGGAATCCGAAACGTGTATTATCTTACAATTAAGTTAAAAAATCTGAGGTTGTAAGAAGAGGCGCCTCATCCACATTTATTTTGACTTGTTTTCTTTTTAGTCAAGTATGGGGGCAAAAACGCCACCTGCCACTATCACTTCGTTCTGAGTAAAATGTTCGAGTCAATACCCACCTTTAGATGTATAAAATCAAATAAAACTAAGTTAATTTTGACAACCTACAGGCTAAGGATTCAACTGTTAGCAGGGCTTGCCAGAGTGGATTCTTTTATTTACATGATAAAGGACACCTTTTCCACATTTTCTCACAAACTAGGTCGACATTTATGAAGGTTACGCCTTGCATTTTTCCGTAGATCATAAGATACTCTCTCAAAAGCTAATGGATTTAATACATTTGAAATTTTATTTTATTTATGTTTCAAATATATTATATGCTAATTATAATTATATTACTTCGAATCTTTGTTAAACTGGGAACTAGTGAAGACTAGAATTTAATTTTATATTTTTGAGCTTTTTTATTCTTTATTTGGCGTAATGGAAATCATTTTTCGGTTTAATGATTTGAAAACAATTTACAGGTTGGGGAATATCATTCGGCGCAAAAAGGTTTTCGCTGTTACTGATAATTTACAAAATTTCCAGTTATTAAAAACATGCATTTTTTATACAGTAGAATTGTTAAAATTTTATTCGAACTAAATATTTTAACGTTTATTACTTAACATATTTCTATTTTCTATTTATAGAACCGTTTGCTACAGAACAGATACTGATTTGGTACAATGAATAAACGCTTTTTTATTTCAAAATTATCATTGTAATTTTGCAGGTACCTATGTAACAGATAGGTTAGTTAATATTTGTTATTTTTGTTTTGTACGCATATAGCGTACAGCATACAGCATGTTTTTATGTACGTTTTCCTTGTTTTGTTTATGTCTCTAACAATGTAATAACATATCACTAAAGAACTACAAGACAGTCAAATCACAGATGCTACATTTTCCATAAAAATGTATTTTTTTTTTGTTTTGCGTTCTCGTTGAATTTTATTTGGTTATAAAATGTAATCTCCTATTATTTAATAGACGGAAAATAGTAATTTAAATTTGCAAAGTAATTTATTTTTATTATGACAGAGTTTGTAAAATTAAAGACTTCAGATTAATCTTAAATTAGTATATACGGTATTTTTGCACCCATTAGCCTGAAATAATCAAAATAAGTTATTAATTAAAATTTGTATAATATTCGGATTTGGCATTAGCGAGAAACGTCAAATTAATGTTGTCGGTAACTTGGTTTATGCTTTGTCAACCTCTTACGTATGCCTGCCATTTTTTACGAATGTAAATCATTGAAGTGGAGACATGCTTTCGAATGTATCGATATGCACCATCCACATGATGCGGCATTAGTTTGCGTGTGAGAAATGCGTGTATTACGGCAAATTTAAAACGCACGTAGAAAATTAAGTTAATTTTCAGAGTATAAAAACCCATATTAAATTTCTGATTGATTAAATAGGTTTTGTTTAAAAGCGAACCGAGCGCTGGATTTTGGATAACTTTGTTATATGTAAAGAGAGTTACTTTTAGAGGTATATTATTCCCGGGATCAGGGTTCAGGACTACCTACTTAAAATGAGTTTGTACCAAATTTAATTAAAAACATATTCTTATTTGAAGTTTTTATGTTGTCAAAGTTTAAAAAACAAGCACAAAGCTGCTGAAAACTTTGAAGCAAATGGCTGTCGCCATGTGTACAAATATTTACGAACAAATTTGAGTTTAAAATCCTGGAAGATTAATTCTACCTTGATTTAAACTAAATACAAATTTCATAAAATTGTATAAGTACTGGGATATCGACCAATTAATTAGAATTTTTAAATATAATAAGTACTTTGCACACATATATCGTGTCAGCAGTAACGAGGTGTGTGAAAATTGTTTTGATTTGTTCCCGAATTAAGTAGGCCTTCGTAATTAAAAACTTATGGAATTTAAGGAAAATATTTTTGTACTGATATCGATCTTTGGACTTGTGCGCTTAAATATGTATGCGTATTTACGAACTACTTTCGTCAATAGGAAAAGTTACGTTTCGGAAATTAACCTATTTTCGTTCTCAAAACTGCAAATAAGTTTGATAATTTAAATTTTGTTTAATTATCTACGTCCATAATAATACTTGCAAGTAATACACACTTTTTTGTTTCAGGGTTTTTAAGAAAAGTTCTCCAAATGGAAAGGTTTGTTTAAATGTGTCTAACAAATATAATAAGATAACAAAAAAAATTTTTTATACTATAAACAAAATAATTGCCGCTACAACCGTCGAAATTAATTGCCATAGTTTTATTGTTAGAAATTTATTAATTAGTGTCTGAGGGACAACAATCTTCGCGCATAATCTTGTTACACATATTTTACTTGTTACAATAAATCAATCCATTAATTGGCCAAAAATGAATCATGATAAGAACAAAACATAAACCATGGTAGACTTATAATAACTTGTGCCAGACTAACGCAACTGCAATAATAAACACACATACGTAATCTATTTTTCAAATGTTTAATATAAAATCAAGTCTAAAATGTAACTAAAATGGTACTATTAGTCTTGGTCGTGTCGAAAATTGGGACGATTTTTTGAAGACTCAAAGAAGTTTAAGTTGTTAAGAAAGAAAAATCATGATGAAAACCGTCGAAATATCAATAACAGAATTTTTTCGTTTATGTTTCTGTAACTTCCAGTTTTTCAGTTTTTATATTTATTCTCTGGAATTAAATATTTTCCAGTTATTGAAATTTATGCGTAAAATTTCCTTGACGTACATATGATATTTAGCAAGAAAAAAATTAAATGTATGTATCTGACGTACTGATGGGGAAAATATACACTAATTTTTAACATAAAACAGTTGTATAAAAAAGTATTTTATGGTGATGTGACGTCAAAATTAATTATTTTTTAATAATATTAATCATTTTAAAGATCGAAAAATGTCTCGTTTAAAAAGTATAGCGAGATTCTGCTAAAAAAACTAAAGAAAAAACGCCTTCGGAAAATAACTGCTGTTTTCCTTCAAACTTCTCTTGCTTGGAGTTTAATTTTTTTAAATTAATACCTACAAATCGCTAATTAATAAATTTCTGACACCTGTTATTTAGGAAGAATTGTTGTATCTACAATTTTGTAACTACTTACCTACAGGGTCGGAAAGTCCCCATGGTTCATCGGTCGTTACGTGAGAGCTATAAAGAAAGTCATAGAAATCCGTGCGATAGAGAAAGATGGTTATAATGAAGGCGTCTAATAATCACCGCCCATTTCGCCCTTCCACAAATAAGATCCATTTCTTATTTGTGGAAGGGCGAAATGGGCGGTGACTATTAGACGCCTTCATTATAGCCATCTTTCTCTATCGCACGGATTTCTATGACTTACTTTATCGCTCTCACGTAACAGCCGATGAACCATGGCGACTTTCCGACCCTGTAGATATTTTCGGTAGAAAAGAACAAAAAAATTTGAATGTTGAAGTTAAATTCATTCAAGATCTAATTTTTTTTAATGAAATATTATTTTTATTAGATTATTGTTTTATTAAATTTATGTTTCGCAAAGTAACCTTTATATTAGTTGTATTCCATCCATGATAAATTAAATTATAATAAATTATATTTATTAGTGTCCTTGTGGATGATATTTTATTCTAAATTAAGGTTATTATATTGTTTTTCCCTTTTGTATATAGACACAAGCGAGAGTAAAATTCTCTTCATCTTTTATTATTATCCTGGCATGTAATTAAAAGCGAATTCTTTGAAGAACGTAAACAGGGATTGCGAGTCTTCTTTTAATATTAAATTTTTTAAATTTCGTAATTTTAATTTAGAGCATTTAAAATTAAATATTAAAAATTAAATAAATAAATATCGTATGTCATCTTAAAGTACATATATCTATTATTATTAAAGAAAGGAGTTGCGATTTTCGCGAAGTTTAACATTTTTTTGAGAGAAAAAAAACAAAGTTGGTCTTGAGTAAAATCAATTGCACTACTGAATAGAATTTAATTCCATTGTTCTATGTGACTATCTGTGAACATGGGCGTAGCTAAAATTTTTGCTAATATTTCAAAACCTAAGCACTTTCGTTTAATTCTAAAATAAAAAATATATGACCGGACTTTCTGCTGGTATGGGCCGTGCACACCCTGTCCGCCCCCCTAGTTACGCCCATGTTTGTGAATGTTTTTAAACGAAACATTTCTATCAGTAATGCTTCGATCTTAGTAATGAAAACCATTTTTTTTTTATTTGAAAAATAAACCGCTATGGCTTTTTCCCTTCTTGACATAAACATGACAAACTATATACAGCATGTTTCATAGGTAATGTGTCACAGAGCTGTGAACAGAGGTAAGCGAAAATATCAAAAATTTCGTTTTATTGGCAATAACTGAAAAGTAAATATGTATATTTAAAAATTTATTTCGCGAAAACCGCAACTATTTATCTTTAATAATAATCGAGAACATATTTTCCACAGATAACCGTCTACCTTGGCAAACGGGACTTCGTGGATCACATATCCCATGTAGATCCTATAGGTAAGTTTGTTCTACATATAATATTCCAAGTAGGTAATATTCGTATTTTTTAACGGAAATTGACGAAATTCTCCACAGCTTACTCTCAAGGGGAGATCTCGTAAATATCGTTTTATAACACAGTTAAGTTATTCGGGATTTGATTTAGCCGCTTCGTCGCTGGCTAAAATTATTTTACATATGGGATATTCAGTAATGATATAACTGCAAATTATTCCCCGATTGTGTATTCAGCGAACGGCATGTTTTCACAATTTTATATTTATTTCAATCGATAAGTCTGTTTACAAAATGTAAATAAAAGTTGAAACACGTTAAAACGGTGTGCTAAAAATATTTCACTACCAGCACAATTTTTTAATGATCCGTGTCAAAATGGAATAAATAAAGTTTCCCTTTCGAATTCGTATTGTTCGACTGTTTCTGTTGCAAACTGTTTTAAATAATTTTTTAATTAGTCACATTAAATTTTATAATACCTGCGTCTATTTAAATTGTTTATGAATTGCTTCTTAAGAAATCGGAGGTATTTCTCGGCTATTTGTTGTTTTTTTAACCTTTTGTAAGCCAGTGGAAAAATAACTTTTTGTATTCTAGACGGTGTAGTATTAATTGATCCAGATTATGTCAAAGATAGAAAGGTTTTCGGACACGTATTAGCAGCGTTTAGATATGGCAGAGAAGATCTAGACGTTTTGGGATTAACTTTTCGTAAAGACTTATATTTAGCGGCAGAACAAATTTATCCACAAGAAAATACATCACAGAATAAACGACCTCTAACAAGACTGCAGGTGCGATTGTATATGTTTTATTTTATTTCCTCTTCGCGTTATTAAAAATATGTTCTCTAATTTTTAGGAACGATTAATAAAAAAATTAGGACCAAATGCTTACCCGTTTTATTTCGAGCTACCGCCGCACTGTCCGGCATCCGTCACCTTACAACCCGCCCCTGGGGACACTGGAAAACCTTGCGGGGTCGATTATGAACTTAAAGCCTTCGTCGGCGAGACTCAAGATGACAAACCCCATAAAAGGAATTCAGTCAGGTCTGTTTTTTAAATTAATTTATGTATGTATGTAATACAGAGTGCAAATTTAACACCCTTTATTTTTAAAACATTTTCTGATCGATTGGTCTTTTACTTTTTATACGTGCATTGTAGGCTGGCAATTAGAAAGATTATGTACGCCCCCAGTAAACAAGGAGAACAACCGTCCGTGGAAGTTAGTAAAGAATTTATGATGAGTCCGAACAAGTTGTACCTGGAGGCTTCCCTAGATAAAGAATTGTACCATCATGGAGAGAACATTGCAGTTAACGTCCATATCGCAAACAACTCCAACCGGACTGTTAAAAAAATTAAAGTATCAGTTAGACAGTTCGCAGACATATGTCTTTTCTCTACAGCTCAGTATAAATGTACAGTGGCGGAAACAGAAAGCGAGTAAGTTATTTTTATTTATTCTCTTACTTTTACGAATTTTTTAGAAACACTGTCGAATACTAGCCGTAAGAATTGAAATAATCAGGTTGTTTGTATAAAAAATTCTGCATTTTATAATAAATTTAGATTTGTTACGATGGCGACCCAAACTGTAAGCCCACCTCTGTAATTTCGGTTAAACCGGAAGGGATAGAAAAATTATTTGTTTGTAAAATTGGTCCATTTGCCGCTTATTTTGCTCATATCTGGTATCATGTCGCTAACACTAATGTGAGACGAGGTGTAGGGGTGAATCTATTGTTTGGGTCACACGGTATGTGGAGAAGCTACTTACATATTTATTAAATTAAGCTAACTCCGAAAATTATAACAATTTAAGAGGAAACAGGTACAGATATTTCCTCAAACTAATTTTACTTTTATTTTTTGCGGTAGAATTTGAAATTAAATTTGTAGAGGTGCAGATAAAGCAAAATATTTAAATTTTCGATTTATTTTTAATCCATCACGTAGGATGGCATAATTGGTCTAGTATTTGGAATTTTATTCTAAATTTACATTTTTAGTAGTAAGATCCATGCGACGTAGTAAGTAGAAAATTTATAGGAGACTAAAATAAATAACTAACTGTAATACAGGGCGGCATGTTCAAAAGTAAGTCTAGACTATCCAACTCGTTTCATTAGATTTTCGGAAAAAATGGCAGACATTTTCTAATGTAATGAATTCATTCGTAAAAAGTTACTTCTTTACCTTTAACTCGCAATGTGGGTAAAATGGAAGAAATAAAGTACCGTTATAAAGCTAACGAAATAAGCTTTAAAGTGGTATGGTCATTATCATGTCATTAAAGGGGAACTATCAATAATAAATAAAATTTGGTACACGTTTTTGGTTATTTGTTGACGCGCGAATAGGTTGCGTAGAACTCATAGCTACCTTGAAAAAGAATATAATTTTCATCAATGAGCGGCGATAAGAAGAGAAAGTAAAATAAAAATTTAACATTAGCCTTTCCTAACGCGCATGCTCAGAAAGAATAACTTCATACACAGGCGAGATCTTGTTGATATGTTATAGCTATCATCATTAGCGTATTTTCTCTTGTTTTGTTTAATCTTGGTATTTTCTAGTTCCACTAAGTATTTTTATTGTTTTTTTTTTGTGCTAAATATATAAATTCTATTAGTTTGTCACTTGGGGTTTGAAACTTCTTAAATATTTCTAATATTGCCAGAATATCGAAATATTTAAGGTCATGACAAAGAAGCCATTTTTTTGCCACTTATGTCCAAAGGTGGAAATTCTTCATGACAATGTGCAACTATGGGGGTTGCCTATTATTTGGCGCATGTGACGTCACTACTAAAAAGGTTTATTATATACCATCATTACCGTGCTACAGGCTCAAATTTTACATTTTCACGAGATACGGAAAAAATCGACATATTCTTGTGGTTTAGAAGAAATTTATAAAATATACTTTCGCTGCTGTATTGACCCCTACTTTGAACATTCGATGTTAATGTTGGTTAAAGAACGATCTACAGAACTTTGGCAGTCGAATTAAGGGATAACCTGTATAATTTAAATTTAATTAAAATCACACAAAAACTTCTCGATGTCGTAAAGTCACTTTTTAATTATCTTATCGTTTGGACTCTCTATCTGCGTTGATATAACGTAAGCCATGCTAAGTCGCGAAGGTCTTTGAATGTGGCGTTTAAAAAGAAATCGTCATTGAATGTCGGACTGAAGTAAATTCAAATGTGTTTAAAAAATGAAATGAAGCGTACAGTTTTATCGAGTATATTAAATCTTTAAGTAAATATTGCAGCTTGAAAACATTTTGTTTTTTAAAGTTAAATGTCGTAACTCATCAGAAGAGTCTTAGTGTAAATCATGCGTGCTACGTATGATTAGTTCGGTACTTGTGATTATCTAAATAACTAAACGCTGCTATAAAAAGACGTATCTCGTACCATTTCTGGTCATTCCTAATCTTAAGAAACTTTTAAACAAAGTATTTTTTAACCTAATGTAATCTAATTTTAATCCTGCAACAAGTTGAGAGCAAATATATGACAAATAACAACGACATGCAAAAAAGAATATACATTTTTATACTAACAAATAAACTACAATTAATTGAAAATGTTCGTTTTACTAAATATATTGTGTATATGTATATGCGTGTATGGATAAAATTGTAAACATGTGTTATTTACAATATGTCGTTAATAAGTGCTTAAAAAACTACGAAGTTCCGAGGAATGTTGAACAGATGATAGTTGTTACAAGGAATGCACGATACGGATCGATTTTCCAATACCCGATATTTTCCATATATTTCGCCGTTCCACAAAGCGATCCAGAGGTAAATTAACAGCGAGTAATTTGACTCCATCCATCCATTAACGTGAAAATTATTCGTATTTGGTATTTGTAAATAACGGATGGCAAACGGTTATTAATATGGCTCTAAATGTATCATCAAGGCAGAGAAGCTTTGTTTCATGGAAACAATTATATTCAGTCAATTTACATGTTTAGTACTACCGGGAATATGAATTTTTGTTAATGAATGAAATATGTATTTGAGAGCAACAGATGCATAGTAAAAATAATAGACTCGCAGTAGCGGCAACATATACGTAATGTGGTTGTTTAAATTTTAATATGTGCAATTCATTAAATACCTGTTATGCCTACTATGCAAGTTTCATTATACTCGCAGTGGAAATAATTTCCTTTGCAAATATGCATTCTTGCATCGTTTAGGTTTTTTAAGCTATTTCAAAAGACTGATACCCATTGACATCGGAGATGAAATTTTACTTAAAATACGCTTGCGCTTGATCGTTTTTTTTTTTCATGTGAATAAATAAGATAAAATAATTCTGGCGTTGAATTCTTACACCGTTGTACGTTTGTTGCAACGATCGTGAGGGACTAGTTTGAAATTATCGAAAATGTTTGCTCAACTGCTTGCGTTATAGGTATTCACCGAAAAAACAATTATTTTTAACCGATTCGATATTTTTGGTGATTTGAAACCGGTCCCAAACTACCTAACATGTTTGCAATGTAATTTACAACATTTAAAACTACGCGTCTGACGCACAGGTGTAATATCTAAGGCTGAAGTACGCGCTAGATCAATTTGATGTTGACAGGCGAAGTCGAAGATCACGCATAAAGGCACGCTAACGTGCTCATAACTAAAAATCCAACCAACTGTAGTGTATACAGTATACACCGACTGTGGAAGATGAAAGTACATCACAAATCGCTAGTAAAATACGTGCGTCATTAAAAACAGCCAAATTCTACCGATTTGGCGCATGCGTTACACGCGCTATATGCGCCTCTAGTGTACATAAGTCCTATGGTATATTATCTACAGGGTGGGTCAATTTCACAAAAATTATTTAGGATGCCTTGGTTTTCGAGAGAAAATAAAGAGGTTTTAAATGTCTGTACCTGTTAACCTTTTTTTACACTAAATCAGACATCGTAGAAGAACTAATATACACAGGGTGTCCTACAATATGGTACCAAACCGAACTAGAAGATAAGTAATGTCATTTCAAGCAGTTTCTTATTTTTTACTATTTTCGGTCCTGTTTCACAGAAAGCTTTTTTTTTTAATGAAATTTCCTCCTGTTTCCATTTGGCATCATGTTTTGTAACACCTTGTATAAATGTATTCCAATAGCCATTTTTTATACAAACAACTGAAAAGGTACCTACACTATTTCTAAGTATATTAGAATAACTGCATTTTAGAATAAAAAATTTCACTCCTTCCTCTGTAATATTTGCAACTTGATTAAATTATAGAAATCATTTTCACGTTAACATAAGAAAACTGAAGCTTTTTTGCTTTTCCATTTTCCCTCATCATCAAATGCAAAACACATGAATCTTGAGTTTGTTTGGATAAATTAAATATTACAGAGAAAACTGGAGGAGAGTTAATCTGCTACATTGGGTTATGAATAAATTAAAAGCATGTAGCACAGACATTTATTATACATTAAGTTAGAATGTCCGTAATGGATAGAATATTACAGTGCAGGTTGTCCAATACCACAGGGCTATACATTGAATAAAGTATTCTCTGTGCGGCCCTTGTTGGCTAATAACAAGGATAAAAGAGGGTTGGCCTTAGATGGTCAATTAAAACACGAGGACACCAATTTAGCTTCCTCAACTATGTGAGTTAATCTGCAGCTCGCCTTCCCTACTTACCAATTGACACCCTTCCATAATTCCACATTTGCATTGATTTGTTTGTTGTTTTTTTTATTATTAATATGTAGGAACTGGTCTTATAACGGACCTTTCAGTAGGTGTTGGTTTCTTGCATGCTATACAAATTTTCGGACATTTTGACACGACTTTCAACCTAAGAAAATTGTTTGTAGATATCCTTATTTTTGTTTATTTTAGTTTGAGAGTAATTGTTCAGTTCACGTACCAAAAGGTCTCCAGTATATAAATTTATATAATATAAAATTTTCCATATACAGATCAGTGCAGCTTTATAGAGTAGAAACTTTTATTTTGATAACATCAGTAAATTTTATGTTGATTTATCAAATCCTTTGTTAAAAAATAGTAACACATCAATTTATTTTTGGTTTTTTAATAATGGTTGCAAAATTAAAAGCACTTTTCAATATTAAAATAATGAATACATACAGGATGTCCAAAAGCAAATGGGCCATATTTTAAGGGCAAGCTTTCGTGGATAAAAATAAACCGATTTAAATCAAGTTATTTTAGTACAATGGTACGGAGATCACTATGAATACCTAAAACATTCTTTTGTTCTACAGCTTTTTTTGTTTGTAGAGCTATCGGAAAAGAGTTATTTTGTGTAACTTTTATTTTACTTTAATGCTAATTCGAATTCTAAAATTTCTCCTATCCAATATAGTTTTATGTAACGTTACTTTATTTACTGTAAAAAAGGTATATTTGTAGCATATCAGTAAAATGTATTATTCCAGAGGAAAGCCGATTTCAATGTTTTGCTGCAATTTATTAATCACAAATTCCCGACTATTTGCAGGTATTTTATGTAATTAAATTGAATACTTTTACTAAATATGTACCTTCATTAAACTTTTTTAATATTTGAATCGATTTATCTCTTCGAAAGTCAAAGCCTACTGATGCATAAGCCTTTAAATCTTGTTTTGCAAAAAGTATTTCAAAGGGTCTCATTAGATGTTAATATTTGAACAAAGTTAAGATAGTCTAATTCGTAAAAATATTTAATATACAGTGTGTCCACGGATGGAGTTGACAAGAGGAGAAAATCTTTTGTTTTTGACTTTATCGAAAAATGTTACTCTTTATAAAATGTTCTGTCTCTCGAAAAAATGAGACCGTCATACAAACATCTTAGATTAGATATACAGGGTGCTCATAAATTAAAAAAAAACGAAAATACTCAAGAGAGAAGTACCATTATTTATTATTTTACACAACATTTTTCAAAACAAATCTGTTTATAACCTCAAATAATGTCCTAATACAAATTTTAGAATCAAAATTTCAATTTTGATTTTGACTACATAGCTAACTTCCACCTCAACACATTTTTCCGCTAACTTAATAAATTTTTCGTACACTTTGCGAATAGTTTGAATGAAACCCATTTAATTCATTTATCCCTTCTCGTATGCGCTCTTTTAATAGAGGCAGATCATTTGAACAATGGTTAGCAGATCATTTTGGTGAAAGGTGGATAGGAAGATTTGGCCCAATCCATTATCCTGCTAGATCACCTGACTTTCTTCTTTGGGGTGCCCTAAAATAAAAGGTTTATTCAACTGATCTGCCACATGATAGGGAAGATTAAAAGTGCGCATACGAGAAGGATAAATTAATTAAATGGGCCTCAAACGTTTACGGAAAATTTATTAAGTTAGCGGGAAATTGTGTTGAGGTGGGATGTAGCTATGTAGAGTAAAAGTTTATTTTAAAATTTGTATTAGGACATTATTTGAGGTTAAAAACAGATTTGTTTTATAAAAATGTTGTGCAAAGTAATAAATAATGGTAGTTCTCTCTTGAGTATTTTCGTGTTTTTTTAATTTATGAGCACCCTGTGTATCTAATCTAACATGTTTGTATGACAGTCTCATTTTTTCGAGATGCAGAAGTTTTTATGGAGAGTGACATTTTTCGATAAAGTCAAAAACAAAAGAGTTTCTCCTCTTGTCAACTTTCTCCGTGAACAGACTATATAAATTTAACAACTTTTAATTAGAATAGAATGCCCTTAAAAACGTAACTGTTTGTAATCGACAACAGCTAAAAAAAATTTAAATCTGTTTTTCTCTGAAATGGTTCATTTTAGCAACATGTGTAAGGTTATTTTTACAACAAATAAAGTGAGGCTTCATAAAACATCTCCATTTTATCAAAATCTGTACCAACAAGAAACCAAAAAATGTCTTAGGTATTCCTAGCGACCTGTATGACAAGAAATAAACCTGTTCATTATTGGCTATTCCGAAAACCTTCCTCTGCCAAATTTCATTGAAATATCTTGAGAAAATTCACTTTTTAACAATTGCTTTTTAAAGGTCTCAAACTTTCTAAGGTCATAATTCTGTAACTATGGCATTTTTCATCCAAGGAAGCTGGCTCTTCCGTTTCGGGACACTGTCAATAACTTGTATGTTGCTAAAAGACACTACAAATTTCCCTGTCAACTCAAACCCTTATTAGTATTAAGATATAACGTTTCCACTCTGTATGCGAGATTAACAAGTTGCCGATCTTTAAACTTGCTCTTGGCGTTTCGTACATTACATCGACTGTAGAACTTGAACAGAAATTTTCTCAAAAAAAAAGGGCGATGGGATGCAGAGTCTGCAGATTTAAAAGTTTTTATGTGTGATTAAATTTGTTTGTTTTTTGTGTGATTTGATTTGAGTAGAGAGGGGTGTCCCATCGGCCCAGGCTTCACTTTGAGCAAAGTCTTTACACTCACACCTCTACTGGCCAATAATAAGGATAAGTGGGGCCTCGCTCTGGATGGACAGTTAAAGCATGAGGACACTAATTTAGCGTCAAGCACTTTGTAAGTTAAAAAACAATTCAATTTTTTTTTATTTTTCATCATCGCATCATTTAACGGTTCAGTATATTTAGTTTTTATCAACAATTATAATTTCTGCCTTCATTATTGTTTCTGCCAGCCATTCATTAATTAATATTAAAAAGTAGCTGGTTCTTCTTGCGTCTTGTTATTCCTTATTTCTACATGGTGGAGGTTTTTGTCGTCCAAGTTATATATATTTTTTGACAAAGGTAACACTTTTTGTTGTATTTAAATAATTAAAATGTTTAAAGCTAATTTCCCCTTTTGTACATACAGGGTGTCCCGCATAAGAACCGACACAGGTGCATGTAAGGATGTCCAAAATATTGTTATTTAACCAAACTTCCCTAAATTAAAAAAATATATAATATCTGCAACATTTTACCGTAGAAGAACTAAATTTGGTACATAATTTAGGTTTATTTAAAATTAAATTCTGCCGTGAATTTATATTACTTTTCAATTCAATCAATGAAAAAAAAAGTTCGGTATTATTTTAGGGGCGAGTCATCCCCAATACCTTGTCACCTTGTAGTGCTTCAATAAACTTTAAATCATAGTCAAAGAAGACCAGTAATAAATCTAAATCATGTACCAAATTTGGTTCTTCTGCGGTAAAGTGTTGCAGAGATATTAATCTTTTTCAAAATTTAGGGCCCCAATTTGGGGGCTAATAACTCCTCAGGGGTACAACTTTGTATATAGGTTAAGTTTGGTTAAATTACGATATTTTGGAGACCCCTACATGCACCTGCCCTGTGTCGGTTCTTATGTGGGACACCCTGTATAATTACATTGTTATTGTTATTAAAATTGCTTATACAGCTGCTTATAAAAAAATATATTGGGTGTTTTGAAGAAGGTGCCACAAATAGTTGGCGATGCATAAAAAAATATGACAACTTATTTCTGTAAATCATGGGTGGTTTATTATCGTTTGTTTTTTAAATACAAAGTACAAAGGATTATTTTCTCTTTAAGTAGGTTTCACAATTACAATTTTCCCACCTAGTAAATTAATCAAGGAACTGCCAATTTTATTTTGGGGCGTGTAATATAAAAATTGTTTTAATTTTTGATCCGGTTTTATTTATTTAAGTTTTAGTGACTTAATTTTTATTCTGTACTACCAGTGTTAGTTACATTAAAAAATCTTTTTATTTTTATCACAGATTTATATTTAAAATCTATATCTAATGGTTTTTTTCATCAAATACATTGATATGACAGAATAACAAACTTAATGAAAGCAAAAATTTACTACTTGATTATGGCAATTTCGGTTTTCTGGAAAATGGTACATGCTCAGAAATTTAAAATTAAACTTTGCGACATAACATGCAAACAAAATAGGCAGCCTCAAAATAATTATGTTTTAAATTTCACTGAGAAAAGTCACATTGATGTTTTGAGTTACATATCCACAATGTACCAAACAATGCAATTAATTACCTTACCTACATTTTCTAAATAGCTTGATATTAGAAAATCATTTTTGGCGTGTTGAAAAGGCAATAGATCCTACCTATAGTTCATACGAAAAATTGGTCACATTTTTTGTGTTTCACCAACTGCTGAATTTATGATGTGATTTTTAAAAACATCCTGTATATCAATAATAATAATTAGCTGTATACTATTTGGCATTGTAACATAACAATTTTCATTAAAGTATCGATTAATATTTACATTTTTTTATAAAATTCTGTTTTCTCTATACATATAGTACATGTATTTCTAGATTCTGTAAAAAAATAAAATTTCTTGTGATAAGCTGCCTTTTTATATTTTTTCCAAATTTGAAACATTTTTTTTATTTTCAAATTTCTTTCACAATGCTTTTATTTTCATTTTATTAATTCCTGTAAATCTATTAAAAATGTTTATCAGAGAAGGAAGTTCGTAAATTGTTCTAAATTTATTTTATAAACAAAACTTGTTTTCATTCAAGTTCATTTTATAGAAAAAAATCCATGTCCACATTTACATAAAAAACTTATTTTTACATGAAGAATTCGTTGAAGACGTAATTGAAGACGATTCATTGTGGTTCAAGACGTAATTGATTTGATATTTGAATTTGTGTTATTGAGTTTGATAATATGTGCACTTACCACTTACTATACTGTGTAGTAAGCTTCTTTTATACTAAAAAACTTGTCCTTACTAATTAACATTGTATAATCTAAGCTCTATTTGTATCTTATCACATGAACCTGCAAATTTCTATTTCATTCATCGCACATGAATATAAACAGTTTACTGGAAGTGTATAATGGGCAAAGGTAAACACATATTTCAGCCAAAAAGATAATGAAAAAAAGCAATTATTTCTACAGTATGACTCACTAACTGATGCAAAGAAAGATCATTTTTTTTCAAGAAAGAATTGGTTTTTAAAATTCATTCTAACAGATCGTAAATTTAAAATTTCGCTAATAGTTTTGTTGTTTATACAGGGTGTTTTCTAAATTCAATTCATAACTTCAGGAAGCTGTTCTTCGTATCAAAAAGCCCTTAATTAAACAAAAACCTAATTCTTGAGGTTCAGGGCTTGCTATTCATTGCTGTTGGGAATCAAGTGGCTTGTATGTTTTTCTTAAAACAGTTGATATTCATTTGTCTACAAATTTTGACATCTCTGTCCATAGCCAATTTAGATAATTAAGAACAGGAACTCGCCCATCAGTTTTTTTTTAAGTATAAACAATACACCCTATATATTTCGGTTTCTTTATAAACAATCGCTGTATTATTGATCTTACCTAAAGTTTAAATTGCGATTCTTGAAAAGTAACTATATAATGAAAATATGTTGTAAATAATACAGTATTAATTTTTCGGCAAATCTTATCCTTATTTCATGTCACTGTATAGGATTGCTGTAGCTTCCATTTTCGAAAAGTTCTTTAACTTTGCATGCTTATCTGTCCAGCTCCTCTTCATTTTTATTTGCATGATACAGACTAAAGTGACTGAATCACTATATGTAATAAAGGATTTACGTTTACAGAGTTGCTGACCCTTCACAACGAGAAAACTTGGGAATCATAGTACAGTACAAAGTCAAAGTAAAATTGTGCTTAGGAGCTTTGGGAGGGTAATATTGGATGTATATTGTTGTTTATCTTTGTATGTATAATTTTTTTTATACACAGGGATTTAGTTGCTGAACTTCCATTTATTCTTATGCATCCAAAACCCGAAGAAGAAATTATTCCACCGCCATCACCCTCGCGACGTGTAAGCAAAGACGTGGGTAACGATGTTCCAGTTGATGCAAACCTAATACAACTAGATGCGTAAGTACATTTAGAAACAATAGATAGTTTTAAATAAACGGTAATGAAAATTTTAGTGATGAAAATAATCTACAAGATCACGATGACGATATAATATTTGAAGATTTTGCCAGATTACGGTTAAAAGGAGGAGAGACTGATGCATGAGACCAGGTAGAGGCAAAGGCATCTGTGCCAGCCCGTCCATTAATACCTATACGTACCGATGTGTATGTCATCTGCGATTAGGTGTAAACCGCTCCACAGTGTGTACCCTAGTCATCGGCTGTGCTGCAAGCCACAACCAGAACGCACTATTATACATTTAGAAGATCATATGTCCCCTTCTTGGTTTTCTTACATGTAACATAACACTAAATATTTATTCATTATAACGATGTAACGAATCAATATGTATCTATTGTTTTCCCTTAAATGTTACCTCTATAAATGTCACTATTTTCCTATAATACCTAAAGTCAAAGCACCAAGACATTATTTGGTCTTTGAAGCCATATACTAAACCCTGAGTTTATTCATGCGTGAATATTCATATCCAAATAGATAAATTTGCAAGATTCAATTGTTAACAACGACTCGTCGTCGAGACTTATTCCGAAAACATATTTTTGAGAAATTAAAAATGCTTTAAACATTTAACAAACTTATGAAATTATTCTTATGACCTGTAACATTAGTCAGTCAATATTAAAATGCTCACTAACTCTGATATAATTATATATAGATTGTAGTACAAGGGAGTGGCGTAAATTTATTCGAGCAATTGTTCAAAGCTCGCCAACCTCAATCGAGGTAAATAAGTGCCAAGGTATCGTATAGATGAGAGTTACTTAAAATGGTGGTGCTTTGATTTTAAAATGTATGTCGAGTAAGTGTAGAGAAACTACTACACTAATTTTGTAATTTAATAAAATTTATACCGAATTTTATTAACTAAGTATTTTATATTAATTTTTTAAGCACTTTTATACACATACTCAGAAGGTCCAAACCGACTGTGGTGTACCATTTGACTTTCGACATGTAATTACTTGCTTCCGACTTTACTTTTCAGTATTATGAATGCATGCAAAGAAGCATATCTAACCTCACTTTAATAAAATAGTTTCGACTCGTATAGCAGAAATTTGTCTTTGGCGATAGCGCTACTTCTGTAATCACTTATAAAGTTCTTACAATTCCTCAAAAAAAAAAAAAGTTGAAAAAAAAGTTATCAAACTTTTCCCACTAAATGATACCCCGGTGAACTCGAGCTTTTGTTATATCGATTGTAAATGGTTCTAATATAATAGAGTGAAGATTCTAAGTGTTTAAAATAGCAGTTAGCGTCAAATGGTGGTTACAATTTTTGGATTCTTGATACTGATTTAAATAAATTTTATATTGAAATATTTTCCAATTAAGTTTGTGAAATAATTATAATATTTAAAAAAAGTGAAGCCTGGTTTTTCAATCAAAAGTTAGTTTGCACTTCCCAAATAAGCAACTTTGGTCTAGTATTAAAATGTAACGTTTCAACTCAATATATATTTCTAAAATAACTTCAAAGTCAAATAATTGACTTGACTAAAACAAAAAAAAATAGTTATGAATTACTTCTGATTGTAATACCAGGTTTTAATTACTTAATTAACATTTAAATATAAATAGTTTTACTGGCACAAAATCTATGCATTCAAATTTCACAACTTTGTAGCAGTGTTGGCATAAGGTTAATTAACCTTAATTAATGTTAATTAATCGCCGGTTAATTTTGTTAAGAATTAACATTTGGTTAATTTCAACATTTCGATAAAATGTCACATCAGAAGCTAGCAAATAAATAAAAACAGAGTTAAATGTAGATTACTACCACTTTAATTACTGTTTGTATAAATAAAGTCTATTAAAGAAAATGTTGATAGGAATCAAACAATAAATAAATGTATTTTGTAAATAGTTTAATAATGCTTTGCAGATTTTACACGATTTGTAGACAGCATGTAGCCACATCCATTTTAAATATATGATGTCTTGAAGGTAGCGTCAGAATATCCCGAAAAGATATGTATTGTAAATATAGAAGACAACGAAGATACATTGTGCAACAAATATTTACACCAATTGCCACATGACTTGGCAAGGATTTTATTTGAAAAAAAAAGTCAAAAATTTTATATCCTGAAAATAATAAACTTATCTTCTTAAATAGTTATAAAACTGTAATATAATTGTGTTTAGTAAATATTTAGTCAATTAATCAATCATCTAAAAAAGAGTAATTAATTTTGCTGCACAAAAAATATGTCGAGATTAATCACGTGTTAATTTTGATGGATATTGTCCTGGTTAATTAACACGAATTATAATTAATTCATTGTCAACACTGCTTTGTAGTGTATATAACACGACCGAAATATGCTCGGAAAATTTTAATGGTAAAATTGTGTATGTGTACTATATTTGCTGTTTTCACTCGAATACCTTATTCCAATTTTCCGAATTCTTACAAATTGTTAATAATTATATTTTACAACATTAAAGAAATATTAAAGAAGGGTTAGCGAGTGATTGCGTTGAGTCGATTATACATTTGTCAAATTTTACTGTAAGCACATTCATTCTCATTAATTTTTTAAAATTTTTTTTCAGTCGGATAACAAGCTAAAAGAAACTTTTATTAATTCTTAAGGTAAAGGTACCAGTTCATTTACAAAGTTTTTTTTGATGTTCATATGCATTTTGCTCCGTAGGATCTCATCGTTATTTTGTGGGATCAGGGAGAAAATATTTATCACTAAGCAAATTATTACGCTTTTGTTTCTACTTAAACATAACGTAGCAAATTTAGTATTTTGCCAATAATATTAAAAATTTATTTTTTACATATTATGTGATATATTTTGTATTTTTAACTAACTTAAAAACACATTGTCTTTTGATACTTTTTTTTTTGTAAATATATTTTTGTTAATCCACTGTGCCTTGTGATAAATGTATTTCTTCAGTTCTGGGATGTATTGTAACTTTAATTCGATGTTTTATAATAGTATCTGTTAAAGTATGCTGCTAGCAAGCCAAATACAATGATTTTTAATTGAATTTTCTAAATTTAAAAATATTTTTGTAATAGATAATTTTATTTTTAATGATTACCATGGCTTGCAAAAATAGCTTATGAGTGTTTTATTTTATAAGGATCTAAAAAATTAATTGTTTATGTGTATCCCAATTTCAGTCAGTACTAGTCTATATTTCAAAAGATCATAGATTAATATATGAAAATTGTCAATTTTGGTGTTTAAATTACCCTTTAGGAGTTATTATTTTTATAGAACATTGATAGTTTTACCACCCTTAAATAGAATTCTATTTATTCTTTTTAATTTAATATGTAATTATTCTGTAAAATAATTGTGTATACTAATTACAATAAATTAGTGATAAAGTAAACCGTGCATTTGTATCTTTAACCACGTCAGTGGTGGCTCGTGACATTGAGAATAGGTGAACCATATTCATTGATTAACTAAAAAGAAAAAAAAAACGGTGCTAGCGAAAATTTTCAAATTTTCAAGGTCAAACGGTTTTAAATGAATCTGGAAATTTTTAGTTGTACTTGCAATATTACCAAAAAACTGACGTTGGAGAAAAGGATTTTCATTTAGATTTTATGACGTGCATGACGTTCCCAAAATTGTTAAATCCCTTCTTATTCCATACACCCACAATTAAACATGGCATACAGAAAAGTTTTTAAAATCAACATTTTCATTCATTCCAAAACTTTGGAACTTACACGTCTTTTGACTTCCCCTTTTTTCCATATCGAGAGAATAAGGCACAGGTCTCTCACAATTTAAAAAATACTTTGTCCTCAATTTTCCATCTGGAAAATGGCGTTTCCAATAAAATACATATTGGATCATACATGGGAAACATTTCTACAATTACACAGCCACATAAAAAAGAAAAAGTTGTCTGTACTTTTCATGAGACATATGTTATCCGTAGCATTTTTGCTTCCTGATCACTAATTCGGTGTATCACATCACAGGAATTTCCTAACCTCAAAAAACAGGTCAAAAATAGCAAAAATTCACGAAGATGCTAGGCAAAAATACTACATATAACATATGTCGCATGAAAAGTATAGACAACTTTTTTTTGTGTGACATTATACAAAACAAATAAATATTAACGAAGAACCATTATAATCGTGCACTGGGCAATGCGTATCGTATAAACTGTTAAAGATAGGTGTTGAGCAATGTTGCTTCAATTTCTGCGTCACTCGTTCCCGCACGCCATAGTTTAATCCCGAGTTGGTCGCCTCGTTGCCATAATAACAGCTGTAAACAACGCTACAAAGAGAAGTAGAATATAGATTGATTTCAATCTGTGTCACTTGCATATACTATACGTTGTATGGTATGTACTAGGCGGAAATTTTAGGTGAAGCAGTGCGTCACTGAACCATGTTTTATGTTTAGAAAACATATTTTTCTTATTATATCTGAATTATAAATAATTTTAACAATGGATAACTGCAAAAATGCATAATCCATAAATAAATATTGATAACGGTAAAGTATATTTCTATTTATTAGTTAAATCATTGTAAATTACAAAAACAAAATTTGAACAATTATTTAGAATAACTACTATGCAGCACTCATTTAATTAATTAAATCAGTACAAATATAAATAATGGTACAACATAGCCTTAACGAATCAATCAATAGACAACTTTAAAAATAAAAAATATATATAGAGGGCTATGCGAACAACCCATGTGTTACAATTTTAACAGAACTATCCTAGACTGATAAAGGAATGCGTAATGCAACGCAAAAGGAATGGATACTGGAGTGTAGAAGGAAAGAAGACTTCTGTAACACAAGGAAAACTCACTCATACAAAGATTCTCATAAAAAAAAAATTACCACATGAATTAAAAAAAAAAAAAATCGGAAGGGTTGCAGAATAGCTAGAAATGATTCGAACAGCTTTTATCAGGTGTTAGACGAATTTCTTCATGCACTAAACACTTCTAGTTACTATATTACAGTAGAATATATCACAAAAAAATACCATCACTAAAATTATCACATGTTGAAGTTAAATGTAGTTAATAACACAATCATTCTTAAGGGTAAACCTTGGGTAACAACAGGCGTAGGAAATAGGAACAGGATTAGGAACCAGAAGTCCTCAAAAGGATCGAGGATTAAGAGACCTATTCAATTTCCAAATATTTTCAAAAGGAGTGAACCACCCGTTAAATAACCTCAAATTCAATTTAATGCTTAACTACACTTTTACATGGTATTAAAAATATTGTAGTATTTTAAATGTTAAAAATATTTTTATAAAAGTAGCGGAAATCTTTGCCGAGGGCTTCACAGAAATTATGACTGAAAAGAAAACTTAAATGCAAAATTTACTAGAACAGGAATGTTTATTTCCAAAACAGATAATCTATTTTATAAATGTTATTATAAAAGTTCAATAAGGAGTTATGCAGGTGGCAATATACATATATACAAACATAAACGCGTTTATTCATTTTATAAAATAATATTTCTGTAATGTACTGGACACATTTTATTCTGAAGTTAAGTACGTATACCATCACATAAGAAAAATCACAAAATATTACATCAACATCATGTAGAATAAGAGTAACACTGTATATAATTGCACTTAACAATTGTATTAAGTGTAAAGAGACCTGATTATTACACAACATTGCTGTTCTATTAAAATTTAAACAAGCATAATACATTGTAAATTAATTACAACAAAACAAAAATACAGTACATTAGAAAATACAGACACTAGTTAAATATAACAACAGAACAATGATAATTAATAGTATATATGTGATATATGTAAATTAATATATATGTACTTAATCGAACTGAAGGTAGCTTCACTTTTCAATTTTTCAATTTCTTTAGTCGATTAAGCGCTAGAACAAATAAGTTTTACTCGAATAAACGTGGAACTTCCTTTTGAAAATATTTATTTCAAAATTAGAAATCACAAAACCATTTCATTACATTTTATAAATAAATGTTTACTCGTCTCATTTTTTAGATTTTGCTTATTTCCAACAATGTCACAGTCATACATTGAAATTAATCGTTTTATCTAAAATACCAAACCGCATGCATTGCTATTAACCTAATAGTGTCTCGATAAGCGTATAATATTTAATAACTATTTCGGGTAAAGTTAAAAAACATGACTTTTCATCCACAAACGTGCCTCTACATTTCACTAAAATCATCATATATGCATACATTTTTTAAAAACTTCCTTAACGTTTATGTATAAAACAGTAGATTATTCATCAGCTGGTCAGTCCAAGTACCTACATTTTTGCTTTGATAAAATTATTAGTTACCTTCTATATACAGGGTCTACAAATTCACATATGCCTTTGGAGGTGTGAAAGCTGAGCTAATTTGTGTAATCAAATTAACTAAATATACATCATACAAAACTCAATAGTTTTGGAAAAATTATAATTCATGCTTTATTTTCTTTTGAATTAAGGCATAGTTTTAAAAAATGGAAATAATAAAAAAATGTGCTAGCGCTGGTATAAGAAATAGAGGAAGTTATTCAGAATGAGCAGTAATAAAGTTTCCTAAAACTTCACTTGAAAGGTAATAAAGCATAAAAATTTTTAAAACAGTATATTTTTAATGTAGTATCATAAAATTTTAAAAATATATTCACATGAATATACAGTTGTATTTAATTCTGTATACCTCATGATTTTAATATATCAAATTGTTACCATAATTTTTATTACATAACTTGCTTTAGTGTATTATTTATTAATGCGAAAAAAAACTGGTTATTTTATTTTCTAATTTTGGATACAACAGAACATTTTTACTTTACAAATAGGCTTTATATCCAAAAAACAGGGTTAAAAGGAACTATAACGTTCAAGCAATTTTATTGGATAAATCGTTCAAAGGGTCATTTTAGATGAAAAAACCGCGGAGTGCTATTAAATTAACGGGTAGAAATTGGAGACAGGGGTGAAAATGCACCCCTTTCAGTTTTTTAATTGTAGCTCGAAAACAAAGCAAAATTTCGCTATAGTTCATAGGAAAAATTATTTAGAGAATTGAATTTCCCATAGACATGGCTTATTTAAAAAATTTAAAAGGAAAATTTTATGCAAAAAATCGTTAATAAGCAGTTTGAAAAAAATAAAAAAATTTAGATTTTTTCGTTTTTTACTTATTTGCCTCTAGTTTTTTTTTAAGTAAAGATAGGTATAGGCATGGCTTTATAAAAAATAGTAGATAAAAAAAAATAAATGTAAAAGTTTATGCAAAAAATCGATAATAAACAATTTGAAAAAAAAAAATTGATTTTTTAATTTTTTTTTTTACTTTTATGTTCTGTTTTTTTTTTGAGTAAAGTAAGGTATAGGCATTGCTTCATAAAAAAAAGTAGATAAAATTTCCTTCAAAATAAGAGGTTGTAAAGTATTTTTGGATGAAAATTGACTGATGGCCGCTCAAACTTACAATTAGCCAACTTTCCGATTTTCGTCGCATTTACCCTTGTACATTTTAATTCTCATTTTTTGCAAAAAAGGAAGGAAATAAGACGTTCAAGGATTTTCATCACAACTTGTTCGAAGGGTCATTAAATTGAAAAAACTGCGGGGTGTTATTAGAGGGTTGAAATTGAAGATAAGAAACAAAATGCACTTTTGCAGTTTTTTGAATATACCACAAAAACAAAGCAAAATTTCGGTACAGTTCATAGGAAAAATTTTGTAGAGAATTGAATTTCCCATCGAAATGGCATATTTAAAAAATTTAATGCAAAAAATCGTTAATAAACAATTTAAAAAAAAAGCAACAAATAAGATTTTTTGATTTTTTTTACTTTTTTGACTGTTGTGAAAATCTTTATTTATTATTAATAAATAAAACTTTTGAAATAATTTTGTATTAAGTAAAGAACCAATTTGTTGTAAAAATAATAAGAATTATAATCATTATTATGTTAAAAACGACAAAAATCAAAAAAATATTTGAGTTCGACCGGTTATAACTTTTGAAAACGCATCATTTTGAAGGGAATCTCATCTAGTTTTTTTGTACAGCAATTTTCTTTGCCTGCTTCTACTAGAAAAAAATTAGTCAAAAAAGTAAAAAAAATCAAAAAATCTTATTTTTTACTAATGATTTTTTGCATACAATTTTTCTTTTAACTTTTTATAATAAGCCGTTTTGATGGGAAACTCAATTCTCTACAAAATTTTTCCAATGAACTATACCGAAATTTTGCTTCGTTTTTGTGCTATATTTAAAAAACTGCAAAAGTGCATTTTCACCCCTATCTTCAATTTCAACCCTCTAATTTAATAGCACCCCGCGGTTTTTTCATTTTTATAAGTTTGAGCGGTCATATATCACTCAATTTTCATCCCAAAAATACTTTACAACCTCTTATTTTCAAGGAAATTTTATCTACCTTTTTTTTATGAAGCAATGTCTATACCTATCCTTATTAAAAAAAAACTAGAGGCAAAAAAAGTAAAAAAAATCTTTGTTTTCGAGCTACAATTAAAAAACTGAAAGGGATGCATTTTCAGCCCTATCTCCAATTCCACCCTCTAATTTAATAGCACTCCGCGGTTTTTTCATCTAAAATGACCCATTTGAACGATTCATGTAATAAAATATATCTTGAACATCATAGTTCCTTTTAAAATCCTGTAATGAATAGCCTAATAACACATATTATGGTTCATTAGATTACAAATTAGCTCCACTACAACTCCTCAAAAGGAATATGTCATCTTACCAGTCACAATAGAAATCAGTACTAGTGTGATATTTTTTTACAAATAATGGTTTATACACATAAATTAATACATATTTTTTTATTTTTACTTGTTTTTTAAGAAATAAATGTAGTTGTGAATATTTACATTACACTTGGTAAAAGGCCACATTTTTAAACTTTGTATGAAAATAACAAAGTGCAGAACAATAAAATCAATTAACATTATTAAATATTATACACACATTAACTAATAAATCCCAATTAATTTAATATTTTGCAAGTTAAACCTATACTCACCTGTTTATAATACACAAAAAAACGTATAAAATTATTAATGCAGATAATAAAATCTTTAAAAAATATACATAAAATAAATTGACACTTTATTATCTCAATAATAAAATCTCAAGTATAGGTTTTTACTCATAGTATCATGGTTATTATTGATTTTCTACAGAGCCCACCCTCACTTTGGTGCCGAATGTCAGTTGTGTTCCCTCGAAAAACTGTAGTAGCCAGGTTTTCCCACCCCGGATCTAGAAATTGTCTAGTTACCCCAAATTCCTAAATAAAAAAATCAAGTCAGATACACAAATTTAGAGAGTAAATTTGTAAATTTACCTCTGTTGGAACTCATATTCCATACAGCTGTGACAGCCTTTCTTTAAGTTGTGGAGGAAACTGATCACTAAACCTCTTCCAGTTCTCTTCGCCTACTTGAGTTTTAAAACTGTGCAGAATCTGCAAAAGTGCAATTAAACAGATAATTTTAATCGGCTGAAAACGGCGAATAAAGTGTACCTTAATGAAAACTTCTTTTAAGTCGTCTTTCGGTGTGATCCATGATGCAACTGCATCACAGAAAAAGATGAAGTCAGAAACAACACCCGCCGGATTAACTTGAATCATTTGACACATCCCTCGGAAAGCACTGTCCTTTTCTTCATTGTCTCTAATATTTCGCAGTGATATACACCTGTAATAAGAACTATTGCTGCAAATGTCCTAATTTCCCCATCGGAGAAACAATGCAAGAACTTTTTTTTTGTCCCTTGGCTAACCTTAACTTGAAATAAACAGAAGTATTCAGATAAAAATTCTCAGATACATCAACTGGAATTGTACACATTTTTATAAAAAACTATATATATATATATTCGCTTTTTTTCAAGGGGGTAAGAGTGTACATTCACTGCCAAATTTCAAATATTTGTTCAGTCCTTCCCAATATACAGCAAGTTAACGATTATTCTTTTGCCATTCTTTTAATTTAAAAAAATGTGCTTTATTTAATTAATTTAGTTTCGAAACGTCAGTTTTAATCTTGTTACATTTGTTTACTACAATATTTTATTGATTCCTTCCAAGATACCAAGCAAATTATTGCACTTTTGCACATTTTTTAAAAATTTACGAGGATAGTAAAATGATAATCATATATTGGGAACAACTGGGAATAAATAATTGAAATTTGGTTGTGATGTATAAACTACACACGGCTGCCCCCCCCCTTCTCCTTAGAAATTCGAAAAAAGTACAAAAATGTTCTTAAGCTAAGAAAATATTACATTGGAAATTTTTATTAAAATTTAAATCCGAGATTATGTTTTACCTAATTTTCTTTGAATTTCTTTATTAATTTCTTTAGTTATTTAAATTTTTTTGTTTTTCTTGTATTAAAAGGGTTTTATTAAAAATATTTCTCCCATTCTCTCTCTCATCTTCCATCCCCCCCCCCCCCTTAGCCCATTGGCTGGCGGCGCCCTTGATACATGCCTTTAAAAAAATCACTGAATATATATTTTTTTATAATAAAATTTACAATACCATTCGATTTGTTTGAGCATTTTATTCTAAACAATTCTGTGCTTGATGTACAGAATATATTTCAAGTTTGTAAATCACAAATTATTGGTATTATGTATAATCAAAATTAAATTTCTTGCAGTGGATTGAGGAAAATTCAAGTGGTCATATTTTTGATAGTTACAGTGAGTCAACATTATCAAAAAATTGCCGCCTTATTTTTCACCAAACCCCGCTGGTTTCTAATTTGAATGATAATGATTTTTTAGTCAATTTTGCCAGTCTATTACATGTTTTCAGAATATGTCTACTTGCATTGTTTTTTATATTTAAGTATTGAAAATTTAGTACTCCTCAATTTTAATTTAATGTTTATAAAAAAATAAAAATATATCCACTTATAAAGAAATGTGCCAGAATAAAAAAATACTTACCAGTAACACAAAATAATATGTGAACAAGTTGCTTAGCTCAAACATTTCATAAAATTTTTTCTAGCATTTTCCGATTTCTGTCTGAAATATCTAACTTCCATTTTTACAGGAAATATAATTTAAAATTTTATAAACACCTATAGATAAACTAAATTTATAAATATGTAGAAACGATGTACACAGTGTGTTTCAAAATAACGTATCATAAATTCTAGGAACAATGGAAAATAAAAAATATTATTTTGTCTTATAAATTATGGGTATTATGGGTATTTTGTTTTAAAGATTGTGGAGCCACGGTTCATACAAAAAATTTTATACACCCCATCTAAAAATGTATTTGTTTTTATTTAAAAAAAAAAGAAAAACAAATTTTGATTGAACATTGGTTAAATTTTTTTTCATATTTCAAAATAGAAATGAATTTGATTCTTTTTTGATAATGAAGTGACATTTTTGATGCAACTCACATTTGTTGAAACCTGTTTTTCTCCATCTGCGTTCGCTAAAGAACTGCAGTGATTTGCAAATAGGAATATCCGGAACGTCCTTATTTTCAAGAACTGTAATAACAAATCATTTCATAAAACTTTTGAGAAATGAGTCAACTTGCACATAATTACTATCCCCAATATCTGATAATAATAATATTACTAGTGGTAAGACCTATGTAAAAATGCTTGAGAGCTGAATGATGTTGAATAAATCAAAAGTAGGACAAAATTTTCGATTTAATTGAGAAGAATCATTCATTTATTTAGTGTTTTACATATGAAATGCAATGAATTTTTACAAAAAAAATGTTTCATGTTTAGTTCGTTTCTTCAAATTTTTTTTAATATTGAAAGAAATTTGTAGAATAAGTAGCAATGCTAGAGTAGAACTTCAAAGAACTTACATATGCAAAAGTACATGTATAAGCATCGCATATCTCTCTTGCACATTGTTGAGAAGAGGCACATTTGACATAATGGGAACATCAGCATTGATATAGGTTATTCACATGCAATTTTTTTAACAACTGATTTGATTGTTAAATGTGAATTAGTGTTAATGGAACTGTATTAAAACAAAAGTCTCCATTCACATATTTACCAATATTATTTTTTTTTCTCATTTCAAAAAAACAACACATGCATTCTCCTGAGGTTGAATTTTTCACTAACAAAGGTCATTCAACTCTCAACCATTTTTAGATGAACTTCAGTAAAATAAATTTCCATAAAGAAATGAAATTAAGTCATTAATTTTACTTATGTGGTGGACATAAAATTGAAGCGTACTAAATAATGATTAATGTAGGAGGAAGCATTAGTAGGGAAAATGCTAATAAGCTAGCTTCCTTGTTATAACAAAAGTAGAGGTAGGAGTAACTGAATAGTAGAAAAATAAAATTTTAAAAAAAGAATAAAAAAGGGTTACAGACCACTGTCGTACAAACTGATGTAACATGGGCGCGACATCGTGGGGGCAGACATAACCTAGGCGACCAATTGTTATGGCTATACCGAGAACAAAAACAAACAAAAGAACCAACTCAATTTACAAATAAATTATCACAAGTTACATAATAATAAATAATCATCAATTATAGATAAAATTACAGAAATCATACATACGTATAAATTTATTAAAAAAATCAGTGCTTGATAAAAAAAGAACTCTTATGAAATAAATAAATAACTTATATTATAAATTTAAATTATAACATACAAAATTATATAATTTGGTCGGTCTACAGTGGATCCTATCTAAAGCCATTTTCTTCTTTTTGCAGATATAGGAACAAAATTTGTCTCGTAAGGATAATGAATTTCATCTGTCTCAATCAAATAACAAAAGTAAATGAAAAAAAATATATATAACAAACGAAACAGTTTTAAGTGACTAAAAGGAGAATTTATGACATTTCAGTTTTAATATTGCGTCATTTGGTAAGTTGTGGTGAATGTCCGACAAAATTGGAAGCCAATTAATGTCAAATCCAATTCCTATACCTCTGTTAAACAATGAGGAATAAATTTCAAAAAAATTTACACCAATTCACATTCACAATGTAAACATAAAAAATCGTAGCTGGAAACAAAAAACAGATAAACACATTTTACATTTAAGGATTCACTGTTCAACAACTAGTTCCAATTTTATCAACACTGTTATATTTTTTAGAAGCAGAAATTTTTCTTTGCATCTAAAAATTTAACACTGCTATACAAATTGTTAAATAAATAAAAGACACGAAAACGGGAAATTTGTTAACATCTTCAAAGAAATACAAAATATATTTGATTCCTAACAAATTACCCATTACATTCACTATTACAAACGTATAACAATTTGTAATATTTAAAGAAAATTTTGCAACGTTCTCATAGAAACGTGCATTAAAAAAGCAGCTGTGCATTTTTTGTTAGTAAAAGTTTATAAGCATTCAACTTTCTCATTCATCACACACCCAAATTTGGAAAAATCAGTAATACCATGCAAAATTATAAAGAGGATCGTACCTGTGTTCTCCAATAGTGTTTTCGGAGTATTTGGCCGATTAATTATATCAATTAGTTGATTTAAAACTAACGAAATATATGGTCTAGTATCGGCTCCTACAAGAACAAAAAAACAATGAAAAAGAAATGAACTGTGGAAAGACAAAGACACACTCAAAATAAGTATACTTAGATATCGTGTCCGACGTGTTAAATAATAAAATTGGTTTATACAGATCGGACATAAGTTACATACAAATATTATTCAATTATTTTAATCCAGCAGAAATTACTTTTTCAATTTGCTATAATAGTCACAATAATTTGCTTCTCCAAACATCACGTTAGTTAATATAAAACTACGGTAAGAGATGTCAGTCTGTTTCATTTAATTCAAATTGTACTTTAAGCATCTGCAATATTTCAGTTGGTTTGAACGGAGAGACTATTGCTGTTATCGTGATATGGACAAGAGATGAATGGAAGTGAACTAGGGTGGGTATCTAGTCTACTTACAATACTAAAGCTGCCCTCCCCCCCACGTTTATTCACTATCGAGCCCATTAGAATGAAATTCGAATTTTGATCCACCTTCAGGTTAATAGGAAAGAATACAGGGTTTACTTTTAATTATTGAATAAATTTAAAGTCCACCTTTGACACGTCGAAAGTGATATCCACAGTGTATTAATGAGAGTACCTCCTAAAATAATGACTTACCAAGTTTTATACTAATTTCCCCAATGGCCCAGGTGGCATTGTTACACACAGATATATATTCTGGATTTAAATTTTGTCCCAGAATAGGTAGAAAATTGGATATATGGGGTTGCACGTGCTGGAAGCAAGCCTTTGTGAGATCTCCTAACAATGCAAATGATGATTGTCTAACTTCGGGCATAGTGTCTTGCATACAAAGATGCAGCAACTGCATGATATTACTGTTTTCAACCAATTTTTCAATGTGTCCATTCAGTCCTTCCGCTAACCCAGATAATAAGTCTAAGGCTACGATCATGAAATCTTTGTCGGGGGCCTCAAATTGATCTGGATTCTGGATATTAGCCTAAAGAAATTATAACTTTGGTAATTACTTACAAGTACATATTTTAATATTGGATCTTTTTTCACCAGTCTCAATTTTACTTTTACTTCGCACCTGAACTTGAATTAAAACAACAAAATATTTTAACATTTTTCAAATAAAAGCAGACTTGTCATGGCCTAGTTGTCAAAAATACATTACGCAAGTTTCAGATGTCCAATGGCAACGTTACTAGACTAGCACCAGAGCTCATTCTGAATATCGAATTGGGAATATCAGTACAGTCTGAGAAAAAATTATTTGAACTATGGAATTCAAACGACTTGTTAACCGAAAAGTGTTAAGTGCACAAGCATCCTTATTGACCTCGCAAACAAGATAAGTTTGGTTAAGTTGTAGATTACGGGCATAACAAACCAAAAAATCGCCCTATTTCAAGCAAGGTTGGCAAATATCATGATATTTATATAAATATCAAATATCGGATATATATCCTGATATATATCCGATATATATCAAGTCTTAATATTTATTTTTTTAAATTAATTAGTTTATGTATAATACTATAGTAGCGAAATAAAATTAGGAAACTATTTAGGTAAATATTTTTATTCTAAATATCAAAAACAAGAACGAAAAAATAAATATAAATTCTGAAACTAATAAAAAATATTTGCGTGAATATTAACTACTACGAAACTTAACCAATACACACCAAGTCAACATAAATTTCATAAATATTAAAACAAATACAAACACACAACACCTGCTCGAATTGACTAAGACCTGGGGAAATAATGAAATAAAAATATTCATTCAATTTTACTTTGTTGAAAAATTCTGGGAATCACATAAATAATCACATTCGTCAACGATTAGCATACGGTTTTGCTGCCATCTGTTAACAGTTTTAGCGACTTTAAACCAGTAGGAATCATTATTTAAATTTTTATAAATATGATATATATCAAGGAATAAATATTGTGATAGATATCAATGACATATCATACCAACCTTGATTTCAAACTTACCATATGTAGACACAAAGTATGATGTACTAGTGATACACATCTGCAATAGACGGGCTCGCAATAAGGCAAAAATCCGGATTGTAGTGCTGTAGCCACGCTGGATAAACACTGAAATAACCAACAGTTAGATAAAATTACAGGACAGAAAAACGTATTACCTCTAATAATGGAAACAAGTCTTTGTCCTCATCTTTAAGAATATTCCACTTGTGGATTAGAGGAGGCATGAGGAGATTAATAAAATCTGGTTTGTTTAAATGGCTACCAACAGAATCGGCTAAAGTACCTATCGCGTCGTACAGAATAAGCAAATTTTTATGCTGATATTTGGAGAAAGCAAACACTAACGTTTCCAGTATGAATCCTAAATATGGCACTAATTCTGTACAAGCTTCTTCTTCTAATGTAGCAAAAGCTGAACATGCAGCCTCTTGAACTCTCTTATTCCCATCTAAAATTCTTTTGAGTAATTCGGTCATTAGAGGTTTTAAATAGGAGTCGTGAGGCTGAGCTACGACCCAGTGAGAGTATCTACTCAAAGTCCAGCAAGTTATAGCTCTAACGAGAGCTTTTTTGTCATTTAAACAATTGATTAAATACGGTATTAACTCCGGCAAATGATTAATCATTCCTGACATGCAACCTTCCGCAATAGCACCTAGAAAGAACGGGGTATTACAGCTTATTCAAACATTTTTAAAATTATTTCTTGCTTCATAAACATCTTTAATAACTAAAATGGGTAAATGGGTATTTTTCGTTATAACACATAATACAACCAGGATAACGAACACAAAATTACGTTAATTATTTATTATACACGTCTTTTCAATGAAGTTGATGAAAGAATTTGTTACGACGTCAACTGCAACAGCACCATGAAAATTTTGTTAAATCTGCCACCACTTCATACTGTGACGGGAAGAGAAACAAAAATTATAGCGCATCAGGAATTTACAGATTTGGTGCCAATTTACAGATTTTTCCTTCAATTGTAAGGATTTTTTGAGACAAAAGCACTAACATCCAACATTTTCCTGTTACACTGAAGGACACACAAATACAACTTATTTAGGCAATAAATAAATATAGCACTGAATGCGGTGTTCTAAAATATATGTAAAAAATTCCCAAGTTTGGAGTAGTTCTGGCAATAATTATTGATGTAAATGAGATAGAAAGATTTTTATACTTTATCCCAGTTGATGTTACATAATCACTTTTGGCGGGATATTTAAACAGTTATCGTTAGTTAATAAATAATAAAAAATATATACCTAACGCTAATATTCCAGATTCTTTAATGTCCCAATCTTGATGAAACAATGTTTCTTTAAGTATTGGAATCAGTATAGGCAACAAATCATCTCTGAATACATTGGCAAGAACATCGAGAGCTGCAGCACTGCACTTTCTCAGATTCCAATCCGACAACGAGCCGTCATCATCACCGTCATCGTAGTCATCATCGTCATCTTTGTCAGTGCCATTTTCAGTTGAATTACTATTCCCTATTGCGGTTTTAATCGTATGTGTTTTTGATTTGTGAAACCGCGGTCTAATATCTTCCTCTTTGTCAGGAACATTGTCATCTTCTTCTACATCACCTTTGAGCAAAATAATATCAATTTCAGAATATTTCATACCCCTCACAAGCACAGGCACTAGTCTATTGAGATGATTCCTCAAAACGCTCCTACATATTGGTTGCTCGGCTAAAGACAGCCAAAATTCGCAGGCTTCCAACGCAACAGACTCATCTGCGTCTTGCGTCCGAACTAACATATATTCTATAATATTGTCTATATGAGGTATAAGCCTATCCATTCTAACTTCTAAAAGCATAACTAGGGCTTTGCATACATTTTTCCTCACTTCTGCATCGTCATCGGTTGCTACTAGGAACAGATTCTACAAAAAAAAAAATGTAATTTTACAGTGTAAACTAAATAAACGGCAATCTACCTGCAAAAATGAGTCGATGTGGTACATAAGTGCTTGAGACCTTTGTATGATGAACTGGTTGACACAACCTATAGCATACGACCTAATTTTTGAACTAGAATGATTAAAAAATTGTAGAAACTTTGGAATTAAAATATCCAAAGGTCTATTAGTTGTATCAGCATCGAGAGCCTCTGCTGAATCTTCACAAATTTTTTGCAAAGCTCCAAATGCTCCTTCACATATATTATAATCTGTCGAGTCCAGCATACCACATAAAGCAGGTAGCAACTCCGGCCATGTTGAGAGATCCCCTTTGCTTGCAACAGTGGTTATTAGTATACCAACAGTAGCACGAATCAATGGAGAAGGATCACCAACAGCTTTCAAACATTCAGTCTTTATGAAGCTAGTAACGCTTGGCAATAAATTACCGTAGTGAGTTTTGACGTTGTTTTTTAAAATCAATCCACTTAGAGATCTCGTAGGTTCATCCTCAGTTGTTAATTTCGTGAGTACAAACATTAAATAATTGTTAAAATCAGGATATTTATTTAATTCCTCCAATTTCTTTGTTTTATTAAGGAAATATAAACACGTTTATAAATCAAGCATTAATAATTTTATCACCTACCATATCTAGGTGATGTCAAACATTTACATTTAGTGCAATCATATTGGAATGTAATCATAACATTCCAGTATAACACAAATTAAAGAATCGCAGTACTGCTTATGTTCTTCGAACTATGTGAAGTAATATCATCTATTTTAATTATATTTTCATATTATTTCAAAAATTCCAAACAAAATGAATAAAACCTTAATCTTCACCATCACAATATTCTGTAAATTATTTCACGGATATGTTACACCTTATAGTTTTTAATTGCGAAACATAAAAATAGTGTAAATAACAATACTAAAATAATAATCTTGTTTACAGTTTACATGTTGCGTATATTTTTTTGCACCTCGTTACATAAGAAAAATGCAATACTCACAACCGAATACATATATTTTTTTTAAAGGATACTTGCTGTACGGCCCTTTGGGTTGCCGTGTCCGGCGACTGAGATTCTCTAAGTAACGTTAGAATTTCCCGAAGACCATCTTCCTGAGGTGTCCACTCCATTTTCATGTCGTTATATTTTTTTGTTACTAAGTCTCAGTTTATTTATCCGATAAACAAATTGAAGTAGTTAACAGAAACTTAGGTACTTTGTACAAACTATCAAATCGACATAAACCTACAAAAACGCTGTTCGCTAAGATTCGACATTCGGAATGGGAGGGCCTTAAACCGGAAATTTAGATGTCAAATGTCAGTTCATGAAAAATCATTTAAAATAGTGAATAACGGATAATTAAAAACAGTAATCTATATATTTTAACACTATTCACTTTTCTTTAAAAATATACTGTGCATATTTTAAATGGCTAAAATAAAGCATACGTACAATGTACTATGTATATTTATAATGACTAAAATAAATTTCCCATTAAAAGGAGTTTTCCTTTCATAATAACTGAACAATAACCAACTGAACAGCTCAGTTAAGCTTAGTTCACAACTTCTAGATTACGTTAGTTGCATACAGCCGGCGACCACAAATTTGAGGCCAACCTAATAGGTCCAAAACTTTGTTAACCATTGTTTGTCCCGATTATTATGCCGTAAAACTAGTTTCAGCCGTTATAAACGTGGTACTTTAATATTCGCTCTTTTCTAATTTCCAACGGATGGACAAATAAATTTTTCATTTATATCACATTGACAGAGTATCTGCTGGACCTCAGTAAATTGACTATGTTTTAGCATTGTTTTTTTGAAGATAAATTAAACAACCTTGGTTAGTTCTCTTAAGTGAAATCCAGATGGCAGCGCTAATGAAGTATGTTTATTCATAAATAAATGTAAATATCTATCTGGTTTTACGGTAGAACATTGTATAATCATTGTTATCTTCTAAAAATAACGCTCTAACGTAAAAGCACACAGATATTTATTTATGAATAAACACACTTCCTTAGCGCTGCCATCTGGATTTCATTGAAGAGAACTAACCAAGATTGTTTAACTTGTCTTCTAAAAACAATGGTTTTAGACACCATACCATATCGCATATTTGACAGACTACGAGGTCCACATTTTATCAAGATTTGTGTTCGTTCATAACTGTGAGGATTGGGTTATTGGGTAAATCAAGTGTAACAACCAGTCAAACTTAGAAATGAAAGTACTAGATGGCGACGCTCTTATAAAATCGCTTTAATCTTATTGATATTTTCAACAACGTTGACAGTGATTTTATAGAAGAGTCGTCATCTAGTGGAATTTTACACAAGAGTCTTATCTAGTATTTCCCTTTCTATCTTCATTCTTCAATTGGATGTCTTGATATATTATATATAAACAAGGATAATAGTCGCTTACAAAAATTAATAATTCTGGACATAGCATTTTTTAAGTAATAAAGAATAATAAGGACAAATATAGTAATCTGAGCAGATGGAGTGAATTTTCGTAAACCCCTATTACTATCGAAATAAATGAAATAGACCCCTGAGTTTGGAAACCGATATTAAAAAAACGTAGGGGCGAAAAAATTTGAAATTTGGACCATGTAATATAGCCTCATTGTTAAGCTATTGTGTGCTAAAATTTCAGTTAGTTTCGTTATCCCATTTTTTAATTATTAATGAAAATGTTAAAAAAATTACGGTTTTCTACCTACAAAATTGATATACCTCTCACTTTAACTTGTCATAATTTTTTTTTGTTAAATGGTAAAAAAATTCCAAATTTTTACTGACGATAAGTTGAACTATTGTCTTTAGTACTGTGAAGGTTATTTGTCTCAAAAGCTCTTCTTTTTTTATTTTTAATCAAAACAGAGAAGGAAGTGCTATCTCCGCAAATATTGCGTTCTTTTAAAAAAGAAAAAACTGACACAGGCAGTAAATAACTGTAAACAATAATCTGAATAAATTGCTAAGTTATACAGGGTGTCTCATAATTAACTGCCAACCCAGAACAGGCCGATTCTATGATCAAAACTAAGTAAAAAAGTTCATATGAACATGGGTCCGGAAATGCTTCCTAAGGGCACAGGGACCCATTGAAGAGGGAGGAATGGAAATCATTTTTTTGCAATATCTCTCAATCGCGTTGTGATAAATGAATGAAATTTGGTATACACAGCTAAATTTTGATGAGCAATTTGATGGACTAATCCATTTATTTCCACAAGGTCCATTGGGGTGGGTACGGGGGGGCCCTTGGTACTTTGCGTGTGTAACTTTTTCATCTTTGACTTTTTAACAAATTGGACAGCAAATTCCGTTTTCCCGAACTGTTTTACGTTAAAAAGGTACTCTTGTTTCAAATCGTTATCTTTAACGGTTTCTGAGAAAATCGCTCTTGAATTAATCCCACTTTGGTCAATTTCATAGTAATTTAAACAAAAAAAATTTTTTTGTTTAAATTTAATCTAATTTTAATAAAAAAATAATAATAAAAAATTAAATTAAATAAAAATTAATCCTTTAAATGGAAAAGAGAGGAAAGGAAAATTATTATTTTTTTTTGTTTAAATTACTATGAAATTGACCAAAGTGGGATTAATTCAAGAGCGATTTTCTCAGAAACCGTTAAAGATAACGATTTGAAACAAGAGTACCTTTTTAACGTAAAACAGTTCGGGAAAACGGAATTTGCTGTCCAATTTGTTAAAAAGTCAAAGATGAAAAAGTTACACACGCAAAGTACCAAGGGCCCCCCCGTACCCACCCCAATGGACCTTGTGGAAATAAATGGATTAGTCCATCAAATTGCTCATCAAAATTTAGCTGTGTATACCAAATTTCATTCATTTATCACAACGCGATTGAGAGATATTGCAAAAAAATGATTTCCATTCCTCCCTCTTCAATGGGTCCCTGTGCCCTTAGGAAGCATTTCCGGACCCATGTTCATATGAACTTTTTTACTTAGTTTTGATCATAGAATCGGCCTGTTCAGGGTTGGCAGCTAATTATGAGACACCCTGTATATGCTCTCTTGCATTTATGTTATCCGGTCGTTTCCATGGGGTGGGGTAGGGAGGGGGGGGGGACGTTCAGCGAGCAGCGGCGGCTCAAATTTTGTAAAATAATAGATTTGCCTTGTTTCATATGAAACATTTTTATTGGGTACATAAATAATTTCTTAGTAAATAAATATTTGAAAGCACGGTTAGATAATGCCGTTTTTGACAAGGTTAATTTTATAAAATGCTTTTACTTCCTTCAATAAACCATTACTCTTGAAGTACAGTAGGTGTCTTTGAAGGTAAAAACAGAGTGAACGTAATTGACCATTCCGATACTGTTTTTAAGAATATCATATTTATATCCGTATTATTTTTAACAAATTTTTTCAGATTGTTGTTTACAGCTATTTACTACATGTGTCGGTTTTTTAATTTTTTCATTGAACGCAATACTTAGGGAGATAGCACTCCCTTCTGTTTTGCTTAAAAATAAAAAAAAAGAAGAGCTTTTGAGACAACTGACCTTCACAGTAGTAAAGACTCATCGTCAGTAAAAATTTGGAATTGTTTTATCAATTAACAAAAAAATTATGACTAGTTAAAGTGAGACGTATTATATCAATCAATTTTGTAGACAGAAAACCGTGATTTTTTCAACATTTTCATTAATAACTTAAAAATGGAAAAACGAAATTAAATGAAATTTTAACACACAATATAGAGTAATAGTGGGGATATATATAGTCCAAATTTTAATTTTTTTCGCCACTACGTTTTCTTAATATAGGTTTCCAAACTTACCTACGGGTCTAGATCTATTTCATTTATTTCCATAGTAGATGTTCCTACACCTACATGGAAATATAGATAATGCGGTTAAATAAGTTACAATTATTTTTCCTTTCAAGCAGTTACAACGAGTACGAAAATTAACTCACGGAAACCACGACATACATATATTTATTAAATTTGAGAAATATTGTTTTTATTTAATTAAGTATTTCTAACACAATAAAAAATAAAACATTTTCTAGTCTATAAAAAAAGTGGGGAACTATCTTTAATAATTATGGGATAAATGAAAGAAATGAATAAGTAAAACAATTGGAAAGAATCCGTTTGCGTTAGTCCGTTACCAGTGCTACGATGATAAAAATGGACAGAGCAATATAAAGTAATAATGTGTGACGTAAGCACACTGAGGTGAAGCAGACGTGGTGGGCCGGTGCGTTTACATAGTACAGATATCAATAATTACCTATGTCGCAAGCTAATTGCAGATTCAGTCTTTTTATACCTAGGCGTTTTATAAATGACTAGACAAATTGTAAAATGATGTGTAAATACAACTTTTTTACAATTTGACTGAAAATTTTAAGCGTTTTACTACACGCCGAATAGCTATAATTATATTATGTATATACCTATATATATTATGATTATTGTAAAATGAACGCAAAAGCCATTATTTTTAGAGATAGGGGAATTGTAAAGGCAGGCGCGGATTATTAATTTTCTAGTTTCTGGAATAGTTTTCCACTTCATGTTATTAGTTTGTACCGTGATATACACTATGTAAACAAACGTTAAATTAGCAGTATTTTTTGCTATTTTCTCTTCAAAACTTGGGTTTCAAGTTGTTAAAAAATCCAGAACAGAACTTGCTCAAATAACTAACATTAAACTATGGATTTAATATTATTTCTAAAGAAAAATGTATGCCACAATAATATGTTGTCTGGACGATCTACAATATCCTCGATAATATCAAATTTCTGTATTTAATTTTAAACGTTATAAATACATGCCTAGGAAATGTACATAGGTACCTAACCTACATAATTATTATTTACTTTATTTTCAATTAAATATATGGCAAAACAAAGGCAATTACCGTTTGGACCAGATAAATATATAAATAGACACTAATGCCGACGAATAAAGTAATAGAAATAAAATGTTACAACGTTTTTAAAACAAAAAAAAAATCTATTATTCTCTACAGGAATAAGAAAAAAACTATTATCTCGTAAGATAACTGCTACTAATAGTCTAAAAGCCTGTACCGAGTTTCATTTCAACATGATTAACCATTTTGGAGGTATCTAAAAGTATGTGTTTTTGGCTCTGTACTTTTGTCAACCTTTAACTCCTGCATTTTCATACACTTAGGTATTCACAGAAAAAGCGACTTCCCCACCACCAGCAAACAATTTAAGGTGGCGTGACTGGCGTGGTTGTTTTGTTACAGTGATTACAAAATGTCTTCCGTCAGCGTCACTCTGAAAACATTTCGTACAGTTTTACGGAAAACTTTAAAAAATCGATAGTTATCGAGTCAAATTTTTGTGTATAAACACTGTGAATTGTGATGTGCCACACGTGAATCAGTTTACAGAAGAAAACCCAGTAATTTTCATGAAATTTTTCGAATTTTTGAGATATTGTAGGCAAGCTTTAAAATCGCTGACCGTGGTTAACGCGTGCTATTATAAAAATACGTACTGTGGTTTGTTCGTGGAGTGAATTTATGTTATTGAACAAATGTAGTTTTGCCAAATTACCCCGAGTTTAAGTTTTTGTGAACTGAAAATTGAATGCATAACGCCAGGTCGCCAGTGTTTTCCTGCTGTTGTACAGCAATCCTGGGCTAGCTGTGTTGGAGATTCGATAGAAAATTGGTGAGTACACATGCTCATTTTCGTGAAAACTATTACATATTTACTTAATATTACATTATATTTGCCATACTATAAGTAGGTGATAAATTATCGAACAATGAGGACTGCTGATAAATCTGTTCGAAAAACTAAACAAAATATGTTTAAACACTTACCATCATTCCTGTTGTTAATCCAAAGAAGAAAATAATACACTAGTACACACTAGTACACACTAAATACACAAGAAATGCATTCACACACCACATAACAATCACTTAAAAAAGGCCATAAACCACAAGCACAAAAAGTATTTATGCACAATAATCACATAAAAAAATAAAGCCAATCTTTAAATCTCTATAGCGATCAAGTTCAAACCACCACGAAACACATGCAGATTATGTATGATCTATAGCCCGGTACATACATACCATTTTACCTTACGTCTTGCCTGTTCAATTAAAACGGATCAAGTAAAACGTCAAGTGTAGACCAAAAAACGGATGTTTTACTTGAACTGAATCGAGATGGTTTTACCGTACAATTCCAATGTGTAGATGCTTGTCCCCTTGTCCGTTTTAGCTGTTGTTTACCATCTCTGTTCCGTCTGTCATCCGTGTGTGATATTGTAAGTTTATTTTATATTAATATGTCAGACTTAAGGTGATAAATTGTGGACCGAGCAATACCTTCTCTAGAGAAGAACCAGTTCAAATGTTAAGAGGTTTTTCTTAACTGTTTCTGGTAGGACCCAGTGGGGCTAATTTCTTTCAACAAAGGATGGCCGGGGCCGGGACATCCAACATAAGCGCCGACACTGACTACCCGAATTATTCTGCTTCTAACACTACTAGTCACTATCTTAATACAGCTGATGGAAATTCGTCTTAACTTATTAAACGAATTAAAACATAGAATAACTACCAAGTATAGTTTTAGGTTGTAAAATTTGATTATATCCTATTTTGTAAATATGTGTCTTACTTACCTTCAAAAATTCCTTTTTAAGAACAGTGTAAATAGCTTCACAAGTTTCCAGTATAATACAACTTAGTGCTTGTTTTGATATAACGGTGCTGAATTCAAGATCTTTTTGTAACTTTTGCCCAAAGGCGTCGCCAAGGGTGGGCATTGAGGGGCAGATTTTGAAATTAAGAGCGCGAATTCAGTTTTCGGAGCGGCCGAGTAGCGTTACCCCCACTCCGCCGCCAGCTACAGTTAGCTCGAGCCGCGTTCGAATACTTCGGTTTGACGCATAATTAAAAATGCAGAGGTGGCTAAAATGAACCACAGTATTTTTTTATTGAAAATATAAGTCTTCAACTTCAATCTCTGTAAGAATAGTCGTTCTAGCATTTAAATAGGGCCTTGTGGAATTTTTATCTCGGCTCCAGAAGGTAGAGCAACGTTTTTTTTTTTAAATTCGCTTAAAAATGCCAGCAATCGACTCATGTAATAGACATAATCGAGAAATTATAATCGAAAAAGATATTAAAGAAAAATGCGACCAAAAAATTTTTATTGGACACTTGAAATTAAAATACAACTCTTAAGGAAAAAAATGAGCCCTGATTCGTTTCTCTACGACTATTCGTCGAGCAAGCAGAGCCGATTTTCGAGATGACCTTTTTTTCGAAAAATCGATATAACTCGAAAAATTTATATTTTTTAATTTAAAAAAGCCTCTTTTTGCTTGCCGAGGGCTACATTTACAGCAAGTAACAAGTTTCAAAACCTTAATTTGCAAGAGATACAGCAAAAACAAAAAAAGTCGATTTTTGACAGTTTTTCGATATATTTCAAAAAGTAATATAGCAATCGATATATTTATAAATATGAATCGATAGGTTTTTTAATAGCTACAACTTTTGTTTATTAGCGAAAAACCTTTTTTTTTTTACTTTTATGAATTTTTTAGGTTAACTTCGCCGTTTGTGCACCACAGGAAAAAAACATTTTTTTTCCTGTCACCATATTTTTTGTAAGCTCTTCTAGCTATTGATTGGACTATAAAGCTATATAAGTATGGAACGCACCAATTATATATTTTATAATTTTCTTTGAATTTCTTTATTTTTTTAGTGATTTATATTTTTTCGTATGTTTTTATTAAAAATATTTATAAAAAAAATTAATTCATTGTACCTATTTCTACATAAATATAATTTAATTTCTCCCATCCTATCTCTTATCTCGTCCCCCCCCCATTGCCTGGCGACGTCCTTGTGAGTTCTGTCTATTAGTCTGTTGCTAAAAACTTTAAAAAAGTAGCTGTTAATCCTCTCATGGGGTGTAAAAATTTAAAGCAACTTTTTATACAGTTTCTTATGATCGGGTGTGCATGCATGTTTTCTTATCACTAATATTACTCAGTTTTGTAATAAAGACAATAATAATTATGTTCTATTATTGAAAAAGACAACATATGTACTTTTTTAACGGTTGCATATCTACAACGTACTTAGATATTATCTTAAATTTTTATTTTCAGATTTTGTTCAAAGTAGGTATGTCTTTTATTAAATTTTGGCGAGAAGTCATATGTTATGATAAAAGTAAATTATTACATTTAATAAATTGAGTTAGGTTTTTCTTGAAAAATTCATCCAGGTATAATTAAGGTTCAGTAGTTTTATAAATATGTAATGCAAAAGTTTTAGTAAGTACTTAGTCATTATAGAAATTACAGGTGTAATAAAAACGATGATTATAATGCAGTTCTTGTATATAATTTATTGAACAAATATATAAATAAACAGTGACCATTTCTTTTGTATAAAGCTGAAATAGGGAAAAATAAATAATCATTAGTTGTAATTATAGAAGCTTAACAGCATTTTGAGAGGATTGAGGTAGAAATTTAAAATTTAGCATTTGACGTGAATTAAATTTTTGTGTCTTATAAATGGATAAGCCTTAATCCATTCAAAATGGTAATACAGAATTAAGTCTATTTTAAGTTGTAATTTAACAAAAAAAAAAAATAATAAACTGGTTTAATAATAAAAATGATTAAGTAATATTGCACATAAATATGTAGTTACATATTCATAAAGCGATCATTCTTCGCAATTTGTACTGAATAGCATGTGACAACGAAACACAAGTAACCCTAACATTTGGAAGTAAAAGTAACAAATTAAAGAGAATATCACATTCCTACATTGTCAGCACCTTTTTGATCGTGATAGTCGAGCATCGCTTGGGAAACACTATAAATTATCTAGAAATGCCTTCAAAATTATATATATGAATATATCTTTCGTGTGGACCAAAATGGCAAATTTTTAAGTAATGCTTAAGGAAAGACTGTGTTTGCCAGTTGAGATAGCCCAATTACTGTCACCAATGCCCAACAAAAAATAATATACATACAGCTATTTATTAAATACGTATGTACAGGGTATATACCTACTAGTCGGTATGCCGAATCAGATCAGCATTATTAAATCGTAAGTGATATCTATTTAATACATCGGAATATTCATGAGTACTTTTTTGCAATAACTTTCAGTATATGGACTTGAAGAAGAATTTGAGATACTCCTTAGTAAGACAAAATAAATTTCTCTAGCGTATTATTATTTACTCAAGATTTTAATTGATTCCGATATATGTAATACACAGGGTCGTTCGATTTTATTGATCAAACTTTAGGACAGAAAAGTTATAAAAACATGGTAATCAATACATACATATTAAATTTGAAAAATGTTTTCCTTTTCAGATACGGGGTGCTAAGCTTTCTTAAAAACGCTTTTCCTCAAATATTTTATATTAGGTAGAGACACATTTTTTCGATTTTAGTTTTATTGCTGTCGTAGGAAGGGGCAGCTTTTATTTAAAAAAAATTATGCCACTAACAAAATATGAACATTATATATTTAAAACCTCTGTCCCTTGTACAATAAAAAAAATGGTGTTTTGCTTTTTATTGTAAATCTGACCATGTCTGAATAACATGTATTTATTCAACAATCCAATATACAGGGTGTTTCGTTTGAAAAAATAATGGTCTAGACTAAATGATGCACCCAGTATAATAGAAAATATTGTTTAACGTGTGAGGAAATTTATTTGAATAACTTTTAATTGGTATATTATTACAGCTACAAATGTAGTAGGTATCTAATTATTTATTACGAAGTCTTTTAAGGAATACACCTTTTTCCTGGGAAATGATCAGATTTACGAAAAAATAACGGAATGAAAACATTTGGTTTCTTCTGTCGTGTATCATTTTTTTTTTTTTAATAAAGGCACCTACCTGCCTGCCATGTTTTACAACAGTGATAAAAGTGAATAATTGAAAATATATTTAAAAAGTGTGTCTTCACTATCAAGAACATTCTGCAAATTCAGCAATAGACTGTGTGCGTAGAAAATGAATTTTTTAAAGAAAATTTAACACTATGTGAAAAGTAAACAATTTTCGAATATTGTGTACATATTTCTCATAATTTTTTTATAACCTATCTTCCCTAACGTTTGATTGTTGGTAAAAATCGAAGGACCTGTAGATAAATAATCACAAAACGATTCAGACAATGACACTGCAGAAGTTGAATAATACGAAATAACATGTGTGATAATAATATGTACATTTAAATTTTTTAAAAACTTAATACTAATATATTTAATATATACTACAATATTTGCATTAACTTGCTATGAAATAAATCCAAATACAACCTATATCATGTTATTTTGTATTATTTTCTTTGGTTTAAAAATAGTTAAAATGAATGCTATCGAAAAAACCTGCCCATTACATTTTACAAATTTGGCATGTTTAAACAATGTTTACAATGAAATTACTAACATAACACTAGCAGTACAAATAATAGTGCCACATCTGTTTTAACAATTAATATAAATTGTTCACATAAACAGCATAAGGTACATGTCAGTTTCACTGTTAAGTTTATACAAATAATTTACTATGAGGGAGAGTACCAGTTGGAGGGAGCACCCGGTGCACTCTTACTAGGATGATACAGATGGAAGCCTGCTCCCGCGGCTCCGTGGTGATAAAATTGTGGTTGATCTACGTACGAATACACTTGGGGTTTGAGCGGTAAAGGACTGTCCGGATACTGATGGCGTAAAACATCTTGGTAGGGCACTGGTGTATCGAAACTAACCCCCCCGTGCAACTGCTGATGCTTGTCGCGGGGAGACACACTGGACGGAGGCGTCATAGCGGAGTGATAGTCCATGGAATAGCCGGTTGGATAATTTTGGTGTTGGGATAACAAAAACTGGTGTTCACTATAGGAGGATGAACCTTCACTTCCGGGAGGAGTGGGTAACGGACCCACACCCACTTGGTTATCACTCGGATAGTATCCGGAAGAACTTCCAGATCGACCACTAGCACTCGTGATACCATGTACGTTCGCTCGAATAACGCTTTCTCTGTTGGCGTACAGTTGTCGGAGTAATGCCGACGCCGGCAGGGGACTCTGCTGCTGAAGTTGTTGGTGATGAGCTCCGATCCATTGAATAGTAGTTCTTTGCTGTTGCTTGAGAAGCGCATCGGTGCTGAAGTCGGTAGGTTGGTGGGTTGGAGATTTGCACGCGGGCAGATGCTTCGACATAGCATTCTCCAGATCCTTAACAGAAGTGCCGCTACCTGCAGTATCATCTAGTTTCTTCGGGCTCGTTCCCGATGAATCCGAAGTCGTAGTTATGGGGTGAACTCCATTCGTGGAATGACAGGAGGACGCTGGACTCATCACATTGTTTCGGTGTGAAGAAACAGTGATTTCGTCGTCTTCGTTTTCATCCGACGACGTATTTTTGCGTTTCGTAGATCTCCGCATCGGAATGGTTTTCCTTTGATCGGCCGCAGTAGACGACGAGGTTGGCTGCAGCTGCGAAACTGGTGCGTGGTCCAAGCGGCGAGTCCGCAAATCCCCCGACTCCTTATTCGTGGTACCAGCGTCGGTAGCAGTTCCAGTACCAGCGCAGGTGGCATCTTCCAAGTCCTGGCTCGGGTCCTGGGGTGGATTGGGCGGGCCTCCGCTGTTCCGGTCATCTGACCACAGAATCAGTTAAAAACTATATTATACTAGCATTGGTGGTACGTCAACGTACCTCCACGATCGGCGTCTGGCGATCCATTCTCGGGGTCGTTGCTGCTTGCCTCCTCTCTCTTAACCAGGTTGGCGTTGTCCTCCATTTGGCAGCAATCCATTACCACGTTTTCGTACTCCCGACCACTGCAATCAAATTACTTCAAAATATGCTTTTTATCGTGCCATTATACAAATTATTTTATTACCTTATAAAGAAACCAAAACCTATTAGTAGGTAACAATTTATATTTTTTATAATTATAAAAATATCATATCCCAATATCTCGGTTGGCAAAACAGTAATAAATATTTCTTACAATTCCCTTTTATTAAGGCGTTTCTAAAATATGATGCCAAAGTGAAAGGAGATATGAAATTTCATTTTAAGTCAATATCAAAAAAACACAATTTTTTAAACGGTTGATCAGATCCAAATGGAACTGTGTGAATCTAGATTATTGACTGTACTGCAATAATTTCGTACCATATTACCGAGTTTCATTCTGATCTGATCAGCCATTCCCTCAAAATGTCTTTGGTGTAAATATCACGTATGATAGGTACATAAGTTTAAAGGAAATTTTGCCAGATTAAACTAGGGAAAATATATAGCGTGGCTCATTGAAGAAATATGAATTAAAGGTTTATACGAGTAACTCAAAAATCGGAAATTATAGAAGAAAAAATCGCACGCACAAAAAACTGGATAACAAATCTCCTTACAAAAGTAATGCGCTTTTTGTAAATAAAAAAGTAACTCGACATTATCAAAATTGACTAAAAATAAAAAAAAAATCAATTCAATTTTTACATTCTTTTTTTTTTACTAGGACATACGGAAAAACCTACAAAAATGTTGAAATTGTTTCACCCTGTATAGTACAGGGTGATTCACTATATTTAGATCCCCCTTTAACTTTTTTATTTTAAGAGTTAAAAAAAATGTAAAATACATAAGTTGCACGATTTTTTATGAATTTTTCGAAAATTATAGTTGAAAAACAAATGAAGTCCAAACGAAATGGCCGCTGATGTTAACTTTGTTAATTTAAATGAAACACCCTGTATATTTTTACATATTTGGATAGAACGTTCCCTGTCTACCATAGTCATATAGGGTTTGTTGGGCCCATCTCTAACAATAAGCGAGATACTATTAAAAAACGAAAATATGGTTTTTGTGAATCACTCTGTACATTCCATTTTCCATGGCATGCTTGGATAGTCTTGGCTGTTGTTAGACATAGAAAGTGACGGTTTTCGCAAACGTTAATCACTTTTTTGAGAGACATTTTCAAGTCAAAACAGGTTACAGGTTTTCAGTGTTTTTTCATACGTTTGCGATTTATACTAGAGTTGAATTTTTTTTGCGCAAACCTAGCAATAATGATAGTGTTCGGTGCTCAAAATATATATTGTTTATTAATTTTCCATTTATAATGACGACTATTTACATAAAAACACTGCTTAAATATATTCATTGGTAAACTGACAACCCAATAAAAAAAGGTTTGGTGTACTATATGAAAACACTTCGCAGCACATTCTTGGGATTGTAATTCATTTTAACGGGATGTTTTTGCCTGAAATCGGTAATTTTTTCGGCCTGTCATCTCTCGAGAACAACTTTAGCTATAAGTCAAAACAAAAACATATCGCATCTGTTTTAACATGAGGATTTTTCAAAAAAGTGGTCAACGTTCGCGCAAATCGCAACTTTTTTGTCATTAATAATTTAGATATATTAGAACATTAAATTTTTTTATCATATACAGGGTCGGAAAGTCCCCATGGTTCATCGGCCGTTACGTGAGAGCGATAAAGTAGGTCATAGAAATCCGTGCGATAGAGAAAGATGGCTATAATGAAGGCGTCTAATAGTCACCGCCCATTTCGCCCTTCCACAAATAAGACCCACTTCTTATTTGTGGAAGGGCGAAATGGGCGGTGACTATTAGACGCCTTCATTATAGCCATCTTTCTCTATCGCACGGATTTCTATGACTTTCTTTATCGCTCTCACGTAACGGCCGATGAACCATGGGGACTTTCCGACCCTGTATATAAGGAATATCACGATTGTCTTTTCAAGAACTTATAAATTGGAAATTGGTAACAATATTGTTAACTCATTTTTTTCAACAAATAAATTGCCTTACCTGATTACATAATTCACGCATATAATGTTTTGTTCTTCCGCATTTTTTGAATTACAGACTACCGTGGCACAAGTTTGAAGCCAAGTGTATCCACCATTTTTATTCATCCACCTATAGTAGTGCGTTAGAACTTGGCCCTTAGTTATTACTGTGAAAAAATTAGTACGTATGAGTTAAAAAAAGCTTAGAACTACAGGAGATTTCTTACAGTCAATGTGACATTTCCTTAGTTTGTTAGCATCTTCCCCATGGCACAAAGAATATAAATTTCTACCAGTCAGTTCTTCCGGCGTGTAATCCAAAAGGTCAATGACTTTGGGTTCACAGTGAGCTATTTTGAAATCAAAATTTATTCTAGTAACGAACATATCTGATTCTAGTCTTATTTCGTGTACACTTGGTGGTGGAAGCGCAATAGCTAGTGCTACCATTCCCAAAAGTGGCGGTTGTGTTTTTCGGGAATGGGAAAACGTGTACTGCGGCCGAAGTCTGCTCAACATCAGAACGACCTGAAACCAGAACGAGTTAGAACGCGGAGAACCAGGAACTTGTCTACGTACCCTATATCCGGACGATTTGAAATGGCATCCTCTTTTCGTTAACGTTGACTTCATTCGGATGCAAAACGCCCTATCCAGTCCTTTGTAAGGTGGGTTGGCTCCCAATGCCATTTGCGTGGCCACTAAAAAAATAACGCTGAAGCAGTCTATATCTAAGTTTTAAATTTCATTTCGCCGCTGAATAATTCATTGGGATTTCGTCTTGGCAGGTAATAACCAACGGCCGGTAAAGGAAATACTAAAATGAATATTAGTTAAATATGAGCCGGTGTAGATGGTTATGTGAATAAAAGAAAGAAGCAAAAGAGCGTAGTGTACACGGTTACTGCGGCATTCCTGGGCGTGACACGTAACATCAACACAGAATAACAATTGACCACGTACACGAGGCGTTCTCTGCATGCTTAACTATAGTTTCCTGTCGGAATCATACAATTGTATGGTTCATAATCTGTTAGAATAATTCAGAACACTTAAATTGATATATTTTCTTTATTATTGTGCTGGGTGCTTTTAAAATTCGAAGAGCCACCTTCGACTAACTTTTCGTCGGTAAAAATCGGGTGAAAATCGGGCTGAAGCAGCATTTTCTTCCACCACGCGCCTTTAAAATGTTATCTATTATTTTTGACATACGTTCATTGTCAGTACTACAGGGAATAACAATGACGGTGCATCAAGAGTAAAACTGTACCTAAGGGATGACTGGAAATTTTTGAATAATTACTGAAGATATAAGCTTGTATAAACCTCATGTAAAATTTGAATAAAATTTAGCCAATGGCGTCGGAATCAGGAGAGGTCAAAGAAACTCCAATTGTCAAAAAAGTTATGTGACGTTTAGCAGGACTTTATTTTGTTTCTTTTGAGTGTTTTTTTCGTAGAATGCAGGAAAAATAATTCTATTTAGACGGTTTTAAATAAAAAATAAAAATTTCACTACCCTTTCGATTCTAACTTGAATGTTGGCGACGCTGAGTTTCGAATATGTAAAAAACAAAAACAACTGGCTAACGTCAAGAAAACCATAATTTAACAAAATTAAATGCCGGTTTGGCCATTTGCGGTCGATGATTGGTAATTTATTCAACCGAGTTGTTTTCGAAAAGAAAACATATGAAAATTACCGATATGACGTCACAAAATAATTGATATTCAATCAGTACGGTGTGAATCGCTCACTTAATATTCATGTGCCATAGCCATATTTGATTTGAAGATTATATCTTTGCAACTAATGTAACACTTTTCTATATAGGGTCCGAATCCACAAACTATTAAGTACGGTTCACTGTTAAAATTGATACCAAGCAGGACAACGTAGACGGGTATGCTACAATTATGCGTTGGAAGGGTTATCCTACAAGTAGTTTTATAGGAATTAATATTTTAAATATTCTTGACTTAGCCATTCTATTTAGAGTTATTCGTATTTCTGTGGTGACCCAAACAGATACGTAGAAATAAATGAGGTCGTGAGAACTAAAGAGGGAAATAGAACAGTCCTTAGACTCGAACAAGGCGTGTTTAATATGTCACACCACCAGGTTCCAACATTGTTAGGATGAGTTGGGTACAGGACATAGCTAGTACCATGCGAAACATCGCCACAATTTTAAAAATGTTGTCACCGCCGTTCATGAGGGTGAAAATTCGAAATATTTAGAGGAAAAAGAAGGGCAGTTGCATTTACTTGACGAAGATTCGACGGCCTTATCACTGTAAGCATGCTTTCGGAAGACGGGTGAAACTAAAACGTTGTCATTGTTGTTGGGATTCAAAAATCCAACAGTTTTCAAAATATACGAGAGCTTAGATGGCAAAAGAGCGGTAAAGACGTGACGTTATAAAACCCTACGCGCTGGCCTTCTGGGATGTGTCAAAGTAATTGTTTAATTCGAGGTTTAATTTTGGTTGGTCGCAGGGCATAGAACAGTCCCACATGGATAAAAGAAGAAATGAGGAACGACGCGAAAGGTCAACTCAACTCAATAAAATAATAATTAATAATAATAACTTCATTACCATCTGGATTATTCGTTCCTGCTGTGGAGGTGCTCTCTTCGGATCCACTGCCAGGAGACGCCAGACTCTGGCCTTGCGTCAGTCCTAAACCTAATTGTTCGGCTATTTCGGAATGATCCTGATGATGAATGTAGTCGAATACACTACTCCCAGTCATTTCTACCTGCAATAACACACAATTAGCACAAGTGGGCTTTGAATGTCTTCAAACATTTTTTTGAAGCTCTTCATTTTTTACTGAATATGGGAAAATTGAAAAAATGTGATATGAAGTTGTAAAAATGGGAATTTCCTTACACGAACTTGAAATATGTTTCTTAGAAAAAATTCTCAAAATTCAATTTCAAATCAATGATAAATATTGGAAATTCGATTTTTTTAATTCTCTTTTAAAATATGTAGAGTCAAAATATAGTTGAAAATCAGAGCATTAAATAAAAAACTAATTTGTAAGTATTTTCTGGCATAATTACGAAAATAAAAATCAATGGTTACATTGATATACCATGAGGTAATTATTTTTGTCGCAAAACAATTATAATTTCATATTTACAGCCTTTTTGGAATTCCTAACAATATCTATTAATAGACCTTTTAGTAGTGACGTCACATACGCCAAATAATAGGCAACCCCATAGTGCACATTGTCATGAAGAATTTCTCAATATTTTTACTAGATCGATTTTCGACCTTATGTACTGTGGACATAAGTGCCAAAAAGTGACTTATTTGTCGTGACTTTAAATATCGCGATATTCTGGCAATATTAGAAATATTTAAAAAGTTTTAAACCCGAAAATAGAATTATAGAATTTATATATTTAAATTTATAGAACAATATTGATTTGTATAGTAATTAATAAATTAAAATTATATCAATGTTACTGAGCATGCGCATTAAAAATAATTTCATGTAAGCGAAGTAGCCTCGCAACAGGCTATCATTCAAGGAAAGTTTGGTTGTGGTTAAGAGTACGTCTATAATAAACCACTTGAAGAAAAAAACACTCTGACAAAGTAGAACAATAAGAAAAACAATAATAATACTTAGTAGCAATAGAAAATGCCAAGATTAAACAAAACAAGAGAAAATTAATACGCTAATGATGACAGCGATAACGTAACAACAAGCGCTCACATGCGTATGAGGCTATTCTTTCTGAGCATGCGCATTAGGAATAGCACGGCTAATGTTAAATTTTTACTTTATTTAAATTTAGGATTATTCTTTTATATCGTCTTTTGTAAGTTTTAAGCACATTAGTGTATCTATTTTACCAAACACGCGTTGGTTGTTCTTAAATACTTCCAAATCCTTGTAAAGATAAATTAATTTGAAGTTGCTCATTTTTATAGTAAAAGTGTACACAAGGGTCGGTCTGTACAATTTCAACTATCACAATTTGTTGGGGGTTGCCTAAATATGTGACGTCACACTAAAAGAGTCTATTGCCGACACTTTTCGATATTTGCTCTCAATCAATAACATTTTTAAGGGTTCGAGGAATTTTTATAAAGAATGACATAGTTACTTCTAAAGTTATCAGAGTTACAGTGTATTTTATATACCGAGTGCTCGCTTTCGAACCGCGTCTTGAAGATCTCGGTTATCTTAAGAGATACAGGACTGGTCGGATGGGAGCAAAGATGAGAAATTTCAAGAGAAATTTCGACTATCCTTTCTCGCATTGAAGTTATAATAAAAAAAAATTGATAACTGATATTAAATTTAATTTGATCTTTAATCGGTAACGGAAAAAGATGGATATTTTAAACTCATAACTTTTTGTGGAGAATACAATTTTTATTTTTCTTATGGTCGCGATTTTCCGTATATCCTATTTAAAAGGTCGGTGAAAAATCGTCAACAGTTATGCCACCCCATCAGCGAGCAATTCGATATTTTTTTAAAATAAAATTTATAGAAAACATTTATTTTTAAAAACAGTTCCATTTCCGTTGTATTGAGAATTGATGGAAGCCAATGCGTCGAGTATGCTATATAAAGTCCACGCCAGTAGTATAAAATAGTAATAATTTAAATGGACATGGCTTCCGAGGTGGTTTATTTACAGTTCCCGTACGTACCTATGAACAGTTAGCCGCGCGACTTAAAATTCCGGCAGTTGTCCGGGAGTTATTAAATTTAATTTAGAAAAGCTGGCTAAATCAAGTAAGGGCATCGCATAAAGGTTGGAAGATTAAAGATTGTTGTCCAAGAAGGCTATGTAGGTGATAACATGTACGTGTTCTTCTAAGGTCTGCCATTTTCCCCGCAGTTGCAAATACCCTATTGATTATGGGCCCCGCCAGTCCTATTATAAATGGCAGGCACGCTGCTGCAGAGGACTACGTGAGAAGCATTTTCCAACGAGGCGGTTGCTTCGGGAGGCGGCTAGCGGATAAAACGTATACCGTGCCGTGTACAGCGGTGTGGCAGGGGGGACTGCAGGATCTCCCATCAAATTTTTCACAGGAATTTTCACGACCAGCGCTACCACATATTTTTACTGTCTGTCGCACAATTCCAAATAATTACCTTATAACATTTTTATAAAAAAGTATTAGTGCCATCTATGCGCAATGTAAGCCAACTACGCAATTGCAGAATTCTATTGTTGTAAATGAAAATCCTGCCACTACCACAGAGAAAGTTATCCCCTCTCTGCCTCTGTTGAATCATGTATTATTTCGTGTGAACAAAAAATTTAATTGTATTTAATTGGAAGAACCAAAGAATGTGTACAGAAAGTTAAGACTAGAATTTTTGCAATTTAATGATTTCACTTTAAAAATTGTCGCCTTTATTTGAGATTTTCCAGATTCTTCAAAGTATCTTCCGGGTCCATTTTTGGGCAGAAAAAGTTATGGTTAAAGCCGTTTTTGTCGATATAATGGTACTTACAATGTTTTAATAGTTTATATCTAGAAACTTTCATATACCTAATAGCAAAAAATTAACAAATAATATCCTTATGCTCTCTGGAAATACATACATGCGGCCTTTTTTTCTTATTTTACGTATTTTGTCATACTGCAAATTAAAAATTTGAAGAGTTTTGTTATGGTTTTGTTATTTGTTAATTCACGTGAGTTTCTAATATAAAATTTAATATATATGGATATATACCACACTTTTGTATAAAAAAACTCTGGGGATGAATTTTTCAATAAAACAAATTCTAAAAAAATAAAAAGTAACGCACATTGTTCATTTGATATACAGAAATAACAAATATTTTATGCATAACACAATGAAAACGGATCAAATTGATTTCCCTTAACATCTACCGCGTGGCATTTTTAAGTTATGAGGATTTAAATTTAATTTAATTTAAAAATTGGACGTTTTTTTTGTTGCGCTACTGAAGAGGGGGGGGGGAAATAGGTGTAAGAGTTCAAACAAATTAAACGAATAGCAATTCAGCACGGTCGATGTGGAAGGATATCATTTATCGATGTCACTACATTTTACCCACCTGTGAAAGACCTAGGTATATCGATACTGTTTCCGAAATGTACAAAAAACGACCGTCTGACGCCAACGCCAAGGCGAAGCCATCCAGGGACTGAAAAAAAAAAATATTTCAACCAAGAGAATACTATTGTAATATTAACACTTAATTTATAAAACATGTGTCAGTTTAAGTACAATTTTAAACAATAAACAGGCAACTGGAAACAAATAAAAAGCCGAAAATTAATATCCAGTTACCCAAATAAATAAATCGATAAATTTGAGTTTTTTAAGACCCTGTATATTATACACTTTCGATTTTTTTGACGACGAAGATACAGAAACAAGACTTTGGTTCTAAATTTCGTAATTTCGAAGATATTTTACATTCGAAACTAAGACGAAAATAAAGTTTTCGCCATACTTTCCAATCTCATTCGTTACTGATTTTTATTTAGCACTTTGGAAACCATGAATGTAAGCTTTTAAATTTTAATTATACGGAATTAAAAGTCTGTTTACTGGATTGAACATCTCAGTTTTTTAATTTTTAAGATCTTCGAGTTGTTATGAAAAAATAACAGTTCATATTCATACAGTGACAAAACTTTTGACATTATTTTAAAATTTCACTATTTAATTGCCTCTAAAACATTTGTTTTAAAATTTTGAAGAGTAAATGAACAGATTTAAATTTCTAAACTAAATGAACCTTATCAGTCAAAAAACTTATCAGAGAACAGTTTAGTGATCCGGATCACTCGACCATAACATTCAAAATTTTTATTTCTAGGGGTACATGAAAGAAGAAGAAAAGGATATTGGATAATTTTTTTTAGATAATTATTACTACCCAGAGTGCTTATGGATTTATTTCCTTATTGTACCTATGATAATTTTTTTTTACGAAATTTTTATAACTAATTTGAACTACATTATTAACTTTAAAGTAAAAGTACAACAACTAATAATAAAAAATGAATAATTTGAGAACAAATTTCTTTGCGGAATTATTATAAAGTCTACCTTTTTTGTGTAAAAAAAGTTGGAAAATAAGAATATGATACCAAAGATGAGATACCTTAAAGTACAAAAAAGTTATGTCGTTTCGAACACCTTCAATCTACGGCAGCTGGCGCCCTCTATGAATTATAACCAAATTTTGAACAAATTTCAATTCCTCTATCTAAAGCACCCCAAACCCCAAAATTTTGTGTAGATATTTGCATTTATTAAGAAATAAATGGAAATAAACTAAAATAATATTTTACATTTAACACCCTCTATCTCTTTAACTATCAACTTTTGGAATAAGGTAAGTTCGGCTAAATCGCAATATTTTTGCTTCGGGAATATACCCATGTATTTTGGCCTATTACCTCGGGACCACCCTGTATATACCTATGTTGTTTTTATATAAAAAACATAAATTACATTTTCTTTTTGAAGTATGTGACAATAATTATTCTTCAACATGTTATTGATAAAATATAATATAAAAAGATGTACTTATGATAACAATATACATACTGCCATTTATGGATTTTTTCATTTTTTAGTTATTGTTAACTTATTTACTTGAGTTTCCATTTTGTGTGCAACTGGGTAGTTCGAACCCGCCCGCAAATAAGTTGTCCACAAACGCCGCCCTTCGTTTTAAAGAAAAGCAAATTGCCTCGGGCGAAAGAGGAATTGTTGTAAATAAGGGATGTTTAATGGGTTCAATATAGGAACATCGGCGCACTTATTTAAGCACATTTATCAAAAAAAATATCAAAGAAATGACAAGAGCCAGACGTACGGGGTTTCGGGACAAGTTACTTATTCTCGTCGTGTCCTGACGGTCATTCTATATACACCGAAGGGATCAGACGTCAACCGGGGAAAATTGGGTGGAAGGAAGTAGAGGTCTTCACGGAAAAAAAACGGATCGTATTAGATCAGCGAAGTCATCCTCTAATATACAATACACGTGTATTTAATTTTTTTCGGTATCCATTATACTGATGTATTCCACCCATATGTCTGTCGCAGTTTCTAATATGAATGCAGGCTTTTCCATACATTAACGTTAACTTTATTCAGTTTGCGAAACCAGGAATTTATAACTGAATAATAATGGCGGAGAATTCTAGCGCCAATAATAATTAAATGGCAGCAAAATCGAATTTACAAAAGCAGCTTTTATGTAGGATCAGCGCAAAATGCGATAAAAGGAGGAATTTATTTTGAAACGCCGGCAGACGCCATGTTGACAACTTATCAGCAGTTATAGCCAAGTAATAAATTTTTGAATTTAAAATTAGTTACAATGAATGTCCCTCATTTAAATATATTAGTCATTGTTTGTTTCCTGGGTATTTTTTAAAATTCTTTTATCTAATTGATATTCTTCGAATGATACCTTACATGTAGGTACAGTAACGTCATAAAAACCGATGAAATAAATCAATAGGCAACTATAAATTTCGGTGACGTTTATTTATAAAGCTTTCTAAAGCTGAACTTACGCAACGTACATTTAAATTTTTTAACAACTCCGTTTACGTTACGGCACATCACTTTGTTCTTTCTTTGAATTTATTTAAAAATCACCAGTAGCACCTAAATAAAAACTATTGAATTGACTGTTTTTCTACCTGTAATATGTGCGTCCCTTGATGTTGCTCAAATATGTCCATCGCTAAACCCGCTGACGTCCGATTCCTTCCAGCTGTAAAAAAAATAAGACGGATTAATAAGCACCAAAAAACAATTGTACTTATAACAATATTTTTGTTTCATTCTTTGTTGTTCTTGATTGTGTACAGGAAGAAATGCTTAGTAATCAGTAGACATCGGAAACTTTGTGACGACAATCAAATAAATAAACGGCACACAAAAACATAAAAACACGTGCCATACCTCGACCAAGTAAATCGTCAAATCGTCAATCGTGTGAGCGAGTCACACGCGCACAAACGACAACGAAATGCACTGCCAACGTCCCTCAGCAAAAAACATGGACGACAGAGCAGGCATTGGAGTGCCGCTAGATCGAATAAATTGATCGATGCGAAGTTTGGTATTTATTATGTCATCTGACGAAGTTACAAGTATATTTAAAAAGAAATTCTCACATCACTTTCAATGTAAGTAACTCCAAAATAAACAAGTATACGATTCAACGACAATAAATATAATCATATACAGGGTGTTAGAAGTTTGACTGCCTTAATTTTAACAGACGATGGAATACACTAAAATAAACAAAAAAACTTATATGACATATGTCCTAAACTCAACCATTTCCGAGAAAAAAAAATTCAAAATCTCCAACTTGATGTACTTACAAAAGTTCGATTAATTAAGGAATATTGACATAACTAAAAAATAATTAACGTTGAAATAATTAATTTAAAATTCGATAAAATTCATATCGAGCAATGTGACAACGGCGCGGCGGTTTATTAACACGAGGTACTAAGGTGTCCAGCAACCACCAATACGCAATTCAGTTGGTATCTGGATTTGACGATGTCGGAGTGTTTTTTGCGTACCATTATTTCCTTTTCTTGAGGTGTTTTCCAGCGAGTGCGCGAAAATTGGATTCGAATGTGTCGCGCGTGCATCGAAAATGGTGGTGGACATTTTGAGGATACGTTGTAGTTTGTTTTATACTTGTGCGTTTAAAAATTACTGAATTTTGCGTTTTGGTAAGTACCTAAATTATTTTTAATACGTACGACGTGAATCTTTTGGGTACTTTAATTACATATTCTTCAAATACGTAATTTGATTAAAAGTTAAGTTCCTGTTTTAAGAGATTCATAATTACTAAAATTCGAGCTAAAATTTAAGCACAACACTATCTTCGTACTACAAAATCGGTACATTTTGTTTTATTTATTTAAAAACTGGAAAACAATTGTCTTGAAATTTACTAAATGTTTCACAATAATAGTTGTTTACATTTTTTCCGTAGGACAAGTCTGTCGCGTGTACACGTGGTGTGCATCAGCAGGTTAAGCGCTGTTGTCACGTTGTGATGAAACTCCCCAATATTAATTAATACTCGTTGTATTTTGAAAACTGTAAAAGTTACGCCCCTGTAATATACAATGGCAGTCAAACTTCTTACACCCTGTATAGAAAAAAAATTGCTAGGCATATTTTCTACAAATGGTGCGTCCCAAAAAATTTAAAACTTTGTTTAACATTTATGTATTATACTTGGCGTTATATTATACCTACCCCGCAAATGTATTATTATACTTACAATAAAAAAATATTAAATTAAAAGCCTTTCGAAAATAAAATTATAGAACGGTCTAAAACCGCTCCCATTTAACCGTTTTTCTGTCTCTTATAGTGTCCGAGAACCCACCACATCAGTCACCAATTTAGGACGCGCTGTATATACGTTTTGAAGTCCATGGGTCTTATAAAAATATCAGTCGTGTAACCGCTGGGACGGCCAGGTGTTAGACGCGAATTGATATAGAATCTTTCGCAAAAACAATATCGCCGGCGGCCCTCCGGGGATCATTTTCGCCTGCGGCAATTCTGGTCGCCCTTGCAGGAGCCTACCAGTTCCGCTCGTTGTGCCCTTTTAGCCACGACGCCCTCAACCACTCTGGTCAGTGGTCACTCTTTTCTCTGTCTGCTAATTCGGTTAGCAGCCTGTGGCTGTCGTCGCTAGCCCTACACTGCGTTTGCCGAGTTTCACGAAAAGGGAGTTTAGCTCTAGTGGGAAATTTAAAATGTTTATATTATTTTTGTATTATTTAATTACAAAAAATACTGGCGGAATTAATAGCTCTTGTCATTTTGTACTAGACGCCCTGTATAACAACGGTTCAATATCGATAATATGGGTGAGGATACAAAAACTTTAAATAAAATTTGGGACAGGTGGTGTTAAATGGGATGAGGTAAGCTCCATTTTCAATCGAAAGTTCCGCTCATGGCTTTTGCGACTGCGGAATTGTTATTAACAAATTGTATATTTTCTCGAATTTTAAAACAAAGTTTGAATTAAAACGAAAGCCTAACACAATACGTTTAACACAATTGACTGAATTTTTATTACTGTTTTCTGCGTGTAGTTTGCCTAGCTCCAAAATACTCCAAAATATCCGAAATCAAGTTATTTATTTATACACTGTTGATGTCAGAAAAGTTCATAAAGTATTGTTCCAATTGAAATTTAAAAAAAATCGACTGTGTTCCCTCGTAAAGATTGATGTTTAAAACAAATGATATTAGTGTTAGTTTGTAGTAATTTTAGACCAATTAACTCGAATTTTTATTTTTCAAATCGGATAAAAATAGTCGAAGCTTCCTACATTTTTTACCGGACACCTTTTACAATAACTGTCACGTGGCTTTTGTTGTCTGTCGAATATATATTTTTTCAGAATCTTGCCTAAAGTCACCTTTACTATAAACATTTTGAATAATTCGACTTGTTTCATTCGCGGTTTAATTTTTTTAAATCTTGTTTCAAAAACACAACTCTGTATAATGCTTTAAACTTTCCTCCCGTTTGCGCTCGCTTACTATTTAAATTTTTTTTTTTTGATCAAGTTTCGAATTTACTATGAAATTTCCTTTCAAAAAAGTAAAATTTGGCGAAGTCGCCGGTGATTTTTGCTTTGCTTCCTACATTTCGATGTTACGTGGACCACGTTTTTGTCATCGTAAAAAAAAGGTCTGTTGCTATATATTAATACTGGTAGTGATATATATTCGCGTATATATTGGAGTTCCTACAATCCCAAACATTGTGTAATATATGAGTTCGCTGGTCGAAGCAACAGCGAGACCTGTATCAAAATTGAACATATTGCCATCTTTAAAATATTACCGTTTGATATTACGTTTGTATATATCGTCGTAAAAAAATAGCTTTTAGGAACTTAATACACATTTTTTTAAATTCTAGCCTTCGTTAGAATCTTCTAAAAAATAAAGGGATGCTTGTAAGTCGCAATGAAAAGATTTATCAAAATAAACAGAGAAATAAGAGTAATATTGTTCTAGAGTGGCCCAAAGAAAAAACAATTATTTTTTTTCGTGTCTCTTGTGAAAATATGTTAGTTTATCATGTTTTAAGAGCTCCCTCAAAAAATCAGCTCAAAAAAATTTTTTTTAGAGGTCGCTCAAGGTTTTTTAAAATTTCCAAAATCGTCAAAAATTGATTTTTTTCTTTTAATTTTTTTTTCGTTATTTTATCATTTTCTAGCTTGAAACAAATCTCGATTCTTAAAAACTCCATTGTGAGTATCAAATATTTATAATTTTTTAATTTTTTAAAATTTATGTGTCTCGTTAATTATTTATATTCTTTTGTTCATCAAATTCAATAAAAAAAATTATTAGATCGTTGATATTTACTTTTAGAGGTCGCTCGAAAACATAGGTACACTACTTTGAAAATTAAAATAATTATGAGTGACCTTTAGAAATTAAAATATCGATCTGAAATTTTCAGAATCGAGATTTTTTTCAACCTAGAAAATGATAAAATAACGAGAAAAAAAATTTAAAACAAAATTCAATTTTTGACGATTTTGTAAATTATTAAAAATCTTGAGCAACCTCTAAAAAAATTGTTTTTTAGCTGATATTTTGAGGGGGCTCTCTTAAAACATGATAAACTAACATATTTTCACAAGAGACACGAAAAAAAATAATCATTTTTTTTGGGCCACCCTAATACCTATATGAAAAAGAAAATTGTTATGTGAGTTCAATTTAGCTACTTTAATTTTAATATTTTAATTTTAATAAGTTCAAATTTGTGTAAAATTTTATGGGATTTATTCAGTCGTAGTTTTTGGATTTTACGTTTGAACTAAATCCATCTGAAGATAGCTTACTACACTTCTTACTAAAACAAATAAAAGTTTGTTTCAAGGGCTAGCAATAGACTCTTTAGGTGTGACGTCACATATTTAGGCAACCCTCAACAAATTGTCATAGTTGAAATTGTGCAGACCGAATCTGATCCTTGTGCACTATTTCCATAGTTACTATAAAAATGAACAACTTCAAATTACTTTATTTTTAAAAGGATTTAGAAGTATTTAAGAACCAACACGTGTTTCGTAAAATAGATACACTAATGTGCTTAAAACTTACAACAAACGATATAAAAGATATTCCTAACTTTAAATAAAGCAAAAATGTAACATTAGCCGTGTTATTCCTAATGCGCATGATCGGGAAGAATAGCCTTATACGCAGGTGAGATCTTAGCGTATTTTCTCTTCTTTTGTTTAATCTTGGCATTTTCTAGTTCTATTAAGTATTATTATGGTTTTTCTTAGTGCTCTAATTTGTCAGAGTGTTTATTTCTTCAAGTGGTTTATTATAGACGTACTCTTAACCATAACCAAATTTTCTTGAATGATACCCTGTTGCGAGGCTATTTCAAAGTCAATATTGTTATATTTTAAATATATAAATTCTATAATTCTTTTAATTTGTCACTTGGGGTTTGAAACTTCTTAAATATTTCTAACGTCGTCAGAATATCGTGATATTTAAGGTCATGACAAAGAAGACAATTATGTCCAAGATACATCGAAAATCGATCTAGTAAAAATACTGCGAAAATCTTCATGGCAATGTATACTGTGGGGTTGCCTATTATTTGGCGTATGTGACGTCACTACTAAAAAGGTCTATTATGAAATTTATTGAAAAAAAAAACTAATATCAGTCGATCCTAACTAGTTTAACATTTTTCTTTATTTAGTGAAAAAATTTGAATTTGTAATTTTTAAGAAAATGGTTTTGCCTAACCAAAAATCTCACACGGAAAAAAGCAGACAAATAGAAATACAGTAGAAAGTTTGTTTTTGACTCAGTTTTTAATATAATTTTTATGTTCTTCTATTCTAATAATGTTTCTCCAATTGCATTCACTAGGTATGCTATAATTTAGGGCGTATTTGACAAAACACTCCGTAAAATATTAACCGTCTCAAAAATTAAATTTGTTACCTTAATTTTTCTGATAATACAGAAATATATGAAATTTTTATTGAGAATGTAATTTTCCCTTCTTTGACATAATTTGTTTTACGTTCAATATTCTTAAAAACTCTTTAAACAAAATTCTCAGGGTACTGATTGTTCATTAGTACATTCAAAAGAAATCGATTTGGCTCTATTTTAAAAACATTTAATTACCTCTTTCTTAGATGAATAGAATTAAAAGTACCTTAACACTTGTTTCCAAATTTGCCATTTTTTTTTAATTAAAATATCTAGAAAGAGTAATGTACTGCTCTTTTCTATTTTCAAAGTAAATTTAATTGTTGGTTCCTTATTATTAATATTTAATTCCTCAGTTGTGAGAACTTTTTATTTAAATTATACATAGTTTTTTCAAAAAAATCCATACAAATATGGTGTATATTGTTAAAATATTTACTGAAACTTATTTTACCACAGTGCTGTTTTTATTTAAAATTATGGAACTTTTTAATATTGACAGATTTGACCCTGACATGCGCAGTAACAGTTTTTTTTGTTATACCTGTGGTTTTTACACCTTTTTTTACATATTTGATTAGTTAGTCTAGTTCTACCACATATACGTGTTAGTGTTGTGCTAGGTGTTCATCCTGGTTGTGAATAGGGGGACACCCTGTAAATATTTTAATGTGAATAAGCGGGATATTTCACAAAAGAGGAGCCGAGCGCGGTGGTTGCGGAAAACAAGACGAGACGTTAATTTGTAAATTAAAACAAAACCTTGGCTAACCCTCTAGATCGATGTCAATTTATTAGTAGAGCGCAAGGATAAGATTGTTCAAGCGCGGCCTAATTCTACATAATTATTTCACTTAGCGAGGAACCCTCACCACAAGTACCGAATTACGGCTGTAAATTTTCCAAGTTTGGTTTACAATAAGCAACAGCTAATTTTATCACTCTCGGTCTGGGATAGAATTGGATTTACAAATTTAGCAGCGAGGGGTTCATGATTAGATTTACATGTTGTAGTTTAGTTAGGGGACACATTCTACGCCAGAACAAGCAGGGCCCAGTTAGTGCGATGACACACTTTCAATCAACGTACATGTCATACGACTAAAACCCGGCAGGCCCCACGTTAAAACGACGGCGAGGCGGTCGTCGCCAGCCCCTTACGCGCATCCGTTTCGATTCCGCTTTTTTTTACTTTCCATAAGAGTAGTTCGAAAATAATTTTCACTTTGTTGTTTTTTTTTTAATAATTGCAAAACCTGTAACAGAAAAAGTGACGCCCGTGTCAGTTTGTTTTTGCAGTTTTTAGAGCAAATAGCGCCAGTTTTTTGTTTGAATCGGAATTAAAATAAAAACATTCAAGATTCGAGAATATATTTCCCGCGTCCTTTTTTAATAAGCCGGAAGATCGATTAAACCAATTCGAGATATCCTCCCGATCCGGGCGCACCACGTATAAATATAATTTTGACATACATGACATTTATTAGCACTTTCGTGTTCGAATAATTCGATCCGCCCTCACACGTCACGAGGAACCCTAGCGGGGATGTTATATAAAGGCGTTCTACCCCGCACATCACAAGCCACCTTATAATAGACACGTCGAATCAAATAATTAGATATAATTTGCTTTATTATCCTATAAAGAATGTCAATTTAAGAACAGTCAAGTTGACAAAGGTTTTTAAAGCGAGAATTTAAAGAATACTATTACTATATTTTAAAAATTACTTAGAAGTAACATATTTAAATAGTGGAGTCAGTCCAATTTGTAGCCTTTACACCTTTATCACGTTAGTATTGGTCTATTTTATTTCTTTTACATGTATTAAGTGCTGTGCGTGGTATCATACTGTTTATGAATAATTATGCAAACAAATTACAAGACTCAAATCTCGTATATATTGCCGCCTTTTAGTTGCAAAGTGTTGGTGACATGCACAGAAGAACGCGTAGAAAAAATTACAGTAATCGGAGTTGCAAGTGTCAAAGAAATTTTCTATTGTAGTTATTTAGAAAGCTCGATATACAATTAATAGTGGTGTTTTGTAACTGGACACGTTTACATGTAGATGAATTTTACGAGAATTTCTTGTAGAGTGGACGGACGGTAATGAATTTAAATTATTGTCTACTTTTGTCTTCAACAATGAGGTTATGACACTGCCCTGAATCTAAACTTGCGAGCAGTGAATAATAAAGCAGCCGGCCATTTTGTTTTTATTAGGGGGCATTTTGTTTATTGCTTTCGCTTCTACGTGATTTGTAAGCTGAAGTTTCATTTTGTCTTTGCCCAGCTATCTTTATTACACCATCATCAATAAAGGATACATGTTTATAATTATGCATTACTCTATATACAGAGGACGGAATACGTGGAGGCTTCTCTGAATAATAGTAAAACAATTTTGTTGCAAACGTACATCTATTTTATTTCGACAAGGCGTACGACGATGTAAGAGTTTCATCCTAAATGTCAACGCCCTCTGCGTAACAGCTTTTTTAATAGAATGACACATTTTTCGTTTCACACAAAACATCTCTGACATTTGCTACCCATTATATCACATTCGCACTGTATTAGATATCATTTTTCGTTTACCTTTTAACGTTTTATTCGGGGGCGGCCCGTCCCTGTTCCATGGGGGCTCCCCGTGGCCGGAGAAGTCCCTTAATTTGAGGTATGAGATCGTCAACCTAATAATGCTGGCTTTGTCTAATTGCGAAGTGATCGCCGCGGGTAGGGGGAGCATCTTCGCCAGCTCGTAGAATTCGAAATTTTCTTTGCCCCTCCTCGACCTGGCGGCGTCCCTGCTTTTTTCTTTCCGGAGCTCCAGGATGCTGCAACAAAAACCGAAAGTTAATCGCAACGAAGTTATGAGGCTCGACAGGTAACATCGGTGGAAAACCGTCAGTTTCTCGGGCCTATTTTCACTAAAACCGTACGTAGAACCTCGATTATCCGAACTAATTGGGACTGAAGGTGGTTCGGATTATCAAGCAGTGCTCACATGAACGCCCAAAGTTAAAACAGCCGAATACGTTTGTATATATATACAAACTATCTACTATAAGAAGGCCACTCCTATGTATCTCGCTTAACACACGATGTACGTCAAAAATCTTTATATGATTTTTACTGCATTTTTTGAGGCCTTGATACTTGTAAAAACAAATTTGAGATCCATGGCCAACTTTGTAAGTAATCATAAAAAAACCGGAAAAGTAACGAACATTTAGGGTCGTCTAACTTTCTTATTTTAAGAGATGGAGAAAACTTATTTTTAATAAAATTTCATGGCAAAATTGATATCTTTCGCGTAGTGTAAACAGATTTTTAAAATATAGTATGCAATTTGCTACGCCCTCTACGCGGGCAAAAAAAAATTGTCATCGAAGCATAGGTACTTCGGATTACTTGTTGGGAGAGGGGTTTGGATTATCGAGGTTCTACTGTAGACCTAAACTATTATTTGTGAAACAAAACCTTTGGGATCCCGAACATCTTAATATGACGTAGACCATTAACATAACAAGTAAAAAACAAAGTAAAATTCAATTACATTTTCTTAAATAAATTCTAAAGGCGCCTCAAAACGACAAGTTCTTAGAATATTTTCCCATTTACTTGAACAAATTTCACTTTTTTTAATAAATATTTTGATAAAACATGGCTAGAAATAAATAACATATCCAATCTATCCCTTCACATGTACAAGTGACGTTTGTGTTCGATATAAATTAGGCGAAATAAAGGAACCGAGTGGAGGTATTTTGGGTTTATCTCCGCTAAGCGTAAAGCTGTATTGAAATCAGTGTTCCCTTAGGGGAGGTTGCGAATGAAACAGACGGAAATTTAGATTCGACGTATGGGACAATGGTCCCAGAGGATGAATAAAGTCAAAAGTAACGTACCGAGATCAGAACCTAAGCCTGGAAAAACGGAAAACTATCGGAGATGATTAGTCGACGCGAAACGGGGTCTGATTTTCCGGTTGGGATTAGATAGTCCGGGGAGAAAAGGTTAACTACTATTAGACTGATTAACGGAAGTAAAAGGTACAAGCAAATACTCGTAAAGTAAATTCCAACCCGTGTAATCTTCGTAAATGTTTTAGACTAAATTTACTTAGTCCTGGAATATTACACGTTGGAAAAAATGCCTTATTTCGTAAACGACCACATCATAACGCAACAAAATTACGGTAAAGTTCTGAAAAGCACTGTTTGTAAATTATAGGGTGCTAAAATTAGAAAAAAATCGCATTTCCTTCCTATAATGACGTTAAATTAAAAAAAAATTAAAGTTGCCATGTAAGTCCATCTATTGTTTAGTAGACCGGACAGTCGACGGGTTTTCCAGTGGCGTTCAAGTGGTTTTTAAAGAAATGGTGATAATAATACACAGTAAAAAAATTTCACTCATATTTCACTCAATTTTACTCGTTAATATATCCACACCCGATTGAGTGAAATTTTCCCTCTATTAGTTTGAGTACAACTGAGTGAAACTATTACATCAGAAATGGGTGAGTTTTACTCAAATCCAAGTTACTGATAACTATCAATTGAGTGACTTTTGAACTGTTGAACTATTGAACTATTATTGAGTCATTTTTTCTCAGACTTGGTTTTTAATTAACTAAATATTGAGTGAAACTATTGCATCAGAAATGAGTGAGTTTTACTCAAATCCGAGTTATTACTAACTATCAATTGAGTGACTTTTGACTCTATTTTGAGTATATAAAACCAATTTAGTGTTGACTTTTTCTCTAATATGATTTAAATTTAACTATTATTGAGTCATTTTTTACTCAGACTTGGTTTTTAATTAACTAAATATTGAGTGAAACTATTGCATCAGAAATGAGTGAGTTTTACTCAAATCCGAGTTTCACCTAACTGTCAGTTGTCTATTCTGAGTATATAAAACCAATTTAGAGTTGACTTTTTCTCTAATATGATTTAAATTTAACTATTATTGAGTCATTTTTTACTCAGACTTAGTTTTTAATTAACTAAATATTGAGTGAAACTGTTGCATCAGAAATGAGTGAGTTTTACTCAAATCCGAGTTACTGCTAACTGTCAATTGAATGACTTTTAACTCTATTCTGAATATATAAAACCAATTTAGAGTAGACTTTTTCTCTAATATGATTTAAATTTAACTATTATTGAGTCATTTTTAACTCAGATTTTTACTCAATAATTTCACTCAATGTATTCACTCCGATCCTTTATTGCTTTCACTCACACCGATTTTTTTACATTGTATAATCACAAATGAGTAAAATTATCAAAATGCCCAATATTAAGTTAAAATGTACTCAATAATTTCACTCTATAGGTTCACTCCGAACCTTTATTGCTTTTACTCACACTGATTTTTTTTACAGTGTATGGTTGCTTTTAATTTTGTTTTGTATACACTAAAACGATTAGTCACAGCGAAAAAAGTAAGTAAATAAAAGAGAAAAGTACACTTGTTTTTTTCACTGGGGGATTTCTTGTCGGGCAAAAATGATTCCGCATGAATAACCCTCCGCTAATCCTTTGAGGCAAGGGTTGATTTAATTCATTTTTTTTTGCATATCGCAAGATACTCAGTTGTAAACAGAGACTGAAATGTAGATGTTTTTAAGACAAACAAATGAAGATCAAATGTTTCTGTGAAATAGACATACAGATAACTTCTTCAAAATTGCTAAGCCTTATACGATTTTTTTAATGTCTTTAAATTCTTTAAAAAAATATATACATTTGTTTTTTCTGAATTTGTTTCAAAAATTGGCACGTAAATGATCGCAGCAAGCTTAGAATTTGTTATTTTGTGGTAATATCTTCCCATTTAACATCAAATATTTGATTTTCATTAATTTTCCACTTACTACATTAATGGCTCGTAAATCAGAACAACAAGTTTAAATAGGCCGGAAACATTTTTTTTGTCCGCGAGTGTAACATAAATTAATCTCGGTGATTAAGATAAAACTCAAAATATTATTTTAGTGGTAAATGTTCATGAGAAAACCGTTTGATGTTTACTATTTTCAGGAAGCAGTAGTTAAAACAAATAATATATTATCGTGCCACCCGAAACGTCCGTAATGATGGATTAATTTATCTAAAGTACACAGAAAAAAAATGATCTTGAATACGTTCGAGTATTACCATCTCGAATTAAGTAAAATCCAAGACAATTTATTTACGCAAATACAGTCATTTATGCGACACGTAGATGCTAGTAACACTTTTCCAAATCCCACAAGTGAAAAAGACACTCTACACGCAAGTTGCGTACGACATTTTTTCTACCACTGAAAAATATACGTTACAGATTATAAACAATCTATTTATATGCACTGCCGCGTAAGTTATTTGATTTTATGCACTACTAGTAGTAGAAAATGAAGAATACTTTGTATCTCTTAAACAAATCAAAGATATTCAGATGTGGTTTCCGCCGATCAATTTTTCTGGAACGCCGAACCAGTGACGGCTTAACCATTCTTTTTTTTTTCATAGGGAATATGAGAAACGGCCGAAAGTGTCAGAACTGACCCAAAATACGTGCTTAAATAAATACGCAAAAATAATGTTAAAGTTTTTACAATCCGTTCCTCATTTTTAACCATTTTATTTCTCATTAGATTTAGATAGTTCTGTTGGGTATAACTTGTAATAGTTTTTTTATGTAGGTAGCAAAATAGATGCATAATGACAAATGTTATTTGATATTTATGTATTTGCAGTGCAAATTGTATGTAAATAAGTGCAAATTATTGCTGTTGTTTAAGTTGTTTGGTTTTCTATCAAATTATTCTTATTCCAACTTTTTTCCTGATCGTCAAGTTTGACGTTTAATTCATAGCCAACTTTTGAATTTTCGATGAATTTAAATAACAGCTACGATACGTATTACTAATTATTCGTGTTTGGACTATGATTGAGCAATTTTTGGGTCCTAAATATACATTTTACAAGACACCGGCCGGTCGTACATAAATTCTGACTACGATATCGTTTTCAACTGGTCAAAATATGTCGTTAATGAAATGTCAGATGTTATGTAGAGCAAATCAATTTTGGACTATGATTGAGCAATTTTTGGGTCTGTTTTCAAGCTAAATATACATTTTACAAGACACTGGCCGGTCGTGTATAAATTCTGATTTCGGTATCTTTTTCAGCTGGTCAAAATACGTCGGAAATGCTATATCAGATGTTATGTAAAGCAAAATCAATTTTGGACTATGATTGACCGATTTTTGGGTCCGTTTTCACCCTAAATATAGATTTTACAAGATACTGGATAATTGTGCAAAAATTCTGATTTCGGTATAGTTTTCAGCTGGTCAAAATACGTTGGAAATGATATGTCAGATGTTATGTAAAGCAAAATCAATTTTGGACTATGATTGAGCAGTTTTTGGGTCCGTTTTCACCCCAAATATAGATTTTACAAGTTACTGGATAATTGTGCATACATTCTTATTTCGGTATCGTTTTCAGTTGGTCAAAGTACGTCGGAAATGATACGTCAGATGTTATGTAGAGCAAAATCAATTTTGGACTATCATTGAGAAATTTTTGGGCTCGTTTTCACTCTATATATACATTTTACAAGACACTGGCCAATCGTGCATAAATTCTGACTACGATATCGTTTTCATCTGGCCAGAATACGTCGGAAATGACGTCAGATGTTATGTAGAGCAAAATCAATTTTGGACTATGATTGAGCAATTTTTCGGTCCGTTTTCACCCTAAATATAAATTTTACAAGTTACTGGATAATTGTGCATAAATTCTTATTTCGGTATCGTTTTCAGTTG